AAATAAAATATATCGCCTAACTATTTAAAAGTACATTCGTCTATCAATACTCAAGTATATTCAAAACTTGCATTTTGTGTAATTAGAGTCATAATTTCTCAAATTGGTGCTACAGAAATCAGAATAAGAAATCCGGTTTTATAAAAAATCCAAAAAAGGGCTAAAACTGACTTCAGTTGCTCAAAAATTGGATTGAATATTTGAAATTTCACCTAAGAAATTTCTTGAGCACTGAAGAATAATTTCTAAATAGATAATTAAAATGAGATAAGCTGAAGACCCTTAGATCCCCAAAAATTTTAATTATTCATAAATTTTGTATAAAATAAATAAAAAATGCAATAACCTTCAATTAACACAAAAAGAGATATGATTCGGACCTAAAACCAATGAAAACCATGCTTGAAAGAATATTAATCAATACTGTATGGATTTAAAATTATATATAGCATACTTCTAGACACCTTTCGAAGTGGTTTTAATTTCACAGGACACCCTTAATATTGTTTTAATAACAGTGATTCCTCAAAGCCGCTGCTGAATTATTAAAACGCAGAAGGACCTAACATTTCCCGAACCATGTTTTCTGTGTACCTTTGACGCTGGCGTTGCGGCCCGCGCGTGCGGCGCTCAAGCTTGGCATTATAATTTCTTGCTCCGCACAGTGGCAACCACACACACACACACAGGCAAGGCATACACACTGTGTGGATTCAGGGCGCACATTTTAACACTCTCGACAATAAACAGCATGTCACTTAGCTCAAACTTCAAAAGTGCGCCAGTCTGGGCTCGGGCCTGGGCTTTGGCCATAAGCAGGATTTCGGTGTGGCAGGAGAAGGAGCAGCGCAAGGAGAAGGAGCTGGAGAAGGAGTCATCGCCGCAGTCACCGACATCGTTATGCGAATGCCGCCAGCAGGCTTCCGTGCCGTGCCAAACTTTTTTATTTGTCATCCCCATCGTTGGCGGCAACGGAATTCGTCCGGACGACGAAGACGACGGCAAAGGAAACCTCCAAGGGGGAATGGGCGAGGTCGCTGATGGGCGATAATAAACAGGCCCAGACCTAAGGCCCCCAAGGCACACCCAGTACCCAGTTGCCAACTCCGGCTCCTCCCCCACTTCAAATCCCCGACAGACGTCGGGCCAAGGCGCAACGGCATGAAAAAGGCACTGGCTGGCTGGCTGGCTGTGTGGCTGAAGTGTGTCTTTGGCTCTTGAGAGCAACGTCGTCAGGAACAGGCGCTTGTTGATATTGCCACACGGTGTGGCATTAATTGGGGCTACTCCAGTCCGGATAAAGCCATACCTGAAGCCGACCGGCCGGATATGAGAATCAACAAAGCAGAACCAACGCAAAAGCCGCACTGGCTGATGAAATTTTCAAGATTTTGAAGGCACTAATTCACTCGAATCGCCAGTAGAAAGTTAATCATATTAAGCCTTTGGTTTCTTAATACAATTTTTATTAAAACACTCAAACATATTATGCATTTGTTTTGGTTTAAACTAGGTTTAGAAAGGATCTGCTGCTGAAAAGTAGGCCATGTTTTATAGACTAACGAAGGACATTTTTATGGTCGAAGCATTTTATTAAATAAATGATATTTTTTAAATAAACGATATATAAAAGCTAAATAGAAATTCAAAAATCAACCCGATTTTAAAAATATATATTAAATTTGTTAAGCATATAATTATACATCGCAGATTTTCAGACGGTTAAATTTGATGTAACTTAAATATTTTAATTAATAAAATTAATACTTTTTTTCTACAAATACGTCTATACTTAGTGGCCATCCAGCAATAAAACATCTAATAAACCCCACTGTACGTGTAAGCGGTTTGATTGTCATGGCAATTCGAAAGCATTTGTCGGTCGCTCGCCCCCATCGCACACACATTTCAGGGGGAACCAGGGGGCGTGGGGCAGACACAGGATTCCAAACCAGCAAACTTTACTCCTGCCAGTGCCCGCAGTCCTGCCGCTGCCACACTGCTCCTCTGGCCGATGTGCGAGGCTGCGGCAGCAACAGCACGGCAACAACATCAGCCACTTGCCACATTTGGCTTTCTGCCAGGACCAGACTCCAGGCAGTGATGGTAACGGTGGTGGTGGTGGGTGTGGCAACTCCGTGCCAGCAGCAAAAGCAACTAAAAATGCGACGTGCAAGATTATCGTGTCGCTTGTTGGAGTCCCCCCCTGCGTAGTCTCATCCCCATCCCCACCAGAAACATACACACACACTGTCGTCGTCTGGCTGTTGTCGGTGCTTCTGTGGCTGCGCCAAGCTCCCCTGCCACTCATACCACCCCGCTGTCCTGTGTTCAGGGCTCCGTGCTCCCTGTTCGCTGGTCCCTGCTCCATGCTCCCCTCTCCTGCCATAAAACCCCGCCTTCTCCTCTTCGAGAGCGACACCATCAGGCGGCACAACTTACTGGCGCTGACGGAGGCAACTGCTGACTGCTACTTATGGCACTGATGATGGCACAACGACAACAACAAGGATTCAAGGCGGGAAGCATAAGGACTGAGGGATACTCATTAGTTTTTAAGTAGGTAATACAGTTCCCATCAGTAACATTAAACCAAAATTGTTGATTAAAGTTTTCGTTTAAAAGAAAACTATACAGATTTTTTAATTATTCCCAAATTAAGACACTAAGATATTATTATTGCAGTATTGTATACAAAATTGCTAATATTACTTTGTAAAATTAGTTTAAATATTTGCTAACACCATCGTAAAGTAAAGTAAGTAAAATATTTTTTTATAGATTAAAGTATAATTTGATCCTAATAAAAAAACTGGAAATATTTATTTTTAAACCCCTATTCTACTACTACTTCAATATCCTCTCTAAAATCCCCTCTGCTATCCTGTAATCGAGCTCAGCCAGAAAGTATGCAGCGTGCGCACGCGAGGATAACGACTCGACTCGACTCTACTCGACAACAAGCCCGACAGTCTGAGCGTGGGAAGAGGCGGCAGAGAAGGACGACAGGCAACGGGAGACGGGACAGGGGAAGGAGTCACCACCAGGATGTGTCGGGGGGGTGAGCCTGAGCTGTGCGCGACTAATTGGGTGAGAGAATGTGGGTGCTTAAATTGGTTTCGTGCTTTCGTGTGACGCGTGCGGAGGCGTGTAAAGCTTGGCGCGCTCTGGAATGGAGTGGCGGCGTTCCGTGATGTGGGTGTGGGTGTGGATGTGGCAGTGGGAGTGGGAGTGAAACTGGCACTGGAACTGCGTGTCCACGAGTGTGTGTGTAAGTGTGCAGGCGACAGGCTGCTCTGCGGGTCCTTGTTCCCTGCTGTTGTTGTTGTTGCTGGCATGAATGCTTGATGGCGTGACGGCAGCCGGTTGTTGCCAGCAATCGAAACGGACTCAGAAAAAACCTGGGAGGAGGGAAAAGTACCATGTTTCGGATTTTTTTGATATCAAGTTTGAAAATACCCTTGCGGATCATATTAAATAATTACACTGATAAAAAAAAACAAGAATTTTGGTCATAAAAACGAGATTTTTCGGTCACGAAAATGGCTTAAGCATATTTTGGTCTTCTTTTGATATTTTCGGTCATCTTTTAAGTACTTTTTCATTCTACATTTGAGATTTTTCAAATATTATTTCAATCCTTAAAAAAGTTTAAAATAAGAACGATAAACGACCGAAAATCTTAAAAAATGACCATAACAAGGCTTAAATTAAGAAAAAAAAAAATTTGTTTGAATCCTAACGAGACCGGCCTTAGTTAATACTACTAAACATTCGTAATACCAAACATTTTAAATTAAACATTATTGTGAAAGAATTTTTATAATCTGTAAAATTATAGAGCTAGAAATGATTATTGTAAATTACATTAGTATTAGAAATTTTATTAAAAGCTACTTACATTTTTTTTCCCGGCTGGGATCCGAACCCATGTCTCAAAATTCACAGACCGACCGCTTACCAACTGGGCCACTGAGGCAAATCAAACACTAATGTCGGGAACGTAAATACATACAGTTCCAAGGACAGAGAAAAAAAAAAAATGTATCTCCCCTCTGAGCTAAAAATAGATTTTTTAAGAATGGTCGTAAGAGCGAGACGGCACTATGACTTCCATTTTTGTGTGAGAAAAAAAGAGACAACACTAGGAGCCGTCTCTTCTGAATTTTTAAGATTAACAAAAATCTTAATTTACGATTTTTATTTCTTAAAATGAATCATTTTCGGTATTACTTTATGATTTTTTCTTCTTCTTATTAGAATATTTGGTCTTTTTTTAAGATTTTTTTTTTAAGAATGCCAAAAAATGTGCAAATCTTAAAAGTAGATTATTTTGTTCGTAAATATACCCTGAAAAATCTCCTTTCTAGAATTTTTGGTCTTATAGTAAGATTTTAAATTAAGAATGCGCAAAATCTCAAAAGAAGATTTTATTTTTTTTATCAGTGTACCTTCAACTTGGAGGTCTACTTTTTGGGGAAGGGACTCTAATTAAGTTCAAAGAATGTGTAAGGTGCTAATTCAATAAATTCAGATTTTTTTTAAAGTAAAATAACTAAAAGCATATAAACTCCTTTGGAAATTCTACCTGAAATACAGGATTAGAATTATAGCTGTGAAAAAATCTACAAAGAGTTAAACACCTGACACCTGATCAATATAAATTTCTTTCAACGCATTATAACATTCGAAAAATAACTGCCAAATCCAATGATCTATATTTCCCAAGCTCATGCCAAAATCCACTACACCTTTGGCCAGAGTAAACACACACAATTTGCCCCGCGTGGATGTGGATTTTATTTTGGCTGAGCTTTTGGTAGCGACTCCTCTACTCCTCGATTCACGATTTCAGTTCAGTGCTTGGGATTTGTGAGCTCGTCCGTGCAAGGACTACTCCGGGGAGCCCTCGGCTGGCACGGCTTGTTTATGTCCTTTTTTATGCGGCCCGCATGACGTGCATTGCGCACTGCGTTGCGTTGCTCCTTTTCCTTAGCTTGCTAGTTATTAGGCGTTGGCATAGCCGAACTTTGAGCCTGGGTGATACTGTTCCGACGGGACACATGCAGCTCCTTGTTGTCCTATATGATGATGATCGTATGCTGATTTTCGGTGGCCACCATCTCCTCTTGCTTCTGTGTGCGCAGCCTTATATAGGTAAGGTCATCCGTTGGTTACATTTCCTGCACCAATCTGCGTACCATCGTCACCAGAGAGTTTATTCTGTGGGAATACCTCTGGGTGTTCGTATGGTTCAAGGAAGTCCGCACGGGTGTACGTTTTCCGTCGACCAGAATGGTGGCCAGCACGCCCGGGAGTTGCACTGGCCGATCGAAGGTTGCCGGCACTTGGTTCATTGCCATTGTCGCTTTTGAGGGTGGTGGAAATAAGGAATTTTTAGATGGTCGAACCCAGTGTGCCCTTTTAGAGCATCGGTATCAAAATAGTTTCATTTCAATCTTGATTTAAGTTAAATTATTTGAATATACATCTCGGCTTTCTCATGAGAATTCTCAACTCAGGGAAATGCTTTGAGTCAAGCCCTTAATTAAGTCTTTTATCTTACAGGAAAAGGTCACTAAGCAACCACTCCACATCATCAGTTCTAACTCTATTCGAGGCATACACTTATTTTTGCCCAGCAAATCCAGATCTACCCGTGGCTATTGGCAAGGACAAGTTCGTCTGTCAGTCACAGTTGCCTGCCTGCCTGCCACCAGAAGAATTTGCGAGCTGTGTGTCAAAGGTTGGACGTTATCCGTGCTGCAGCACGCGTCGCAGGGGAGGACAATAACGGAATAACAGGGCGGGGCAGGAAGGGGAAGCCAGACGAGGCGCCACCACCCGCGATGCCATGACGGTAATGCAGGGGAGCAATCATTTCTGGCAGCATGCGGCGACGACGACTGGCGACGACATCGGAGTGAGAATCACGTAAATGGCGTTGAATTACAGCCCGACAATCGAAGCGTTGAAGTCCCGAACTGACGAGTTCACTCCACTCGAACACCCAGCGCCCATCAGCCAGCTGCCATCATCCGCCCACCGCACCACTGTGCATCATTTATAAGCCGGGCTAGGCCACAGATTGTCTGGAATCGAGGCGAGTCGAGTCAAGTGCGCACGCACGCTACGAAGCCGATGATGAGCTCAGGACGAATACTGGTGGAACTTTATGACTGTGGGCCATGTGGGGTGTCACGTGCTGGCCTGCGTCTGACTCTGACTCCGGATTTGGCTCTGGCTCCGGGCACGGCTGAACAGCCGGATCCGGGTCCGGACTAGCCCCGCCCTATGGCGTTGTATAATTCATTTGACGCTGTCGACCCCTTCGCCGTGCGGAACTATTTATTCAATAATTCGACGTAAAAGCTTGGCACAACGCTATCCAAGGCTTGCAAAGGCACAGCGTCAGGGTTTTTTTCCACGCACGAATTTAGGAATATTTTAATAAGGAAGCTATAAACTGCTATAACTTCAATATTTTTTATTTTTATCTAAACAATTGTTAAAATCTTATTTGCCTAAATCTTATTTTGAAGTCAGAACAGTACTTTACGATAGCGTAACGATCGTAAAAATATCTTATTGAAGATACAGCACCTGAAAAGTACAAAAAACTTTTTTTTAGCACTTTGAAGATGGAATATCCCAAAAACCTGATGTATAGAAAATTTTTAAAGGACGTATCCAGGAAAAGTATATTCTGGTTCTTGATTTGTTAAAATTTGGATCATTTCATAAGCGGCCATGTGTCTACTACTGAACATATGTATTGTTTTTAAGATTAAGAAATTTCTAAATATTTTTAAATACAATTTTAACAAGAAAGAAAGCTAACTTTGGCCAGCCAAAGTTTGTATACCCTTGCAGGTAACAATTAAAATATATCATAACTAAGCCAAAAATGCATTTATTTCGATTCGGAAAACAGTTTTGTGTTAGTTTTTATTCATTTAAAAAAACTGCATACCAAATTTAAAATTTTAAAAAATCAAAATTTTTGGTCATTTTTGCTAATTTTAATGATGTTATCCCTTATCAAATTTCGCAAAAATGGCCAAAAAATCGATTTCTTTCGGACATGTCTAGAAAGACTCGCATGTTAATGCTGATCAAGAATATATATGGTTTATGGGGTCGGAAATGATTCCTTGACTTAGAAAAATATTATTTTGTATTATAAAATCTGATTTTTTATATTAAAAAACTTCTTGATTTTTTTTAAAATTAAAAATATCATAACTCGGCCAAAAGAGCATTAATTTTAAATCGGAAAACTGTTCTGTGCAAGATTTTCTATAGTTAATAAATCTGCATACTTCATTTAAAAATTTTGAAAATTCAATTTTTGATCAAAATCAAACATTTTAATGATGTAACCCCTTATAAAATTTTGCAAAAATGGCCAAAAAATCGATTTCTTCCTGACATATCTAGAAAGATTCCCCTGTTGATGCTGATCAAGAATATATATACTTTATAGGGTCGAAAACGTCTCCTTCACTGCGTTGCAAACTTCTGACTGAAATTATAATACCCTGCAAGGGTATAATAATCTATTTTAAAATCCTTTCAAAAACTAAAATTTCTTTATTTAGTTTATGACGTTGTCGTTGAGCAACTCTTTTTGCCATTGGGATAAATAGTGCAGCGTTCGATGGTGCATATTAGATTGTCGGCCTTCCAGTTGCATTTGGTTTTTGTTGTATGAGCTGCGAAACGTTCCTGATCTATGTCTGCAGGTGGTGGACCTTCCCTGGTAGTGCAGTTTCTTTTACCGTCCACAGATAATGTACAATTTTGGTACCTGCATTTTAGTCTGCCGTCAATCCATCTGCATTGGTAACGGCTGGAGCGTAGCTGGCTCTGGGAATTAGCTATGATCTCTGCAGTAGGCGGACCTTCCCTTGTCGTGCAGCTTTTTTTACCGTCTAACGAAACCGTACAAGTTTGATATATGCACTTATATTTGTCTTTTATCCATCTGCACTCGTGTCGATTAGCTTCTATATGGCTCGACGCTCCTTGATGGTGGTTATGGGTATTAGTAGGAATATGGGTGCCAGCCAAGACGGTGACCAGCACAGAGAGTAGTATAATCTGTGAGAACTGAGGAACATCTTAATTATGTCTTTAATTTATTTTACACTCTATTATTGACTTACAAGTAACTTCATTCTGCTAGGAATAAGCGAAATTTAAAGCGAGCCAAGCTTTATATAGAAAAATTATGGAAAAAAATGGATTCGAACTTTGAATGCTCTTAAAATATTAAATTACCAAAAACCAATATTTAAGTTGCATTGCATTATTTTTAAATTGAATTCTTTGTACCCGGTTTTGTTGAAAAATGAATTACAGCCAATTTTATCGTTTTCGGCATCGGTTTTAAATATTATAAATTTTCTGTTGAAATTATTTATGTATTTTCGATGTTATTTTTAGTAAAATACCAACCAGACTCATATATTTTTCAGAGAAAAGTTGAGGTCCACAGAGGTTATTTCTTATCAGCACAGCTCTTAATGGACGTTTTCTAGGAATTTCTTACATATATTTATACATTGATATTGACCCTGAGGTGGATCAAGTCCTTCAAGTACAAGCAAAGTTATTCGAATATATTATATAATGTCACAAGAAAAGAAGTAGATGTTTGAATTTAAAATCATTATTTTTAACTTGTTTTTCAAATTTCCCGCCTTAGCATAACCCAGCCCTCAACGAATAGCTGTCAAAACTAGGCAATCGTTACTATAATCGATAGCTTATCGAATAGAGCTGGCAAAAAATTATGTTTTCAACTATCGATAGTATCGTTTTTTTTTTTTAAATATATGTTAAATTATATAAATTACTTTGGTAACAAAAAATCAACATTTTATTTTGTGGTTGTGTAATCTTATATGTATAGGGAACATTTTATAGGGAACATCGATAGTATCGATAGTGCTCCGATGTTTTGCCAGCACTATTATCGATTGTTTGACAGCTCAACTCGGCGTGCTTCCGGTGCTGTCTCTTTCTTTTAAAAATTTCAGCCGACGAAGGTGGGTGTGTTTTTTTTTGTGCCATCCGCCGACATTACTTAGCTAATTTTTTCGTTTCTGTAGTTTCTGCCCAAAGCTATCATCATGGTTGCCCCCAAGAAGCAAAAGAAGGCTCTGGAGAGCACCAACGCCCGTCTCGCGCTGGTGATGAAGTCCGGCAAATACTGCCTGGGCTACAAGCAGACCCTGAAGACCCTGCGCCAGGGCAAGGCCAAGCTGGTGCTCATCGCCAGCAACACGCCCGCTTTGAGGTGAGCTCGTGCTACTGAGAAGTAGATTTCCATTGCGCCCAAGATGCCGTTTTTGCTGGAACCATATGGAGTCTTGCTTAAAGCTGACTGAGAAGTATGATTCCCATAATAAGTCAATGATGGAAACTATGGAGTAGTACATTCAATCTCGGCCAGCGCAAGCAGCAGCTAGCAGAGAGTGTTCCCCGGACGCGAGGCACTCTCTGTGTTACCTGCATCTCCACATGGTTCCGGCAACGACGTTGGATGCTTGGGGGTAAGAACTCTCTCTTGTGTGCCTGTAAATGTTGCACATGTCATGATGATCCTTTGATTCCGAATGCCTTGACGAATCCTTTTTATTACTAGAGACTCTTTCTGATGCCAAAAACTAACAGAACAGTGTCTTACCAATGTTAAGGTCTGGTTGCTAATATAACTATTTCTTGTCCATTGCAGGAAGTCTGAGATTGAGTACTACGCCATGCTGGCCAAGACTGAGGTCCAGCACTACAGCGGCACCAACATCGAGCTCGGCACTGCCTGCGGTAAATACTTCCGTGTGTGCACGCTGTCCATTACCGATCCTGGAGATTCGGATATCATCCGCTCGCTGGAGTCGGCTTAATTTAAACGCCTATTCACAATAAAGCTGTGTTTGACAAGATATTTTTGGAATAATCTGACCTTTTTATTTATAGTAATTATAAGAATTTATTTTTAAACATTAAAACGTGCTTCTGGGAATAGTTCAAATAGCTGGGTATTTGGGAATAAATTTTAATTGAGGCGAGAACTATAGCATCCACACTATTAAGTCCTTCATATCTGCTTACCTCTCACTAAATCGTTTAAAACTCGCGTCAGAAAAGTTAAGTATATATTTATTGTCATGCTCAAAAGTTTCATATTCCTGATTTCTTTTTAAGTACAATTTTTATATTGGCAAGCCATTTCCATATAAATTTCCAATTTTCATTGTTATAAAATTTCCAGATTTAAATGTCTTTTCTGGGCCTGAATTTAGTAAAACCATCCCCTCTCCTACTCATTCTTTTTCAAACTCGCATCCTGAGCCACTTTCAGCAGATGATCAAAGCTAGACTTTCCCGTCTGCATGACCATTCCATGGAAGACTTTGGTGCTCGACTCCGTTAGAAGTTCGTATGGCGAGCCGAACTCCACAACTCGTCCAGCGTCCATGACCAGCACCTTGTCGGAGTCCATGATCGTGTTCAGACGATGGGCTATCGTCAGCACAGTACACTCCTTGAACTTGTTCCGAATGGTGGCCTGGATAAGGCCATCCGTCTGGGGATCCACATTGGCCGTGGCCTCATCCATTACCAGGATGCGGTTCTCGCGCAGAATGGCTCGTGCCAAGCAGACCAACTGGCGTTGACCCACACTAAAGTTTGCTCCGCCCTCGGAAATACTGCTCTGCAGGCCTGTAGGTAACTCGGAGATCTCCTCCTTGAGGTGAACCTGTAAAATATTATAAGTAAGGGTAAATCATAAAAACCCTTAGGAATCAATCTGTAATTTACCTCTTCTAGAGCTTGCCAGAGCTTCTCATCCGGATACTGCTCAAAAGGATCCAAGTTATAGCGCATGGTGCCGGAGAAGAGCACGGGTTCCTGGGGAATAATCGAGATCTTGCTGCGTAGATCGTGGAGTCCCATCTCATTGGTGTCCCTCTGGTCGATGATTATGGATCCATTGTTGTAGGACAGCCGGAAGAGGGCATTAATCAGAGACGATTTTCCCGCCCCCGTGCGTCCCACAATGCCCACTTTCTCTCTGGGATTGATTGTGAAGTTCAGGCCCCTGAGCACGCAATCCGATTCGGGATCAGGCGCATATCTCAAGCTCAAATCCCTGGCTGTCAGTTGGCCCTCTTCTGGCCAACTCTTTGGTGGTTGCTTCTCAGGCGGCGATGTGTAGTCTCCCTCGGACTCCAGGTTCTTGTACTCGAGCACTCGCTCCACCGAGGTCATCGAATTCTCCAACTCGGCAGACTGACGCATGCCCCACTGCACCATTCCGGTCATTCCCAATGCCTGGGTGATGGCCAGTCCAATTTGGCCGGGATTGTGCAGTGGCGGATTGAAGAAACTGTTTAGGATCACCGAGATCACGTACGCCACGCAGAAGAGGTCCAGGTAATAGCCGAAGGCCCTGCTGGTCGAGACGAACGTGTAGTAGCCGGAGCTGTGGAGATCCTGGTAGTTGTCGTATTGCCGGGTCAGCGTCCGCTGGGCACCCATCGCACGGATTGTCGGCAGCCCGGAGAGAGTGGCACTGAAGTGAGAGTACATCGGCGACCGAGCTACCGCCTCCAAACGCTTCACATCCCGCGAAGTCTTCAGATAGAAGTCCCGCCAGTAATAAAAGGCCAGCACCATGGCGAGCGTGTTGAAGAAGTACCAGGGATTGGTGAGGCACAGCACGCAAATGATGCCAGTCAGTGTAAGGAAAATCTGTATGCAGTCCAGCATCACGGCGGGCAGCACCTCATCGACCTGGCCCAGGTCCATGGCGAACCTGTTGAGGATCCGTCCCGAGGGATTTGTGTGAAAGAAGTACAGAGCTGTGCGGGACACGCCCTGGAACATGGTGTTGTGCAACTCGGTGGAGGAGTGCATGGTCATGTTGAAGAACAGCAGAGTGCGCAGCAGGGCGCAGATAACCAGACCCACATTAATGGCAGCAAAGCAATAAATATCCGCGGATGACGAAGACGAGTTGTTTTTAACCCTGCAATAAAAATAATAAAGTAGATATTTCGCCAAGTAAATGTAGTACCCACCAGTAGGAAAGGAAGTAATCCCCGCCGGAGGCCAGGAGTTGAGTGCCAGCACACAGGAACACCAGCAGGGCGAAGACCACGATGCTGCAACCGGCGCCAAAATATTTCTTGTACATCGCCAAGCCAATTTTACCGCCACTGCGAGACTCCTGCACCGGCGCTGAGCTCGGCTTCTGTTTCGCATCCTTGTCCCCCAGGGTATCCAGCGATGAGGAGCTACTGCCTCCGCTTACAGTGCTCTGGCTGCTGCACTGACGGGAGTAAACGGGCGACTTCTCTTCCGCCTCGTCGCCACCGCCATTTGCAGTACTTTCTGCCAGCAGCTGGGCAAAGTCCTGGCCGCTCTTCAGCATTTCCTCGTAGGTGCCACTGGCTAACACCTTGCCCTTGTCCATGATCACAATGAGGTCGGCGTGCTCCAAGAACTGCAGCTGATGGGTCACCAACACCACCAACTTGTCGGCGAGGAAGCCGCGCATGCACTCGTCGAAGAGATGTCGTCCCACATGGGTGTCCACGGCGCTTAGCGGATCGTCCAGCAGGTAGACATCCGCTTTGCGGTATACAGCTCGGGCCAAGCTGATCCTGGCCCGCTGACCACCGGATAGCGAAGCTCCACGCTCGCCCACCACAGTGCCATCGCCTTGCAGTAGTTCCAAGTCGCGCTCCAGGGCGCACTTTTTCAGCACGGTGCGATAGCGTTGCTTGTCCATGGGCAAACCGAACAGGATGTTCTCACGCACCGATGCATTGAAGAGCCAAGGCTCCTGGGAGGCATAGGAGTACCTGCCGTGGACATGGACGCCGCCAGCTTCGGGCGGCAGTTCTCCCAAGATGGCCTGGACAAGGCTGGACTTGCCAGAGCCGACGGGTCCGATCACGGCCACCAGTTGGCCTCGTCGCAGCCTCATGCTGATGTTGTCCAACACGGGCTCGTGCAAATCCTGACTCCAGCGCGCCCTGAGTTCTTTTATTTCCACCAGGACATCTGACCCCAAGCCATTTCCAATGGCGTTCTTAGTGGGCTTCTCTTTTCCCGACAGCAGATGCTGTTCCTCCTCTGGCTTCTCATCCGCTTCGTAGGAAAGGTCCATTATGTTTGCCTCGTCGCGCATCATAAAGTTTTTGATACGACGCATGGAGACCAAGAGCTCGGCAAACTGGGACATTCCGCTGGGAAAGAACTTGCTCACAGTCCGCCGCAGTATGTTGTAGAACGCGGTGACGCAGAAGGCCCTTTCCGCCGTCAGTTCCCCGCCCATCAGGACGAATCCCAGCAAGCTCACAAAGATGGCTATGCGTCCGAGGGTAATCTCAAAGGAAAGCAACACGCCGCGCAGTAGATTCACCTGCCGTATGGAGCTCATCTCGCTGCGGCGCAACTGCTCGATCAATCGGCCGAAGGGGCGCTCCCAGGTGTACATCTTGATTACCTGGATGCCGGAGATGATCTCGTTCATCATGCGCACCCGCTGGTCCGTTCGCAGAGCCGTTTGCATACGCAGTTTGGACGTCACTCGGCTGAGATACGTTTGCAATGGCAAATAAAGAAGCAGGATGCCGATTCCGTAGAAGGAGGCCGCTCCGATCTGCTGGTACAGAAAGTAGGCGGCGATCAGAAGCTCAAGGGGTCCCAGCCACAGGAAATGGAAGTGGATCAGGGCGCGATCGAAGCGATTCAAGTCGTTGGAGAGCAGGTTCACGACCTGGCCAGTGGTGGTATCCCCAAGCGAAGTGCGGCTCAGGCGCAGGGCCTTGCGATAAATGGCGCTGCTCACCGCCACCCGCATCTTCATGGCCAAGTGCTGAAAGGAATAAAATTGTTTAAGTAAAGCTGGGGGGAAACTACTAAAGTTATTAAATCCTTACCATCATGCCCATCATATAGGGGTGCGTGAGAAGTACGCTGGCCAGGATGCATGCTATCAGGAGCACGGCATAGATCTGGGCGGGGTAGCTGTTGCCATTTCCATGGGCACTAAACTCCGATATCAGCCCGGCCAGAAGAAGCGGCACCGTGGCCCTGTAACGGAATTAAAAACATAAATTAAATGATTACAAATTGTTAATTCCTTATCGGCTGATAAAATCCGAGGCTCACCTAGTGCCCAGCTCCAGGGCGGCGATGATAATTCCAGAGAGCAGGAGCTGCCAGCCAAAGACACGTCCGATGACCCGCAAGACACTTGGCTCCCGCTTGGTGCCAGCTTTCCGGCGGCACAGCGCCACCTCGTCCTCCCAGGCGCGATAGAACTCATCGCCCAGGCTCTCCGCCCGGTGCTCATCCAGGGCATTGTACAGATCCGTGGGCTGGAGCGTTTGCTTGCGGCCCTTGAACAGTATGGGCAGGGCAAAGCTGGAAGAAAAGAGGTCTTATGTAAATCGATTTCGCAATGGTCAGCAATTGTTATTTATGCTACGAACAATATGGTGTCCGATAACAGTTGTCTTCGGATATCAGTTCTCAACGCGGCAGGTGTCACTTATGGTTCTTATAGCGTGTGATAGGATGTAGTAAGAGGAGCATAGTGCGTACCAGAACATTAGCGAGGATAAAATACCTGCCGACTCGCGCGGATTGGGCGGCAACTTGTTGGCCTGCAACATGATTATGCAAATGGTCGAGCACTTTTGGGGGTTTTCATAAATAATTTAACAAGCGGTCGGTGCTTATCATATGCTATTGTCACTACTCCGGCTTAAGCTCCAGTATTTCATCACAATTTCACCACAAGTACAAATCGATGGCTTCACAGGGCAATCTAATTAACAGACGCAGTTGATCCAATACAGCATCAGGATTTCACAACGCGACAGAAGCCAAAATAAATCGAAAAACTTTCCACTCGCCAGATGCGCAAAAACAAATCACTTGAGCGTCCACGACGCCCCGCTTTTCCAATCATTCTGTTCGTTGTCGCGAAACGATTCCACTCCATGCCTCCAAACCAAAGGCCGTCGTCGACGCCGAGCCCGGAATCAGCTGTTCGACCGGCTGACGCCAATACGGATGCGTATGTACGGGCGTTAGATACATTCATACACACATATTACATTACATCGAGCGCATTAGGGTGGACCTTTCACTGATAAGATAAGTTATCGTGTAAGTGCTTCGAGTCTCTATACTTAATTTAAGAGTCTATTGCCAACTTATTATTTATATGAAATTATAATTTTTAAGTGCTGACTTTTTAGTTGGAATTCTCATTTGCACCGTGTTAGATACATAAAATGTAAAGATACATAAAATGTATCTATGAACCTAAAAGAGCACCTCAATGTTCCCACAGTTGTACTATGCTTTTCATTCAAGGCTTTTCCAACTGTGGCAGCTTAAAGTGTGTGTTTTAATGATAAGATAATAGAAATCTGTTTACTTTATTGATTCTAATTAATTCCAATCGTGTTCTGTAATTTTATTATTTAACGTAAGTGAACGATAGATAAGATAGTTTTGTAATTTATACTTTAAGATACTTTGAAATTTTGTAGAAAGCGCTAACCCCGGTATTAATAGTTTGTATGTAAAATTTAAAAATAATAATTTAAGAGTCAAACTGCAAGGGTACAAATATTAAGTACAAACTTCTGCCTAAAATCAAAATACCCAGAAAAGGTATAATTAAACTGATAATTGTTCAATTAAAAAGCCACTAATCAGTATTAATTAGTAATGTGTTCTGAGATTTCATCATCAAAAAAATTTGATGATTTCCACAACCAATTGAAATATTTATTAATCACTTATAGTTACATATCTACGAGGAAAGTCTTTGACTTGAGTCCTGTGTACTTTCGAAGGCCTGAAATGGAAAGAATTTAAAGTAAGGAAGCTGCTGTTTTTCATTTAACCCTGTACCTTTTGTGCACTTCTCCAAAGGCTTTCGCTGGTGGCCTGACCAGTCTTTTCGACCATATCGTGGAACACTTTGGAATCGGTCTTCGTTAAGAGCTCGTACGGCGACCCAAACTCCACAACTCGTCCAGCGTCCATAACCAGTACCTTGTCGCAGTCCATGATCGTGTGCAGGCGATGGGCTATCGTCAGCACAGTGCACTCCTTGAACTTGTTCCGAATGGTGGCCTGAATTAGGCCATCCGTCTCAGGATCAACGTTGGCAGTTGCCTCATCCATTACCAGAATGCGGTTCTCGCGCAGAATAGCTCTGGCCAAGCACACCAGTTGGCGCTGGCCCACACTGAAGTTGGTTCCACCCTCTGTAATCTTGGTCTGCAAGCCAGTGGACATTTTGGCCACCACATCCTTGAGCTTCACCTCCTCCAGGCTGCGCCACAGCTTGTCATCTGAGTACTCATCAAATGGATCCAGATTGTATCGCATTGTGCCGGAGAAGAGCACGGGTTCCTGGGGAATGATCGAGATCTTTCTGCGTAAATCGTGGAGACCCATATTGTTGGTATCCCTCTGATCAATGAGAACGGATCCATCGTTGTAGGACAATCGGAAAAGGGCATTGATTAGCGATGATTTTCCTGCTCCTGTGCGTCCAACGATTCCGACTTTTTCCCGTGGCTTTATGACAAAGTTTAATGACTTGAGCACATAGTCCGCCATAGGATTAGGAACATAGCGTAAGCTTAGCTCATCGAAGATTATTTTCCCTTGCTCTGGCCACGACTTAGGTGGCTTCTTATCCAGCGGCGCTTCCAATGCTCCCTCAGGCTCAATATCTTCGTACTCCGTCACTCGTTCCACAACAGTCATTAAATTGACCAGCTCGGCGGATTGAAGCATTACCCACTGCACCAGGCCCGTCAAACCCATCGCCTGTGAAATGTTTATTATTTCATAGTTATTTGACCCATGACGGCCGTATTATGACCCACCTGTGTTATGGCCAAACCCACTTCGCCACCGTTGGCCGGCGGAAAGGCGAAGAAGCTAAGCGTGGTGATTGCTATGTAAATTACACTAAAGCAATCCAGCCAATAGGCAAAGGCACGGGATGTTGTGAGGAAGGTATAAAATGCAGAACTGTGTACATCCTGATAGCTATCGAACTCGGACTCCAGGATATGCTGAGCTCCGAAAGCGCGAATTGTGGACAGACCCGTCAGGGAGGACGCCAAATGAGAGTAAACCGGAGATCGAGCTGTAAATAAATTAACCAGCGTTACGAGTAAAATAGGTGAACATTATAACCCATATTATGTTTTGTTATCATACGAAACTCTGAGTATAACTTAGGATAAATATGTAATGGGTTTAATAAAGCCGGAGTCTTGAAATAATAGAAAATATTTATCGGCACTCGACCGGATCGATAGACTTACTTCTAATCTGATTATTATGTTATACAGGCAGTCTACATAAACTCTTGTAATAAATTTGTAATCTATCATATTTGTACAGGATCTTTGCAAACACTCACCTATTGCCTCGATGCGCTTTATATCCCGAGATGTTTTCAGATAAAAACTTCGAAACTTATAGAAAATGATGCCGATCACGAAGGTTGGAGCGAGAAGCAACGGATTAACAACGGCTATAATGATGACTATGCCACCAAGGAGAAGGAAGAGTTGTATGACGTCCATCATCACGACAGGCAGCATCTCGTCCACCTGTCCCATGTCCTTTGAGAAGCGATTCAGGATACGTCCTGGTGGATTCGTGTTAAAGAAGTACATGGAAGCACGGGATATCGCATTGAAAATGGAGTTGTGCAGTCCGATGGAGCACTTCCTGGCCAAGTTGAATATTAAAATTGAGGAAGCTACTGTTGTCCCAATCGACAAGACTGTGATCAACGTAAACAGGCCAACGTCCACTTTTTCAGTACTCAAAGACCAGCCCGTGTTTTGCTCCCACATTGAAGGAAGATCTGGGCGAAGTGTATTATTTCCTTCTTGGACAGCACTTTCCCTGTATTTGGAAACCCTATAAATAAAAATTACTTTCAGTTCCACTTTTCAAAAGTAATGAACGTAAAATTACCAATAAATCAGGAAGCAGTCAGACAAAGAGATGAATCCACGTGAGAGTACACAGATGATTATTATAACAAGGAAAGCGAAAAGTCCGCCGCCAAATGTAAAGTACTTCTTGTACAAATCGAGGCCAATACGACCTGATCCCTGGTGCTCCTCGTTGATCTTTTCTGCACGTGAATCATCTATAGATTGCAGGGATTCTTCACTGTTGCATCTTTTCTCGTTGTGAGTGTTACTGAAGCTTGATAATCGAGAGCGATCGTCGTCCTGTTCATTCAGCTCTGTCATCTGTTCCTTTTGCTCCTTTTGTTGATTCTCAACCACAAAGTTCGAGAAGTCCATGCCCGCCTTAACCAGAGACTCGTAGTTACCTACGGCTCGCACCTGTCCCTCGTCCATGACCACAATCTGATCTACGTGTTCCAGGAACTGCCTTTGATGGGTTATCAGAACTACGATGCGATCTCTGAGGTATCCGCGCATGCATTGCTCGAAGAGATGTTTGGCTACATGGGAGTCCACCGCACTCAGGGGATCATCCAGAAGGTAGATGGAGGCATCTCGGTAAACAGCCCGAGCTAAGCTGATCCTCGCCTTTTGGCCGCCGGACAACGAAGCTCCTTGCTCTCCTACCAGCGTTTTGTCCCTAAGGGGCAGCAACTCGAAATCCCGCTCCAGAGCGCACTGCCTCACCACCTTGGCGTAACGCTTGCGCTCCATTGGCTGACCAAAGAGAATGTTCTCCCGTATGGTGCCGGAAAAAAGCCATGGCTCCTGGGAGGCGTAAGACATCGTTCCATTAACTTTAATCTCTCCAGATTCCGCACTGAGCTCTCCCAGAATAGCCTGAATGAGGCTGGATTTGCCAGAGCCGGTGGATCCAAGAACAGCAAGCATCGTCCCGGGCTGAACACTCAAATCAACTCCGTCGAGAGTATAGTCAGGACAGTTGGTGTCCCATTTGGCCTTCAGTCCGATAATTGAAATACTTGACTTTGAAGGGACTGAGTTGTGAATATAAGTGTTGCGAGATTGAGTTAATAACCTATCCTCCTCCTCATCGTGACCCTTTTTTGTCTGGGCCCTAATCGAATCCACAATATCATCTCTCTTAGTAACCTCCTTCACCTCTTCGGATAGCATGAACTTCTGCACACGACCAAGGGAAGCCCGAATCTCCGCCGTCTGTGTAATGGTTTGAGGAAAGAAAACCAGCATAGTGACTTGCAGGGCGTTGTAGTAGGCTGTGATGCTAAAAGCAACCTCATGCGTAAGAAGCTGGCCCAGCAGAAAGTAGCCAACTAAGCTGAAAAAGATGGAGGCGCGAGAGAGGAAAATTGGGAACGACGCAACAATACCCTTGATATAGCTTCCGTGGCAAATGGCGTTGGCCTCCTTTTGTCGCGCATGGGCCACCAATCTCTCGAAGGGGCGCTCCCAAGCGTACATCTTTATCACCTGGATGCCCGAGATGATCTCGTTTATCATTCGCAGGCGCTTGTCTGTGCGCAGAGCGGTCTTCAGGCGTAACTCTATGGTTTTCTTGCCCAGGTACAACTGCAGGGGAATGAAGAGCAGCATAAAGGCGACTCCAAATACGGCTGAGATTCCAATCTACAAAAAAGAAGATCCTCTCGATTTGTCCGAGAAATAATACTATATTCCAATTACCTGAAGGTACATCAGATAGGTGACCAAAACTGTTTGCAAAGGCCCAATCCATAGGAAGTGCGTGAAGAGAATGTTACTGTCCAGGCGACTGACGTCGTTGGAAATCAGGTTGACCACATGGCCAGAAGTGGCAGCGCCCAGAGCCGTCGTACTGAGTCTTAGCGACTTTCGATAGATCATGCTGCTCAAGCTCACCCGTGCTCTAAAGCCTGAAAATCAGTTAAATAAATAAAATTATTAGATTAAAGTCTATGACTATGTATATCTAACAGTAAGGAAGACAAAAATTAAGTTCACACTTACTTAAATTCCACAAGCCGCACATGGTGGGATGTCTGAAGATAACGTTCAGCCAAGTTGATAAGATCAAGCCGCCCGCATAGAGATAGGCAGTCTCAATGGACTCCAAACCGTATGTAAAGTAGGAAATAAATTTCAGGAGGATGAACGGTTGAATAGTTCGTAGTCCCACCTCTCCTACGAGGAGCACAAATCCGAAGAAGCCGAAGTGCCACCCGAACTCCCGCAGGAGAGCCCTAACAAGGCTGGGTTTACCTCCTGAACTTTTAATTTCTCGCTCCCATGAATCATATAAATTTTTGCCCAAAGGTTCTGGAAGAGTGAAATTGTACATGTACATTGTAATAAGAATGAAATTATCAAATTAAAAAAAAAAACAAAACAAAACCCTAAGGGTCATAGTTTTCGGTCATTTTAATCTTGTAAAATAAGCTGTTTTAAATAGTAAATTTTTTTTTTGTACCAGACTGATGCTCCTTCATCGTTCTGTAGAGATCTTTTATATTCAAAGTGCGTTTAAGGCCCTTAATAAAAACGGGTATCGTGTACCTAAAATGATTTATTATTCACTAAATGTAATGTAAGCCCCGAGTGTTACTCACCAGAAAGTTAAAACCGACAGGAAATTCGCCCGCAATTTAGGATTTTCCAGTACAGTTTTCGTCTTACTTGACTCCATTTTTACAACTAAAAAAAATAAAGTTAAGTTAAATCCACATTGCGAATGTAATTTATGTATCCCATCAAATATGTTTATATTATTATTTTGTAAATTTTTTTTCTGTGTATGCTATTATGCTTTTGTCGAAGACTGTTATCAAAACAGCTGTTAATGTAGCGCAATTTTGTTGTGGAATCCTATCTAATCATATGCAGTTCTTCGCTCAAAAGCTCAACCGTCAATTAAATCATTCAAGTCACAAACTTTCGATCCACACGAAAGTACCTTTTTTTTTTTGTTAATGTACTAAAAATATTTCGGGCTCCCCCTCTCGCAAAATTAATGCTCCAGGCCAGTCCGCGATCCGTCCGCGCCACAAAGAGACCTCTAAACTACTGAGGGCAGTGAACTTCATACATGTGCTCATAATACCAAAAGTAAGAGAGATAAGAGTTATTTAATGGCTCTTACATATATATCCACAAGCATCGTTATAAAGATAGAAAAAGTTAACAACAATTAAAGCAAAGTTTATACATTTCAAACAACATTTTTTTCTAGTTTCACTGTTTATTAATTGGTTTCATAATCGGCGCTTAGCTGAAAACAAAAGATTAATTAATCATTTAATTGTAACTAAAGAGCATGCCGATTAGAAAAGAATTAGTAAATAATTTTTAATTTTTATTGCATTTATATTCGTCATAAAATTTGACATAAGTAGTTTTTTGATTTGTTAGTTTATGATAATATTAAACATAGTATTCTCTCCTACCAAATCCTAAATGCACGTGTATTAAAAAAACGACACTGTTTCCAATTTATTCAAAATCGCTAAAGTTAGGTGCGTTGAGAGAGGGAACATTGAAAGGCCTGTAATTAAATATTGGTTAATTTCTTAATTTAATTTAGTTCATTATGGATATATTTAAGTAAATAATAACCTTCTCAGCGATTTTAAACAGTCCGTCGTAGGTAACTTGACCCATCTGCTTTACCATGCGTCGAAACACCTGAGACTCTGCCACCGTTAGCAGCTCGTATGGTGTCCCAAACTCTACAACTCGTCCAGCGTCCATAACCAGCACCTTGTCGGAGTCCATGATCGTGTGGAGGCGATGGGCTATTGTCAGAACTGTGCACTCCTTGAACTTATTCCGAATGGTGGCCTGGATAAGGCCATCAGTCTGGGGATCCACATTGGCCGTGGCCTCATCCATTACCAGAATGCGGTTCTCGCGCAGAATAGCTCGTGCCAAGCAGACCAACTGGCGCTGACCCACACTAAAGTTGGCTCCACCCTCTGTGATTTTACTTACCAAACCATTGGGCAGATCTGCCACCACATCCTTGAGCTTCACCTCTTCCAGGCTGCGCCATAACTTATCATCAGAGTACTCGTCAAATGGATCCAGATTGTATCGCATTGTACCAGAGAAAAGCACAGGTTCCTGAGGAATAATTGAGATCTTGCTACGAAGATCATGGAGACCCATATCGTTGGTATCCCGCTGGTCAATGAGAATGGATCCATCGTTGTAGGACAGTCGGAAGAGGGCATTGATTAGCGAAGATTTTCCTGCTCCTGTGCGTCCTACTATTCCGACTTTCTCTTTTGGATTTATGTGAAAGTTTAGCGACTTTAGAATACATTTTGCCCGTGGATTTGGAATATAGCGCATGCTTAACTCATCGAAGATTATTTTCCCTTGTTCTGGCCACGATCTAGGTGGCTTCTTATCCAGCGGCGCTTCTAATACTCCCTCGGGCTCGATGTCCTCGTACTCCACCACTCGTTCCACGGCGGTCATGAGATTCTCCAGCTCGGCGGATTGTCGTATTGCAAACTGCACCAGGCCCGTCAAGCCCAGGACCTATAAATCAAATATGTTTATGTGTAAATTTTAATTTTGATAGTCTTATTTTACCCTACCTGTGTTATAACTAATCCTACATCCGCGGCGTTAGCCGGTGGAAAGACAAAGAAGCTAAGTGTGGCTATCGTCATGTAAACCACACACAGGATGTCCAGCCAATAGGCAAAGGCGCGGGATGTCGTTAGGAAAGTATAAAATGCAGAGCTGTGCGTATCTTGATATCCGTCGAACTCCGCCTCCATAATGCGCTGGGCTTGGAAGGCCCGAATGGTGGTCAGGCCGCTCAGTGAGGAAGCCAAGTGCGAGTAAACTGGAGATCGGGCTATGAAAAAGTGGGGGCATGAGCGGTAAGTTAGTGATGAACCTGATATAGCTGAATAAACCTTAAAAAATATCAATGCATAATAGTTACCAATTGCATCAATCCGCTTCACATCCCGGGAGGTTTTCAGATAGAAAGTGCGAAGCTTATAGAATATTATGCTGATCAAGAATGTAGGAGTGAGAAGCAACGGATTGACAACGGCTATGATGATGACTATGCCAGTTAGGCACAGGAAAGTTTGAATTACGTCCATCATTACGACAGGAAGCATTTCGTCCACCTGTCCCAAGTCCTTCGAGAACCGATTGAGGATGCGTCCAGGTGGATTCGTGTTGAAGAAGTACATGGAGGCACGCGATATCGCATTGAAAATGGAGTTGTGCAGTCCGATGGAACATTTCCTGGCCAGGTTGAATATTAGAAACGACGCCGCCACTGTCGTTATAATGGAGAATACTGTGATTAGTGTAAACCGCCAAATGTCCTTTTGCTCAGTGCTCATTGACCAGCCGGTATTCTGAATCGTATGATCTAGGGCAAGGGTATCATTACTGTCTTGGAGGGCTCCATTCCGGTTCTTTGCGACCCTAAAAAGGAGTAGGTTTATATAAATGTGGTGGTATTCCGTTCAACAATGAACTTACCAATAAACAAGAAAATAATCTCCCAAAGCGATTAAGCTCCGAGAAACTACAAAGAAGGTTATCATCACTAGGAATGCAAGAAGCCCGCCGCCAGACTTGAAATACTTCTTGTACAAATTAAGGCCAATGCGACCTGACCCTTGGCGCTCAATACTGATCTTCTCCAGACACGAATCCATAATAGATAGCAAAGATTCCTCACTATTACATGGTTTCTCGTCGTGTGCATTACTGGAATTAAGCCGGAAATTATCCTCCTCCTGTTCTTCCTTCTCCGCCATGTATTTCTTTGTCTCTGGTTCACCCAGAATGGTGGAAAAGTCCAAGCCCGCCTGAAGCAGAGACTCGTAGTTACCCACGGCTCGCACCTGTCCCTCGTCCATGACCACAATCTGATTTACGTGTTCCAGGAACTGCCTTTGATGGGTTATCAGAACTACGATGCGATCTCTGAGGTACCCGCGCATGCATTGCTCGAAGAGATGTTTGGCTACATGGGAGTCCACCGCACTCAGGGGATCATCCAGAAGGTAGATGGAGGCCTCTCGGTAAACAGCCCGAGCTAAGCTGATCCTCGCCTTTTGGCCACCGGACATGGAAGCTCCTCGCTCTCCCACAAGCGTTGTATCTTTTAGGGGCAGCAACTCGAAATCACGCTCCAGAGCGCACTGCCTCACCACCTTGGCGTAGCGCTTGCGATCCATTGGCTGGCCAAAGAGGATGTTCTCCCGTATGGTGCCGGAGAAGAGCCACGGCTCTTGAGAGGCGTAAGAAATCGTTCCATTGACCTTAATTTCGCCAGATTCCGCACGGAGCTCGCCCAGAATAGCCTGAATAAGGCTAGATTTTCCAGAGCCGGTGGATCCCAGAACGGCAAGCATCGTCTCGGGCTGAACCTTTAAATCGACTCCATTGAGAGTATAGTGGGGGCAGTCCGTGTCCCATTTGGCTTTTAGGCCGGTTATTGAGATACTCGAATTTGAGACGGCTGTGCTATTAATGGCGTAGATTGATGGAATTAATAACCTATTCTCTGCCTCCTCCCGACCCTTCTTTGTCTGAGCATCAAGGACATCTTTGCTATTAATAGCCTCCTTCACCTCCTCGGACAGCATGAATTTCTGGACACGACCAATGGTAGCCAGAATCTCCGCAGTCTGGGTTATGGCTTGGGGGAAAAACACCATCATAGTGGTTTGCAGGACGTTGTGGTAAGCAGTGACCATGAAAGCCACTTCGGGCGTAAGAAGCTGGCCCAGCAGAACGTATCCCACTAAACTGAGAAAGATGGAGGCGCGTGAGAGGAAGGTAGTAAAGGACGAAAGGATACCCTTGATATAGCTTCCGTGGCAAATGGCGTTGACCTCCTTTTGGCGCGCATAAGCTATCAATCTCTCAAAGGGCCGCTCCCAGGCGTACATCTTGATCACCTGGATGCCCGAGATGATTTCGTTCATCATCCGCATCCGCTTGTCCGTCCGCAGAGCGGTCTTCAAACGCAGCTCGGAGGTCTTCTTGCCCAGGTACATCTGCAAGGGAATGAAGAGCAGCATGAAAGCCACGCCAAACATAGCTGAGATTCCAATCTGCAGGAATATAATATAATTAATATTTTATAACTCTTTACGAATTACGTTGCTAATCATTTACCTGAAGGTACATTAGAAAAGTGACAAAGCCTGTTTGCAAGGGGCCTATCCACAGGAAGTGCGCCAAGAGGACGTTACTGTCTATGCGACTGACGTCGTTTGAGATCAAGTTGACCACATGGCCAGAAGTAGCAGCGCCCAGAGCCGTCCTGCTTAGCCGCAGCGACTTCCGATAGATCATGCTGCTCAAGCTTACCCGTGCTTTAAAGCCTGCAAATAGGTATGAAGAATATACAACTACTTACAAACTAAGAAGAGTTTTGGGACTTACACAGATTCCAGATGCCGCACATACAGGGATGTTTGCATATTACGTTAAGGCCAACTGATAAGATCAAGCCGCCTGCGTAGAAATAGGCCTTATTAGTGGACTCCGAACCGTGTGCGAAGTGGGAGATGAGCTTCAGCAGGAGTAGGGGCTGAAGTATTCGCAGTCCCCCCTCTGCCAGGAAAAGCAATAGCCCGAAGAAACCGAATTGCCATCCGAACACCCGCAGAAGGGCTCTCATTAGGCTTGGTTTGCTTCCCGAATTTTTAAGTTCTCGCTCCCATGAAGCATACAATTGGTTTCCCAAGGGCCCTGATAAAGTAGATTTAGAATTTTAATACAAAACCGAGATAAACGCTTTGTTAATTATTATACCCTTGCAGGGTATTATAATTTCAGTCAGAAGTTTGCAACGCAGTGAAGGAGACGTTTCCGACCCTATAAGGTATATATATTCTTGATCAGCATTAACATGCGAATCTTTCTAGACAGTCCGGAAGAAATCGATTTTTTGGCCATTTTTGCAAAATTTTTTAAGGGGTTACATCATTAAAATTTTGGATTTTGATAAAAAATTTAATTTTCAAAATTTTTAAATAAAGTATGCAGATTTATTAACTGTAGAAAATCTTGCACAGAACAGTTTTCCGATTTAAAATTAATGCTCTTTTGGCCGAGTTATGATATTTTTAATTTAAAAAAAATCAAGAAGTTTTTTAATATAAAAAATCCGATTTTATAATACAAAATAATATTTTTCTAAATCAAGGAATCATTTCCGACCCCATATACCATATATATTATTGATCAGCATTAACATGCGAATCTTTCTAGACATGTCCGGAAGAAATCGATTTTTTGGCCATTTTTGCGAAATTTGATAAGGGGTTACATCATTAAAATTCGCCAAAAAAGCCAAAAATTTTGATTTCCTAAAATTTTAAATTTGGTATGCAGTTTTTTTAAATTAATAAAAACTAACACAAAACTGCTTTCCGAATCGAAATTAATGCATTTTTGGCTTAGTTATGATATATTTTAATTGTTACCTGCAAGGGTATACAAACTTTGGCTAACCAAAGTCAGCTGTCTTTCTTGTTTTATAATTAATTTTCACACCTGACTTGTGCTCCTTCATAGTTTTGTAGAGGTCTTTTGTGTCCAAAGTGTGCCTAAGACCCCTGATAAAGGTGGGCATAGTGTACCTAATATTTATTTATTATTTATTTAAACACGTTTAAGTAAGTTGTAATGGCTGCTTTACTCACCAGAAAGTTAAAACCGAAACGAAATTCGCCCCCATTCTGGGATTTTCCGGCAAATCTACCTCGGCCGAATCCATTTTGATCATTATGAAATAATAATTTCTAACTGCTCCAGAAAACCTCTTAAGTTTATTTAGATCCACATGATCTTAATTTTAGATTTAGTTCCAATTTAATATGAGCAGGAATTTTACGACTGAATGTTATCAAAACAGCTGTTTTTGTAGACCCAGTTTTTTTTTTAACAGTGTTATCTAATCACATATATTTTGTATACGAAACCACAATATTTAATCAGATCATTAACTTTCTTACTAATTAAATATGAGTACAAATTTTTTCTTAACGTATTAAAAATATACCGAGTTGACCTTCTAGCAAAAAGAATACTATTGGAAAGTCCGTGATCCGTCCACGCGTCCGAGAGAACCTTATGCTACTGAGAGCAGCGAGGTTCATACATCATAACGCCTCACTCGCCCAACTGTAAGAAAGATAAGAGTTGTTTAATGGCCCTAACATACAAATCAAGAATAATAGCTATAAAGATAGGTACAGGGATTTGAACAATAAGAATAACGCTTGACAATCTTAAACTAGAAATTTATGTTATATGATAACCAAGTCGATTTAACTATGTCCGTCTGTCTGCCTTAATTTTGATACCCAAAAAAACGATAGGCATAATTAATGACCTAGCTGTTGATATTGCCAAGGGATCCTTCTAACATCCTTAAATTCTGTAAAGGCGTTAGATAACTTATGTAAGAAAAAAAAAACAAAAAAACAACTTATGATGATAAAAAGTCCATTGTCCTGGTTGATGATTCAGTTTTGATGTTTAGATGTGGTAAGCTAGGGAGCACTGTAATTATATTTAGAGAATTGATTAAGTAAACATTTTTAGTTATGTAACTAATTAGCAACAATAACCTTTTCCGCAATTTTTAACAGCTCATCATAAGTGGCTTGGCCTGTCTGCAAAGCCATGCCGTGGAAAACCTTAGACTCTGCCATGGTAAGCAGCTCGAACGGCGTCCCGAACTCCACAACTCGTCCAGCGTCCATAACCAGCACCTTGTCGGAGTCCATGATCGTGTGGAGGCGATGGGCTATTGTCAGCACAGTGCACTCCTTGAACTTATTCCGAATGGTGGCCTGGATAAGGCCATCAGTCTGGGGATCCACATTGGCCGTGGCCTCATCCATTACCAGGATGCGGTTCTCGCGCAGAATAGCTCGTGCCAAGCAGACCAACTGGCGTTGACCCACACTAAAGTTGGATCCACCCTCTGTGATTTTGGTTTGCAGGCCAGTGGACATTTTGGCTACCACATCCCTGAGCTTCACCTCCTCCAGGATGCGCCACAGCTTGTCATCTGAGTATTCATCAAATGGATCTAGATTGTATCGCATTGTACCAGAGAAGAGTACGGGTTCCTGGGGAATGATCGAGATCTTGCTGCGTAGGTCGTGTAAGCCCATTTCGTTGGTATTCCAGGTATCTATTAAAATAGATCCTTCGTTGTAAGAAAGTCGGAAGAGGGCATTGATCAGTGAAGATTTTCCTGCCCCCGTGCGTCCAACAATTCCGACCTTTTCCCGTGGTTTTATAACAAAATTGAGCGACTTGAGCACACACTTGGTCTTCGGATTGGGAATGTACCGCAAGCTAAGCTCATCAAACACAATTTTCCCTTGCCCTGGCCATGATTCAGGTGGCTTCTTGTCCACTGGTGCCTCCAATTCTCCCTCCGGTTCGATCGCTTCGTACTCTACCACTCGCTCCACGGCAGTCATGAGGTTCTCCAACTCAGCAGATTGTCGCATGGCAAACTGCACCAGGCCGGTCAAGCCCAGGGCCTGTAAAATAAATATATATTTAAATATAAATCCGATATGTTCTTATTTCAACATACTTGTGTTATGACCAAGCCCACATTTGCGGCATTCGTCGGGGGAAAGGTAAAGAAGCTGAGCGTGGTGACCGCTATGTAAATCACACATAGAAAGTCTAGCCAATATGCATATGCGCGGGATGTGCTAAGGAACATATAAAATGCAGAGCTGTGCGTATCTTGATATCCGTCGAACTCCGCCTCCATAATGCGCTGGGCTTGGAAGGCCCGAATGGTGGTCAGGCCGCTCAGTGAGGAAGCCAAGTGCGAGTAAACTGGAGATCGGGCTATGAAAAAGTGGGGGCATGAGCGGTAAGTCAGTGATGAACCTGATATAGCTGAATAAACCTTAAAAAATATCAATGCATAATAGTTACCAATTGCATCAATCCGCTTCACATCCCGGGAGGTTTTCAGATAGAAAGTGCGAAGCTTATAGAATATTATGCTGATCAGGAACGTAGGAGTGAGAAGCAACGGATTGACAACGGCTATGATGATGACTATGCCAGTTAGGCACAGGAAGGTTTGAATTACGTCCATCATCACGACAGGAAGCATTTCGTCCACCTGTCCCAAGTCTTTCGAGAAGCGATTGAGGATGCGTCCAGGTGGATTCGTGTTGAAGAAGTACATGGAGGCACGCGATATCGCATTAAAAATGGAGTTGTGCAGTCCGATGGAACATTTCCTGGCCAGGTTGAATATTAGAAACGAGGCCGTCACTGTCGTTATAATGGAGAATACTGTGATTAGTGTAAACAGCCAAATGTCCTTTTGCTCAGTGCTCATTGACCAGCCGGTATTCTGAATCGTATGATCTAGGGCAAGGGTATCATTACTCTCTTGGAGGGCTCCATTCCGTTTCTTGCCGACCCTAAAAAGGAGTAGGTTAATATAAATTAGGTGGTATCCCGTTCCACAATGAACTTACCAGTAAACAAGAAAATAATCTCCCAAAGCGATTAAGCTCCGAGAAACTACAAAGAAGGTTATCATCACTAGGAATGCAAGAAGCCCGCCGCCAGACTTGAAGTACTTCTTGTACAAACGAAGGCCAATATTCCCTGATTCTTGGCGCTCCACATTGATCTTCTCCATACACGAATCCATGATAGATAGCAAGGATTTCTCACTGTTACATCGTTCCTCATTATGAGGCTGACTGAGGCTACCCAATCGCGATCGAACCTCCTCCAGTTCACTCAATTCTTCCATTTGTCCCTCACCCTCTGGTTCACTTAGAATAGTGGAAAAGTCCAAGCCCGCCTTAAGGAGCGAATCATAGGTACCAACAGCACAGACCTTTCCCTTGTCCATGATCACAATCTGGTCGACGCGTTGAAGAAACTGCCTTTGATGGGTTATCAGAACTACGATGCGATCTCTGAGGTATCCGCGCATGCATTGCTCGAAGAGATGTTTGGCTACATGGGAGTCCACCGCACTCAGGGGATCATCCAGAAGGTAGATGGAGGCCTCTCGGTAAACAGCCCGAGCTAAGCTGATCCTCATCCTTTGCCCACCGGACAAGGAAGCTCCACGTTCTCCGACTAGTGTTTTGTCATTAAGACGAAGTAGCTCGAAATCCCGATCAAGAGCGCACTGCCTCACAACCTTGTCATAGCGCTTGCGATCCATTGGCTGATTGAAGAGAATGTTCTCTCTTATGGTGCCGGAGAAGAGCCACGGCTCTTGAGCGGCGTAAGACATTGTTCCATTGACTTTAATCTCGCCAGACTCCGCACTCATCTCGCCCAAAATAGCTTGAATAAGGCTGGATTTGCCAGAGCCGGTGGATCCCAGAACCGCAAGCATCGTCCCGGACTGAACCCTCAAATCAACTCCGTCAAGAGTATAATCAGGACAGTTGGTGTCCCATTTGGCTTTCAGTCCGGTTATGGAGATACTCGGCTCTGAGAAAGCTGTATTTTTAATAGTGTATATTGATGGGGTTAACAACCTATCCTCCGCGTCATCACGGGTCTTCTTTGGCCGGACTTCCATGGGATCGTCGTTTATAACTGTCTCCTTTACCTCCTCGGACAGCATGAATTTCTGAACACGACCAATGGTAGCCAGAATCTCCGCAGTCTGGGTGATGGCTTGGGGGAAAAACACCATCATAGTGGTTTGCAGGACGTTGTAGTACGCAGTGACCATGAACGCCACTTCGGGAGTAAGAAGCTGGCCCAATAGAACGTATCCCACTAAACTGAGAAAGATGGAGGCGCGCGAGAGGAAAGTAGTGAAGGATGAAAGGATACCCTTGATATAGCTTCCGTGGCAAATAGCGTTGACCTCCTTTTGGCGCGCATGGGCCACCAATCTCTCGAAGGGGCGCTCCCAAGCGTACATCTTGATCACCTGAATGCCCGAGATGATTTCGTTCATCATCCGCATCCGCTTGTCCGTCCGCAGAGCGGTCTTCAAACGCAGCTCGGAGGTCTTCTTGCCCAGGTACATTTGCAGGGGAATGAAGAGTAACATGAAGGCCACGCCAAGCACAGCGGAGATTCCTATCTGAAATAGTATTGTTTTTAATATAATGTCTTACTTCTGAGGAACCATCGTATTATCTAATTACCTGAAGGTACATCAGGTAAGTGACCAGGACCGTTTGCAGGGGCCCTATCCACAGAAAGTGGGCGTGGAAGATGTTATTGTCTAAGCGGCTGACGTCGTTTGAGATCAAGTTTACCACATGGCCCGAAGTAGCAGCGCCCAGAGCCGTCCTGCTAAGTCGCAGCGATTTCCGGTAGATCATGCTACTCAAGCTCACCCGTGCCTTAAAGCCTGAAAATCATATGAAGAATATAAAAATATGTAGATTTAATAGGGTCATAAAGTTAAGTAAGGAACTCTAGGAACTTACACAGATTCCAGATGCCGTACATACAGGGATGCTTGCATATCACGTTGAGGCCAACTGACAGGATCAAAGCACCCGCATAGAAAAAGGCAATTTTAGTGGATTCCGAACCGTGTGCGAAGTGGGAGATGAGCTTCAGCAGGAGTAGGGGCTGGAGTGTTCGCAGTCCACCCTCAGCTAGAAAGAGCACCAGCCCGAAGAAACCGAATTGCCATCCAAACACCCGCAGGAGGGCCCTCATCAAGCTGGGGTTCCCCCGGGAATTTTTAAGTTCTCGCTCCCATGAGGCATACAACTTGTTGCCCAGAGGTTCTGGAAGAGTGTAGATATAAGTATTGTATATCGCACCTCACGTGAGATAAGAATCTTAATTCTTCAAGATAAAAACTTGGCGTATCCGGCTGAGAAAAGTACTCACAGAAAGTCTTCTGTTTGTTTTCTTTTTTTCATACCTGACTTGTGCTCCTTCATTGTTTTGTACAGATCTTTTGAGTCCAAATTGTGCCTAAGGCCCCTGATAAAAGTGGGCATGGTGTACCTAATATATATTTCTATCTAATTAAAAACATTGTCGACAAATGTAAGATTCATTACTTACCAGAAAGTTAAAAGCGAAAGAAAATTCGCCCGTATTCTAGGATTTTCCGGCAAATCTTCCGTCTCTTTGGACTCCATTTTTTTAACTTAATAAATCTAAATTGAAATAATGCATTAATTTTGTTTTTTTTTATTTGTGTTGAGCTTATTTCTTTGTAGTCACTGTACATTTTAAAATGTTATCACAACAGCTGTCTGGGTATCCGCGATATTTTTAAACAGTGTTATCTAATCACATCAATTTTAGCTTTTAAATGCACAACAAGAATAGCACACTTACGATTAATGTATTACTTGTGTATATTTATATATCTTGCATATTTTTATTATATTCACAATTAAAAAAAAAAAATTGTATATTTGTACGTATATATCGAAATTTTAAGATTTCAAGCCACGATCCGTCCGCTCGGTAAAGGAGGTATAATGCAACTGCGATCGGCAAGGTTCAGACATCGTCTATTAACGCTTTAATCAGCCAAAAAGTAAATAAGATAAGATTTGTTTAACGACTAAATATCAAATTGCATTGTTATAAAGATAGGTCGCGGATCGACGCTAGTAAGATTAAATATACAAAGCCATAGAGAGATGGCGCTACTAAATAGTAAACAAAAACTTTAAGATAACGTATAGACACGAATAATGTTGATAAATCAACTCATCAAGGCGCGAATCCGCTTTTTAGGGTAATTATTTACATACATACAAACTATAGACCCGCTTTTATTGAATCCGACAAGATTTGATATTATTACGAGTTCTTAGGATTTCAGATCAATTGAAATTTTGCAATAAAACATTATCGGTTCTCTTACAAAAATCTTGTGGTACATCTAACCCGGAGGCTTATACTGAACTGAACAAAGGATAAGCTTAAGGAATAACGACGAAAGAGAGAAATTTTTAATATCGATATGCATCTTTAGCTATTAGTATAGGACACTATCTACCAGCTAAGCATTAATCACCCCATAAAACAATAAAAATATCTAAGTAGGAATATTTCGTTTATTTTTCAAAGGCACTTCTTTGCACTTATTATGATTTAAATACATACATATAGAAAATTAAACAACGGATAACTATACAGTGTTTAAGTTACACACACCGGGAAACATACGCACGTTCAAAAATATTTACACTCACACGAAATAACACACATTCAAAGCAAACTATTATTAATTAAGCTAGCTAGTAGCTACACTTAACCGGCTCGGTGTTAAGCACCTCGGCTCAATTCCTAAATATTTTGTTCCATATGCCCTGAGTCTTATGAGGATCGACGCAGACTCTGACCCTGGCTGTCCTCAAAGGCCTGAAATGAAGAGTCGTATTTTCAGTTGGTGCGATCATTTACAGATTATTCAAATGACCAACCTTTTGTGCGATTTTTAGCAATCCTTCGTAGGTGGCTTGGCCTGTCTGCTTCACCATGCCATGGAACACCTTGGAATCTGCCTTAGTTAACAGCTCGTACGGCGTACCGAACTCCACAGCCCGTCCAGCGTCCATAACCAGCACCTTGTCGGAGTCCATAATCGTGTGCAGGCGATGGGCTATCGTCAGCACAGTGCACTCCTTGAACTTGTTCCGAATGGTGGCCTGGATAAGGCCATCCGTCTGGGGATCTACATTGGCCGTGGCCTCATCCATGACCAGGATGCGGTTCTCACGAAGAATGGCACGGGCCAAGCAGACCAACTGGCGCTGACCCACACTAAAGTTTGTACCACCCTCTGTGATTTTGCTCTGCAAGCCGTTGGGCAGATCTGCCACCACATCTTTGAGCTTCACCTCCTCCAGGCTGCGCCACAGCTTGTCATCAGAATACTCATCAAATGGATCCAGATTGTATCGCATTGTGCCGGAAAAGAGCACAGGTTCCTGGGGAATGATCGAAATCTTGCTGCGCAGATCGTGGAGACCCATATCGTTGGTATCCCGCTTATCGATAAGAATGGATCCATCGTTGTAGGACAGTCGGAAGAGGGCATTGATTAGCGATGATTTTCCTGCTCCTGTGCGTCCAACGATTCCGACTTTTTCCCTTGGCCTTATGACAAAGTTTAGTGACTTGAGCACATAGTCCGCCTTGGGATTTGGAATGTAGCGCAAGCTTAGCTCATCAAACACTATTTTCCCTTGCTCCGGCCATGATTTAGGTGGCTTCTTATTCAGCGGCGCTTCTAGTTCTCCTTCCGGTTCGATGTCTTCGTACTCGACCACGCGCTCCACGGCAGTCATTGTATTCTCCAGCTCGGCGGACTGACGCATTCCCCACTGTACCATGCCGGTCATGCCCATTGCCTGAAAATATCGAGTATGGTTATTAATAGTTAATAGAAATTAATTAATTAATTAAGAGAGAGATTACCAACCTGCGTTATGGCCAGACCAACATCGCCGCCATTTGCCGGCGGAAAGACAAAGAAGCTGAGCGTTATTATGGCTATATAAATGACACAGAAGCAGTCCAGCCAATAACCAAAGGCCCTCGAAGTGCTTATAAACATGTAAAAAGCGGAGCTGTGCATGTCCTGGTAATTATCGAACTCCGCCTCCAGTACCCGTTGAGCTCCAAAAGCCCGAATAGTGGACAGTCCTGTGAGTGACGCAGCCAAATGCGAATAGACGGGGGAGCGAGCTATAAACAAAACGGTTAAAAACAGTTTAGAATTAGATTATCCAGAATAGGAAAGGATTAGCACTTACTTATTGCCTCCAAGCGTTTCACATCCCGCGAGGTTTTCAGATAAAAGGTTCGTAGCTGATAGAAAATTATGCCCAGGACAACGGTCGGGATAAGAAATAGCGGATTGACCAGGGCTATGACGATAACAATGCCAGCCAGCGACAGGAAGATCTGAATGACGTCCATCATTACGGCAGGCAGTATCTCGTCCACCTGTCCCATGTCCTTCGAGAAGCGATTCAGTATGCGACCCGATGGATTAGTGTTGAAGAAGTACATGGCTGCCCGGGTGATGCCGCGAAACATGGAGTTATGCAGGCGAATTGAAGCCTTCATGGCCAGGTTGAAGAACAGAAAGGAGCGCGCCACGGTCACCACGATGGTTAGGACCGTTATCAACGTGAATATATAGGTATCCAGCATTTCAGCGTCGACAGACCAGCCCAGATCTCGCATCCAAAGCGACAGTTGCGACTCGAGAGCCTTAGAGCTGAGTGTGTTGTTGTTCTCTGCTTGGGCAGCCACGTTTCCCTTTTTGGTAACCCTAAAAATGGAAAGAATGGAACGGAGTTAAGAGGAAACTCCACATAAAGCATAGTCTGCCCTTACCAGTAAGAGAGAAAGTAGTCGCCCAACGATGCCATCGCCTGCGACAGCACGCAGAATCCCATCATCACGAAGAAGGCGAAGAAACCGCCTCCAGCCTTGAAGTATTTACTGTACAGACCGAGGCCGATACGACCCGCTTCCTGGCGTTCCTGATTGATCATCTGTCCCGCCTCAGCCTCCGCGTCCTCCAGGCACGAGTCTGCTATGGACAGCAGGGATTGCTCGCTGTTGCGCCGTTGATCGCCGTGGCCGTGGCTGTGAGTGTAGCTGCCCGACCGTGACCGAGACTTCTCCTCCGACTGTTCATCTCGCTCCGGATCGGCTAGCATGCTGGCAAAGTCCAATCCGGACTCTCGCAGAGACTCGTAGGTGCCCACGGCGCTCACCTGACCCTTGTCCATAATCACTATCTGGTCGGCATGCTGTAGGAACTGCAGCTGATGAGTAGCCAGAATGACGATGCGCTCGCGCAAATAGCCTCGCATGCACTGTTCGAAAAGATGACGTGCCACATGGGTGTCCACAGCACTCAGTGGATCGTCCAGCAGGTAAATAGAGGTCTCCCGGTAAACAGCTCTCGCCAAACTGATTCTCGCCTTCTGCCCGCCGGACAGGGAGGCGCCTCGCTCTCCGACAATGGTTTTATCCTTAAATGGCAGCAACTCAAAGTCGCGCTCCAGAGCACACTTCTTCACCACCTTGGCGTAGCGTCGACGATCCATGGGCTGGCCGAAGAGGATATTTTGGCGCACGGTGCCGGAGAACAGCCATGGCTCCTGGGAGGCATAGGACATCGTTCCATTGACCTTGATCTCGCCAAACTCTGCGCGCAGTTCCCCGAGAATGGCTTGAATGAGGCTGGATTTACCAGAGCCAGTGCGTCCGACAATGCCCAGCATAGTGCCGGGCTGGACTCGGAGATTTACTCCATTAAGCGTATAGTCGGGTGAGTTGATGTCCCATTTGGCTCTGAGTCCAGTGATGGAGATGCCCGCCTCCGACAGCACGGCATTCTCATTAATGGTGGAGAGAGGCGGCCCTAACAGCTTGTCCTCGGCCTCATCGGCATCCTCCTCTCCGTCGGCATGCACCGTGGCCTGATTACTGCCTACGGGATCCTCCGGCAAGGGCACACTCCTGTCCGAGACATCTGTTTCATCCGATTGCATGTACTTCTGCACGCGCTTAATGGACACGAGGGTCTCCGCCATCTGGGAGATGCCTTGTGGGAAGAACACGGTCATGGTGGTTCGCAGGATGTTGTAGTACGCAGTGATCAAAAAGGCCACCTCCGGGGTGAGGAACGTGCCGAGCAGAACATAGCCGACAAGGCTCAAAAAAATTGAGACTCGGGTGAGAAAGATAATGAAGGAGAGCAGAATGCCTCTTATGTAGGATACGTGACGGATGGCGTTGATCTCCTTCTTGCGTGCATAGGCCACCATCTGCTCAAAGGGCAGCTCCCAGGCGTACATCTTGATCACCTGAATGCCCGAGATGATCTCGTTCATCATCCGCACTCGCTCGTCCGTTCGCAGAGCCGTCCTCAGTCGTAAGACCGAAGTCTTCTTGCCCAGATACGCCTGCAGGGGGATGAAGAGCAGCATAAAAGCCACGCCAAAGACAGCAGCGATTCCAATCTGCACATAGTGAATAGTTAGTGACCAGAAAGGATTAGGATTTACAGGATTCTAGTATTTCTGACCTCCCGGTACATCAAGTAAGTGATAAACAGAGTCTCCAGCGGCCCCACCCAAAGGTAGTGCACGAAAATGGTAGCCAAGTCTAGCCTGCCCACATCATTAGACATCAGGTTAACCACATGACCAGCGGTGGTGTCCCCAAGCGCCGTCTTGCTCAGTCGCAAAGCTTTGCGGTAGATCATGCTGCACATGCCCACGCGCATCTTGAGGCCTAAGGGATATCGGAAAACATTATGCTGCAGGGCAAATACAACCTCTGTCTGACTTACCCACATGCATAGTGCCCAGCATGTAGGGATGCATAATGATCACATTCAGGGCACTGCACAGGATCACTCCCGCGGCATAATAGTAGGCAGCTTCAATGGACTCCGAGCCGTGGGTGTAATAGGAGATGAGCTTCAGCAGGAAAAGCGGTTGCAGCGTTCGCAGGCCCAACTCCAGAATGAAGAGCACCAGTCCAAGCAGACCAAAGTACCAGCCAAACACCCGCAGGAGAGCCCTCAGCAAGTTGGGCTTTCCCTTGGTCTTTTCGAGCTCGCGTTCCCAGGAGGCGCATAGCTTGTTGCCGAGAGTCTCTGCAAAAAATTAAAGCAACAAGTGAATGCGAATTAATCGCAGATACGGCGGAACCCAATAAATTCGGATTACGGTTATCAATTTGCACGACAAAAATAAAGAAAACACAGAATCTTTGGGAGCAATTGAAGACAACAACAGAAAAAAAGAAGCAAATCAATTAAGACGGTCAACGAACATACTATGTATTTGGATCGATCAGTCAAATTAATTGTTCTCGTGATAGCTACAGTGTTTCTGGAAAGTATTCATATTCATTCCTTTATCTTCATATGACGATACAATTTTAATGATAATTGCTGTGTAATATAATGACTTGCCAACTGATTACAAACTGATGTGTCCTTAAATCAATTCGGAATCGCTGTGTATTTCATCATTAGATAAAATATTTACCCGACTTGTGCTCCTTGAGGGCCCTATAAAGATCTTTGGTGTCCAGCGTGGCCTTGCGCCCCTTGACAAACGTGGGCATGGTGTACCTACATATAGAAATTAATATTATATAAACATTAATTAATGATGAAATTTTCAAAAACTCACCAGAAACATGCTGCCGATATGAAATTTGATCGCTCTCGGGGATTTTCCGGCAGATCTGCCGTCTTCACCGACTGCATTTTGAGGTAAGGCCGCTAATGAATCTGAATTAAAGTGGCAATTAGATATAATAGCCGGTGACTGTAATAACCAATAGAGGATAACGGTAAAAGTAATTCAGTTGAGTGCTTGATGTTGAAAACAAAAGGCGATATAAGCACAAAACCGCGGCATGGCTTAATCAAACAAACATTTCTGTTTTATTTATCTGCGAATTGAATTCTCGTTGGCTTGGCGACTGGGAGAAGTCTGTGTATATTTTATTTATTTATTCCCCGCGAAACCAAGGGGCAAGGCAAGGTTGGATGTGTCACTGCTGCTCATAAGTTTTGTAATTCATCATAATGAGGTTTATACTTTAACGACAATCCGCCCTGTGGGCGAATAACATTCGAGAACAGTTAGTTCTTAAAAAACAAAACAGGTTGCTGGCCATTTCGCCATTACAGTGAAGATGCGTGGGAGTAAAAAAAGCTCATAAAAATATCTTTTTTAGTGAATTTTTTTAACTATTCTGTTTAGTTTTATTCACATTTGTTCAATCATATTAAACTTGTTTCTAACTTTTTAAACTGCTCCCGAAAAAAGTTTCCAAAAATACGTTTCGAGTAATCGGTCTTCACTGTATTTCTCTGCTCCTTCTTCGCTGTCTGTTTCATTCACTCGCGCGACCGAGAATAACCAATTCGGGAGGCGGCCGGGCCGTGTCAGCCATTTCCCCGTTCTGGGCATGCATTGGTGTGGGTACACACCCACACCCACGAAAAGCCGTACCACGTTGTTGCTGTACGAAAAGGGAAACGAAACTTCTCCAAAATTTATGCAAATCCATTACATTTATCGGGCAAACAAACAATAATCACGCATAGATAAAAGTCCGCATCATCGATGGTATTTCGTTTGCCTGTAAATTATCTAATCACATGGATTTTTTCCGGCGCACATATTTAAATAAATTGCCAGACAATCGGCGGTTGAGCACAATTAATATAATTGCTCCTGCTTGCGAAACCACTGGTGTGTACGTACATTTTGTTTCAATATTGTTTACATTTAACAATGACCAAACTGGCGAACGGTTCTCCGCGAACGTGAGAAGTGCTGCTATAGAAGGCCGGCTGGCACAGCTGGCTGGCAACGAAAAATAATGTAACAAATAATAAAACAAACTTCGGTCCGAGTGCCTGAAAGGGCAGCCGAATACTGGCGCTGGCTGTGGTGGCGTCGGCGACTATCGGCTCTTGATACGAATTTCGCCCTAGGCTACAGTCAAGCTTCGCGATGTGGGCTCCCTAGCTTGAAATACTATATATCTCTAGGTTCTGGTTTGAACAAAAAATTATTAATAAAAATTCAGTACCTAGAAATATTTGAATTTCCAACTGAAATATAAAAGGCAAGAATTCTAATATTAATTAAATTTAATTCAAGTATTTGCACTCGATGCCAATATTTCCATAATAGAAACATTCCGATTAGATAGAAATCTTGAACTTTATGCCAAAGTGAAAGTATTTTTTTATTTCAAGGCATAAAGGAAAAAGGTCTAAATAAAAATAATGATAAACAACAGTTCCTAAAGTTTTCTCCGATTCGTAGCTACTTTATCTATATGTATATGTATCTACATATGTTTTATTACATATATATTTTATTTCCCTATATTGTAAATAAATTCTACCATTTTAAAACTCGAAAATTTCTTTGACTTGTAATATATTTCTGGTAATGATGTCATACTGTTCCATTAGTGTGCATGTGTGCGTGGAGTATATTGCACATTTTACTTTCCTGCTGAAGACGGATCAACAAGTACAATTAAATATTTCAATGCACATTTGCATGATAAACAACAGTTCCTAAAGTTTTCTCCGATTCGTAGCTACTTTATCTATATGTATATGTATCTACATATGTTTTATTACATATATATTTTATTTCCCTATATTGTAAATAAATTCTACCATTTTAAAACTCGAAAATTTCTTTGACTTGTAATATATTTCTGGTAATGATGTCATACTGTTCCATTAGTGTGCATGTGTGCGTGGAGTATATTGCACATTTTACTTTCCTGCTGAAGACGGATCAACAAGTACAATTAAATATTTCAATGCACATTTGCATGCAAACATACATATAATTGTGTATATAATAAAAATACATAATTATAAATCATACACAGAAGGAATCGTTAAATCGTTACTACTAAGAGGTTGGGATTTAATTAAAATTAAACCATATTTTTTTATCTATTTATGTGTTTAATTGTATGTAACAATTAACAAAAAATGATCCGTTTTTAGTGATAAAAAGTATATTAGAGTATCAAGTTTACTGATTTCAGAAGTCCTTCTTTAAATAAACTTTATTAATATGGTTATCAGTTTCCCTCACTTAATTCTAATAAACACGTTAATGACAAATGAAAACATATTACGGAAGTCCTAAATTAAATAACCAATATGACTCAAGTCATAATTCTCCTACTTGAAGACCTAAAAATCCCTAAATATTACAGTGATAAATATAAGTTTTATTTTCACCAAGCTCTTTATATTTATCATTTATGTAAAAATACTGAAGTAAATGAGGTTTTTTCATTGAGATTTCAGAACTTAACTTTCATTAAAGTCGATAAAACCCCTTATCTTTCAAGCATAAATATCTGCGATGCACTTCACTCAACAGCCTCCAATCAAAATAATTTACACTTCCGTTTAGATTCTATAAAATAGTTCCGATTTCCAGTTTTATTTCTGTTGGGTTTATTGGTTTACATTGTCAGAAATGTAGGGCCCACAAGATTTCAAAACACAACTACCAACTAACGAACGCGGAAAGCTGTTACGAATCGAGGACGTCTTAGGCGACCAAGGCGGAGGCGGTGCTCGACTCGTATTTCCAGTTGGGCGGCAGGACGCTCTTAGTCTTGTAGTAGCGGGCCAGACGGTGAATCCTGGACTCGACCAGAATCAGACGGAACTTGCCATCCTTGTCCTTGCGGTTGCGCTCCAAATGCTTGCGGATGGCCACAGCCTTCTTGATCATGTGGTACAGATCCTCGGGAATGTCGGGCTTCAGGCCCACCGACTTCATGATGCGCAGGATCTTGTTTCCATTCACGAAACGCACCTGGGCGACTCCGTGCGAGTCACGCAGAATGATGCCTGTAAAACAATTACGAGCCATTGGTCAACATAACCTCAAACAACAACACTGGTACACAATACACATACCGATCTTGGAGGGCGTCAGACCCTTCTTTCCCAGCTTCTTGATCTGGTCCTTAACATCGTCGGAGTTCAGTTTCAGCCACGATGGGACGGTACGGCGGTAGGGGAGCGCTGATTGGGAAATACCCTTGCTGCGGAAAATCGAAAACTTAGTCTGTGTTCTGGCGGCGGCGACTGTCACAAGCGATACGTTTGCGCCATGTGCTTGCCACTGCTGGCCATTTTTCACGGCCAGTCAGCCCGTGAGCGGACCAAATGCATGAGCAGGGGCTAAATCCACACGGCAGACACATTTTGCGAACGTAACGCTCCGCGCAGATGCTTGGAAATATTAAATAAACGCATTTTTACCCAGGAGCGTGCATACGACCCATCTTGATAGTCTAGTTTTTGACACCGAAAAGAAGGTGGAGACTTTTGGCTCGTTGACAGCTCGCGATAGTGGAGACCTGTCAGAGCTGCTATCGATAGCCGACCGAACGATATCCCAAATGTTTTGCAAATTGGATATATATATAATCTCGTTGTTAAATAAGCATGTTTATTACGTTGCAAGTAATTTACTTTTTGACTGCCACGTGCAATGTTATTCGAAAATCAGTTGCACAATGTATCGATAGCCTACCGCCGATGACAGCGAAAGTCTACAAAAATCAGAGGTGCTTTGAGCAAACGGTCACATCATTGTTAGCAGCGCAGAAGAAATTAGCAAAACAAAATGCATTTAAATAAATACACTGAACTCTTGGAACGCCTGGAGAGCGAGGAATTGGAGGTGAGTCGGACCTGATCTGAGTGCATTGTTAAATTCCTCTGTTTCCGCAGCAAGTCGAGTTAGGAGCTGAGGTCTACCAGCAATTACTTGCGATTTATCTATACGAAAACAAACTGTGGGTATTGCAAATTTAGCCGACGTAGAATTCTTTAATTATTATTGACTTTGGCTACGCAGGGCCAATGCCAAGTTACTGTGGATGCGAGTACCCGACAAATTGAAGGAGGACAAAGAACTGAGTCAGTTAAATCTGCTGAACCTGGCGCTGCAGCACAACAACTACACCGACTTCTTCAAACACATCAAGTATGAGTGGTCCGAGAAGGTAAAGGCGCCTCTGGAAGACCTACTGCGTAAGTGGCCCAGGAAAGCGGCTTAAATAGTGGCTAACAGATTCCCTCTCCCAGTCAAGCAACGCGAGGAACTATTCACCCTGGTGGGCAGCGCCTACGTGTCCATCTACCAACAGGACCTGCTAGAATTGTCCCTGCTCTCGGAGAATGAGCTGAAAAAGACGTGTGCTGCCTTAGATTGGACCGAGGAACTCTACGGCGACCGTGTGATCCTGAAACCCAAGGTTAAGGAGACGCCGCCCAGTCGCGGCAACGATGATCAGTTGCTCAAGTTGACCGAATTTGTAACCTTCCTAGAAAATTAAGCCTTATTTAAACGGATATCAGTCAATAAAAATGAATCCTTGAAAAACAAGAATGGTTCGGGTCTGCGCTAGAGCCGTAAATCGCCTACTGCTGTAGCGCAGTTCCGCACCACTAGATATATTGCTCAGAATTTGGAGTTTTGCGTTGGTCACACTTCCCGTTGTGTCACTTGAAAAAAATATAATTTGCACCTCTCGTCGTCGGATTTTCATTGGAAAACCAATCGAAGAATTCTTTGTTAAATACGAGCAGATTGCAGCAGACGGAACGGAAAAGCCTGTGAAATTATTTGTTGTCTTATAAAAACTCGTCGCAAACCGCCCGAGGGCCAAGCCGATCTGATTTTACGCAGAATAGAAAAACCGATTTTCAGTGCGTGTGTGTGTGTGGGAAGCAGCAGAAAAGATGGCAGCGAGCGACAAATCTGTGGATGACTCCCTATATCCCATCGCGGTTCTCATCGACGAGTTGAAAAACGAGGATGTTCAGGTTAGTTAGAGTCTACGACCGGGCGGCTCCCGAAATGGCGAAATAATTAATTCTAAATGGGGAAGCGTGCCCTCACCCCTTCCGTCGGCTGTGTATTTGTGCAAAAAAATGCGTCATTGTGTGCATGGCTATTTTCGTTGGTATAGGTGTGAGCTTGTGTATGCACACTGCTGCGGAAAAAGTATATATTTTTTTTTCAAAGGCAATAAAACATCGATTAGTTCTCAATCAATTTTGCATACAAAATAGAATAAAAATCTCCAGAAAGCCAGCATTCACTATCGATATGCAGGATAATCGTTTGCCATGGAAACATTCCAGTGGAGCAACTGCATTTTGCAGTTCGATCAATTTGATAAATTTGAGGATGGACCTATAGGTTATATCTTTAAAGTGCTAATTTATAGAGCAATTTAATGAGTTCCATATGATATGTTTGTTTACTTTCATTGCACAACACTGAGTAATATAAAAAATTTACATTTATATTAGATATACCTTTCTTTTTTACATTATCCAATCCCATTATTCTTACATTATTTCCCGTAATCCCCTCAGCTCCGCCTGAACTCCATCAAAAAGCTGTCCACCATTGCTTTGGCTTTGGGCGAGGAGCGCACTCGGTCTGAGTTGATCCCCTTCCTTACTGAGACCATCTACGATGAGGATGAGGTGTTGCTGGCGTTGGCGGATCAACTGGGCAACTTTACAAGTAAGCATTTGGAAAACACTGGGATTTGTTGGATTTCCTTAACGAACAAATATTCCTTCTTGCTAGGTCTCGTGGGCGGACCCGAGTTTGCAATGTACTTGATTCCACCACTCGAGAGTCTGGCCACCGTGGAGGAGACCGTGGTGCGTGACAAGGCCGTTGAATCCCTGCGGACTGTGGCCGCTGAGCACAGTGCCCAGGATCTGGAGATCCATGTGGTTCCGACGCTGCAGCGTCTCGTTTCGGGCGACTGGTTCACCTCGCGCACATCGGCCTGCGGCCTTTTTTCGGTCTGCTATCCTCGTGTCACTCAGCCCGTGAAGGCAGAGCTGCGTGCCAACTTCCGCAAGCTGTGCCAGGACGAGACGCCCATGGTGCGACGTGCTGCAGCTAATAAGCTGGGCGAGTTCGCCAAAGTCGTGGAGACCGAGTACCTCAAGTCGGACTTGATCCCCAACTTTGTGCAGTTGGCTCAAGATGATCAGGTAAGCCAAGATCTTCTACTCTGTGAGGAGAACTTTAAACATTTAATTACTTTCCCGTTTCAGGACTCTGTTCGTCTTCTGGCCGTGGAGGCTTGTGTCAGCATCGCCCAGCTGCTGCCCCAGGACGACGTGGAGCACGTAAGCTCGTTTAATCAGCTAATATCCCATGATTGGTAATCAAATTCTCTTTTTGTATTCGTAGCTGGTTTTACCCACACTCCGTCAGTGCGCCAGCGACTCGTCGTGGCGAGTGCGCTATATGGTGGCCGAGAAGTTTGTGGACTTGCAGAAGGCTGTGGGTCCAGAGATTACGCGAGTAGACCTGGTGCCAGCGTTCCAGTACTTGCTCAAGGACGCCGAGGCCGAGGTACGCGCTGCCGTGGCTACCAAGGTGAAGGATTTCTGTGCCAACCTGGACAAGGCCAACCAGGTGCAGATCATTCTCAGTTCCATTTTGCCCTATGTTCGCGATCTGGTATCGGATCCGAATCCACATGTCAAGTCGGCTCTGGCCTCTGTCATCATGGGCCTAAGTCCCATGCTGGGCGCCTATCAAACCGTGGAGCAGCTGCTGCCGCTTTTCCTCATACAACTCAAGGACGAGTGCCCGGAAGTGCGCCTCAATATTATTTCCAACTTGGACTGCGTGAACGATGTTATTGGCATTCAGCAACTGTCGCAGTCCCTGCTGCCCGCCATCGTTGAGCTGGCTGAGGACTCCAAGTGGAGGGTGCGCCTGGCTATCATTGAGTACATGCCCGCTCTGGCAGGCCAGTTAGGACAGGAGTTTTTCGATCAAAAGCTGCGCGGTCTCTGCATGGGCTGGCTCAACGATCACGTGTATGCCATTCGCGAGGCTGCCACACTCAACATGAAGAAGCTAGTCGAGCAGTTCGGAGCCCCCTGGGCTGAGCAGGCCATCATTCCCATGATCCTGGTTATGTCGCGCAACAAGAACTATTTGCACAGTAAGTGTGACGATGAGACAGGGCATTTCCATTTCCATTTTGACTTTAATATGTAACCTTCATTAGGAATGACATGCTTGTTCTGCCTGAATGTTTTGGCCGAGGTCTGCGGCACAGATATCACCACCAAGCTGCTGCTGCCCACAGTTCTTTTACTCGCCGCCGATCCCGTCGCTAATGTTCGCTTCAATGTGGCCAAAACCCTGCAGAAGATCTCCCCCTTCCTGGAGGCCAGCGTTATTGATGCCCAAGTGAAGCCCACTCTCGATAAACTGAATGCGGACACGGATGTGGACGTCAAGCATTTTGCTGCACAGGCCATTGCCGGTATAGCAGCAGGTAAGCGTCATACTACTCTGTGGGGATTTTCTATAGAATTAAGAAGATAAGGAGAAGGAGGGAGAATAGAGCTGGCTTATTAACATCGCTATCCCTGCCTTAGAAATGGAATTAAATGTGTTTAGAACGGCGGTGCCGCCGTGCATGGGTGCCAAGATTGAGGCGGCCTTGGACTCGAAGCTGATAACGGAGGCACCTCCGATGCCGCCGGCATCTGATAATGAAATTCTGCAGGAGATGAACGCCAAAGCAGCGGCGGAGGCGGCTGCCGACGATCAGCCGCCGGCCAGGGTTGATTCGGAATGTTAGAGGATGAGTAGCCCAACCATGCGAACTGTGTGATGTGCCCGCCTCCCACTGTCTCCAGCTGCCAAGCTAACAATTGTATTTAATTCACCAGGCCACGTCTGTTCACCTGTTTGTTTAAGATAATACAAACTATTTTTCGATACTAAAATCATGTGCAACCACAACCCACTAAATATCAATGCTAATGTTTTACTATATTTTTGTATCTTTCCCGGTATCATTCTCACCACGTGGCTGTGTCAAACCCTCTGTGTGCAATACATTATTTGTGTACATTTTTACAGCGTAATCAATCTTCTTGCATCTTTTTTATTCTATTTTTAAATTGTATGTATTTAACGCCCGGCAAAACATATGTAGCAACAACACTTAAGAATGGAAAATTGTAGTGGATTCCCGGAAGAAGGTGTTTGACGCCACAGAGCCACTGCTAAAGGATGGGAGTCGTCGTCGTCGTCGTCGAGAATTCGAGAGCAGAGGAGAGGAGCCAACTACTATGCCATCATATGCAAGCGAGAGCCACTAAACGCGACACACAGCTAAACATTATTACTTACATACTTATATTATAAATAAAAAATTACCACATAAGCATAAAGATCATTAAAACATGTGTAGAGTTTGGAAAATTTGATAGCATCTGAATGCAAAAATAAAAATAAAAAATAAAAAAATTGTAGTAAAACAATGGAAAACCTGCGAGCATTGCATTATTAATTGGTTTCTGAAACTTTTAAATTAGTTTTTTTTAGTTCCAGACCTGGCAAGCAAGAAAAGATGTACTTTATAATATATATTTTTACTTTTTGAAGTGGTTACCTCCTTAAAAGTAACACTTTAAAAAATTAATACACATTTAAAAAAAAATCAACATAGAAAAGCTTTCTGAGCTACAATTAATGACGTTTTGGATAGTTATTATTGATTTCGAATTCAACATACAAACTTCGACTTAAAACCCTTCAAAATTACAATGTAAGAGCCTTTTTAAGACAGCCTGTATTTATAAATCTTGGCACGTGTTTATTTATCCGAAAATCCAGAAAATTTAAATCTCAGATCTTCAAATCTTTTGGATATCGATAGTCACCTGTTGCCGCACTCGATAGTTTTAATGACTGATTTTGGTTTGTTTTGCTTGGTTTCGCCAGGCAGCGAGCGCTTTCCGAGCGAGAGATCAGTTGGACTTACGCGATCGCAACGAACGACGAGCGCTCCGTGGGTAAATGTAAATGTTTGCCTAACACTCGGAATTGCCACCACGCACGGAACCGTTGCGCCGCTCCCCTTTTCCCCCGTATCGTTCCGTAAGTGTCGTTTGGAAACCGCGGGTGATCGCACCCAAAAGCACCATGAAATGATCTGTGAGAGTCAATCAGATGCAAATTTGATTGGGCGCAGCCAGGCAAACGAACCCAATGGAACTAATCAATTATACAAGAAATTCCTAGGTTTTGTCTGTATACTGGCAGACTTCGGTCATTATCAGTTTTCCGTCTAGTGTCGCAAGCTCCCGCGTCCGTTTTCCGTCCACTGACCTGGTGCCCTCCGTTTCCCCCGTGCTCAACAGGTGCTTGGAGTCCGCGTTAATTACAGACGTCCATGTCAAATATGCTGAGTTGCTATTATTGTTGCATTATTTTGTTGCTGTTGTTGTTTTTTTTAGCCTAAAGTGGCGCGTTTTGCTAAGCGATTTCTCTGCCTTCCGCCCAAGAGCTTTGCTGGCGCCGACCCCTTAGAGCCATTATCTGACTGCTAATTTCCCCCCGATAAGCCGGAATATAATATAAATTGAAGTGCTCTTTATTTATGTCCGTAGTATAGCGCTGAAATTGAGGCAGAAAGGCCGCCGCCGGTACTTAAATTACATTTGCACGCGTTGGGGTGCCCACAGAGATTCGGGGTAGAAGGTAGAGAGTGATGAGGGTACCTGTGATTTTATCAAACACAAAACCATAAACATATTTATAATAGGTATAGACTCACCTGCCTAAGCGGAACTATCAATTTCTTTTCAAAGCGGAAGTTGTACTAAATCTCCAGTGAGATTTAAATTGAATTGAATATTGAAACGATTAATGGGAATCTTAAGGAATACTAATATTTTTCCTTAGATATACCTCCCTACAGTCAAAATTATAAACAAAAAAATGTCTGCCGAATTAATGAGTAATAGCTTAGCTTGACTGTAGCTTGACGCGCAGTAATTTCAAGTCTGCATATTTAAGCATTTGTAGTTTGCCCATTCGGGGTTAAGGTAATCTGTGCGGCAAAAGACAGTGGGCTCGTAGCATGTTAAATTGACCCCGAATAAACGTCATTTTTATAGTTTAATTGTGACCATTAAACATAGTTTGGAAAGATCAAACAAAGTTCAATGACAAGTTTTAGAAAACATTAAGTATAAAAGTATAAGTCATGCTTAGGTTGTAAATCTTCAGTTATGCCCCTTGATATGAATGTTTTAGCGAGGTTATAGCTCCTACAATATATGGCAATACAAATAATAGTTATACAATTTAATTCACAATGTTAATGAGTGAATTCCCGTTATACAATTTCCCGAGTAAAGGAAATATGCAATTCGAAAACTTCCAACTGCTTGTGATAGCTGATATTAATAGCTCAGCGATCAAAGTAGACTAAGTGGCGACACAGCCTTAATGGCTTTCATTTGCTTTAATGTATATTGCTTTGGTTCGATCGGTCATAGATTACCCCTCAAGTGCATAATGGGTTTAATGTTTGATTAAACGCTTTCCCACCCACAAGAGTGGTCATAAAAATAGCACAACAATGTTCAAAATTAGATTTCTCACTGTGCACATGAATGATGCATGGTACAAATTTGGACCTCCATCAGGCCGAACTTTGCCGCCGTGGTGCCACCATCGCCTCCTGTGATTCACAGTGGTCGCGTCGACGCAAGGCTGATTCGGCCCAGCCGCTTATGTGTGCTATCTTATCCGGGATAGATGGAAATTTAATTAGACTTATCAATTTGAATGGATTTTAGGCCAGGCCACGCAACCACACTGATCCGCGACTAATCGAGTGTCCGCCGGCCCCAGTCTTTGTCAACCACTGTATGGAAGCAGAGGATATCCGGAAACCAGCTGCCGGCCACCACGTAATCAATCATTTTGTGGAATAATAGCAGTTCGGCGCCAACCAAGCAAACCCCCCGAGCAAAATGCACAAAGCCATTAAAAACAAATCCAGTAAGTGTATAAGCAAATGTGGAAAATTCCGCTAAAACATTTGGATTCTCATGCAATTACCCAGGGCTGCTCTTCGGTCTCAAGAACTCCAGAGCGGATCTGACCACGGCCAAGTTTATACTATATTATGGGTAAGAAATTTTTAAATAATATATACATATTTTACTATTTGTTGGCAAAGAGCAACTTAATAAACGTTTCTTATAGTAATTTATTAAAAAATTACTTCTAAAATATTTTAATCCAAGTTTTATCGCCTTACCCACATAGACCCAGTGTAGCTGATAGTGATATCTACGATTTAACGGACTTCGAGAACCTATTGGAGGATGAGCACTTGGACTTGTGCAAGAACACGGTGCTCTATTTGCATGGCTACCTGGAAGACCCGGATGTCGAGAGCATACATGTCATTGCCGAGGCCTATTTGGAGCGCAAGGATACCAACCTGATTGTCCTGGATTGGGGAGAACTGGCAGATGGCAACTATATGTTCGATGCCTTTCCGAATGTGAAGCAATTGGGTCCAGAATTGGCCAAAGTGCTACTCCAAATGTTTGATCATGGCCTAGATATTTGCAAATTTCACGTTGTCGGCCACTCAATGGGCGGTCAGCTGGCCGGAATCCTTGGGCGCGAGATAATCAAACGCTCAAAGGGTGCTAGAAAATTGCAAAGGTGAGGGGACTTTAAAATAGATATATGTACAACCTCGCCTTGATAAATCCTATCTTTTCTGTCAGAATTTCCGCTTTAGATCCCGCCTTTCCGCTTTACTACCCAGGCACACATCTGTCCAGCAGGGATGCCGAGTTCGTGGACGTCATACACACCGATGCCTGGATGTATGGTGCGCCGACAAGCACGGGAACGGCGGATTTCTGGCCCAATGGAGGCAACAGCCTGCAACCTGGATGCCCCAAGCGCAACTACAAAATGCTCAGTGACAACGATCTGTCCAGCCATCGGCGCAGTTGGTGGTTTTGGGCCGAGAGTGTTTCGGATCGCTATCCCATCCGATTTGATGCGGTGGCGGCTAAGAACTGGTCGGAATTTAAGCAAAAGAAAACGGCTGAGACGTCCCGGCTGGTGGTGATGGGACATCACTGCCCCACGTCGTAAGTTGCCCAAACTAGCTTGCAAAGAAGTGATTAATTATGACTTATAATTTACAGGATATATGGCGACTTTTACTTACAAACCAACGGACAAACGCCTTTTGCTCGAGGAAAAGAGGGTACAGTGTACGTCGATCCAAAGGAGCTGCTCGGAAATACATCCAGCCTCTCCTGTATCTGCCAACCGCAGCATTAAGTAGTATATTTTTAATGTACACAATAAAAGTACATTTGAAATTGATCAAATTGTGTACATTTGAAATGTATTATTCAGATAACTGGGCTTTTAATACGCTTTGCATCACATTTTGCTTTACGAAAAATATACACTTAAAGTTTGTTTATTGTTGAACCAACAAAATGTCTTTATATGGCTAAATGGTTTTACTTTTCAAAATTTAGGAGAATTCCCTTAAATAGGTAGGAATTTCCTTGCAGTTGCAACTAGGTTAATACTATTTTAAGTTTGCAAATTTGACTAGTTCAAGCTTACTTCCTATTAGTTTGATAATTCTCAATAAATATTATAAATTAAAATTATTCACCTCCACTCTTTAGACTTGTGGACTCTTTGGACAAAGAACCATCAAATTATGATTTAAATCCGCATAAATTATTTCCATTTTCGATTCTAATCGATTTACTTGTCGATTCACTGAAAATCGATTTATTTCCAGTTCTATTTGAAATGTCGCTCTTGAACCAGTTCCGGCATGCTAGTTTGATGACCAATACGGAGCCAGTTATCGAACCAAGGGCCATCTCTGACATTGGCTCGCGTCAAATAAAAAAAATTATAAACAAAATAGAACCCGGCGCTCAGCACAATGAAGATAAAACTCATAGATTCTGTGGTGCGCAGCTTCAAAGTAGCCAAGATTTTCCGGGAGAACACGGACAAGATCAACGCCATTGATTTTGCGCCCAATGGAGAGCACCTCATCTCATGCAGTGAAGACGACCAGATCGTTATATACGACTGCGAAAAGGGGACGCAATCGCGCACGGTCAACTCGAAGAAGTACGGCGTGGACCTCATCCATTTCACACACGCCAACAACACAGCTATCCACAGCTCGACGAAGGTGGACGATACCATCCGGTATCTGAGCCTGCACGACAACAAATACCTACGCTACTTTCCCGGCCACACCAAGAAGGTCATATCGCTGTGCATCTCGCCGGTGGAGGACACATTCTTATCCGGCTCTCTGGACAAGACACTGCGCCTGTGGGACCTCCGATCGCCAAACTGTCAGGGGCTTATGCATCTGTCCGGCCGGCCCATTGCAGCCTACGATCCAGAGGGCCTAATCTTCGCCGCTGGCGTCAACTCGGAGAGCATTAAGCTGTACGACCTGCGATCATTCGACAAGGGTCCCTTCGTCACCTTTAAGCTGAATCAGGAAAAGGAGTGCGACTGGACGGGATTGAAGTTCTCCAGGGATGGTAAGACCATCCTAATCAGCACCAACGGGTCGGTCATTCGTCTGGTGGACGCCTTTCATGGCACACCACTGCAAACGTTTACCGGCTATCCCAACAACAAGGGGATTGCCATTGAGGCCAGCTTTAGCCCGGACTCACAGTTCATCTTCTCGGGCAGCACGGACGGACGCGTGCACATCTGGAATGCCGACACGGGCAACAAGGTGTCCGTTCTCAACGGCGACCATCCGGGACCGGTGCAATGTGTCCAGTTCAATCCCAAGTATATGATGCTGGCCTCGGCCTGCACAAACATGGCCTTTTGGCTGCCGACATCCGAGGAGGGCTTGTAATGAATCGTCGTTCCATTATCTTTGTGTAGCTCGTAAGAATAAAGTTTTATTTATAAATAACAACACCGCATCTCTAACTTAAAGCTCTTTCCTGGGTCTTCTGCCGGTCATACTCCCTTCGAATGATTCTTAGGAGCTGCTCTAGATTCTGACCCATTTTTGCACTGATACCAAGTACTGGTTTCTCCAGTCGGCGCTGCAGCTCCTCAAAGTTCTCCCGGCCCTCGTCCACATCTAGTTTGTTGGCCACCACCAGCTGGGGGCGAGTGGATAGTTGTCCGCCAAATTGCCGCAGCTCGTGCATTAGTTGGTCGTAATGCGTCCAGGGCTCTGAGGCGCTGGCGTCAAGGACGAACAGCAACAGCGTGCACCGCTCGGCGTGCTTCAGGAACTGTATGCCCAATCCCTTGTTGAGATGGGCATCGGGCACAAGACCTGGCAAATCAGCGATGGTCAGTTGAATATGATCATCGTACTGGACGGTGCCCAGATGAGGGCGCAGAGTGGTAAACGCATACGGGGCCACCTTCGGCTTGGCGCGGGTCAGGGCATTCAACAAGGTACTCTTGCCGGCATTTGGATAGCCTATCAGGCCCACATCTGCCATGCTCCGCAGCTCCAGGATGTAGGAGAAGTCCTCACCATGCGGCCCGTACTCGCAGACCTTGGGACTGGTCTCCTTGTCTGTGGTAAAGAAACGGTTGCCCTTGCCACCGGCTCCTCCGCGTGCGGCCACAAACATGAGATCCGCCTGCGCCAGATCTCCGACAATGATGCCCTGAGCGTTCCTAATGATGGTCCCAATGGGCACCTTAATCACTGCGTGCTTGGCATTCTTGCCATGGCAATCCTTGGCATTGCCGCGCTCTCCTTCGTCCGCTTTTAGAACGCTGCCCACGTGGTTGAAGTTGCGCACATCGTTGGATGCCTGGAACACGACATGCCCGCCATGGCCACCGTCTCCGCCATCGGGACCGGCTCTCTCATTGCACCACAGTTGCAGGAAGGACACGCAACCGTCGCCACCCTTGCCGCCAATCGCCCGGACTCTCTTGGCATCGGAGAAGTATTGCGCCTGCAAAGGAAACAGTAGCCAAGTTATGTAAAGTCCATTCGATCTTCGCTCCCCCCTACCTCCTTTCGCTGGGACTTGGACTTTTTGGGGCGCAGAGCTGTGGCTGACTGGCAGTATGTTGCTATTAGTCCCCTTTGCTTCCAGTTCGCGGATATGTCGAACAGAGCTCGCGCTAAAATAGATCTGCCGGTAGAAAACAACATTGCTAACAAAAAAACTGGTGGGCAGGGGAGTAGTGTTAAGCACAATACAAGGGTTTTTGAACTATTATATATATATTAAATTATAAACCAACAAAATAAGCTTAATATTTAATGAATAAAATTTGAATATCACAATTAGAAATATAATACATAAAATTTTATTAATAAATTAAACCCCCCTTTGCTATGTCTATGCCTAGCTATTAACTACATCAGCTGCTTCATAATATATCGACTATCGATAGTCGATAAAACACGTATCGAATCAGCTGGAATTAATAAATGTTTCTGATTGGGAAAAGAAGCTTTGCAAAATTCAACAGGATGTCCATCCAAGCTGCCCTAATAGATCTCAGCGGCACTCTACACGTGGAGGATGAGCCCACACCCAATGCTGTTGAGGCCTTAAAGAGGTACTTATGAAAAATTGCAGCAAGAATATTTATACATTTATATACATACTTCGGGACAGATTACGCAGTTCCGGCGTAGCCGTCAAATTTGTAACTAATACTACCAAGGACTCCAAGGCAACGCTCCACGAACGACTCTGCAAAATTGGCTTCCAGTTGGATCAATCGGAGATATACAGCTCCTTGAGTGCCGCCGTCGCGTATGTGGAGAAGAGTAAGCTCAACCCATATTACCTTCTGTCAGAGGATGCTCGTCAGGATTTTCCGGCGGAGGATACGAATCGTTACCAGGACTCGGTAGTAATTGGACTGGCGCCCAAAGCTTTCAACTATGACTGTCTAAACAAGGCCTTCAAGTAAGATTCGCAATCAAAACCATTTTATTTCAACTATGTATAATTCTTTCACCAATAAGTGTTCTCCTGGAAAATAAGAATCACCAACTGGTGGCCATACATCAGGGCAAATTCTACAAACGCAATGATGGCCTGGCTTTGGGACCAGGTTGCTTTGTCAAGGGCCTGGAATTTGCCACTGGACGATGCGCCAAGTTGATTGGCAAGCCAAATCCCTACTTCTTTGAAGGCGCTTTGGATGGCTTAGATCCGTCCTCCTGCGTTATGATAGGAGATGTAAGCGGTATTTAGGCTTCTCTTTGGATAGTGACATTAATGTTTTATGGTTTTAGGATGCCAATGATGACATTGTGGGCGCCATGAGCGTGGGCATGCAGGGAATACTGGTCAAGACCGGAAAATATTTGCCGGATGTTAGCCCTTCGCCGCCTCCCACTGCGCTGGTGGAAAACTTCTCCGAGGCCGTCGATTGGATTATAGAGAAAAATAGACTACAAAAGTCTGCTGCTTAATGAAATGATTTTTTTCCTATAGATTATGCTGACTGATTTTTTGTTTTTAAATAATACGTAGTTAATTTTGTGAATTTTTGTATATTATTGTTGTTTTTTTAAGGATATTAATAAAATACGGTTCGACCTTTTGTAAACAGATCGTCAAATTAAATCTGTGATAGAGAATATAGAAAACAGATACTGTATCGATATATTTGAACAGTCTAATCGTAAAAAGGACAATGCTGGTTCTTTATATTCTTCATTCCCCTCTCAATAAAGGAAAGCTCACAAGAACTATAAGTGTACAAATGCTTTTATTTTATTTTATAAATAAGCGAAAAATTCTTTAGAAATGCTGTTTGGAACAGATTAATGCATTACCATTTTAAGCATTCGGGGTTTATCAAAGTTCTGAGTAATTGAAGGATTTGCAGATTTTGAGTGTAAGCCAACTCTTCCGTTTACGCCAATTTCGCCTGTGCAAACTTGTTAGCCATCTGAAGGATCTCGTCCACCTTCTCGTAGTTAGTGCCCGATGCCTGGGCGGATTCCGGTTTGCCGCCTCCCTTGCCACCCAGCGTGGCGGAGACGTGTTGCACCCACTCGTTTGCCTTCAGACCCTTCTCCACTGCACTCTTGGGCACTGAGCTAAGGCAGAAGATTTTCTTCGAGTCCACATCGACGGAGAAGAACATGGCAGCGGCTTCCGGCAACTGTGTGCGCACCTGTTTGAGAGCGGCATCTAGGGCCTTGGTGTTATTGAACGCCTCCAGTTGCTCGACCAGCACGATGGCCTTGGGATTCGCCTCGCATAGCGCCTTGGCTCGCTCTACAACAGTCACAGAGACGGCGGCGCGCAGGGCACGCTCCTTGTCGTCCAAAGTCTTCTTTAGACCCTTCAACAAATTGCGCATGTCGTCCTTCTTCACGTACGGGATCGTGGCATGCGAGATCTGTTCGGTCAGCTCGACAATTTCCTTAACATGCGACTTTGAATCCTTGCCAGACTGATCAGCATCGATGGTGGCCTTCAGGCGGACGATTTCCTGCTCGAAGCCCTCCGACTTCTTCAGCGCCTTCAGGGCTTCAGGACCTGTCAGAGCCACAATGCGCCGAATGCCCTTGGCAATGGCCTCCTCACTACTGATGACAAAGTCCATGATATGGCCAGATCGCCTGAGATGGGTGCCGCCGCAGAACTCAACTGAGGTCTGTTCACCGGCCTCCGAATCGGGATTCTGCTCGAGCTCGTCAACGGGCACGCCGAAGGAGATTACCCTCACGGGATCAGGATAGACTTCGTCGAACACCGAGCGCAGGCCACGAATTTGCTTGGCCACAGCTAGTTTTGACTCCTTGGCGTAGATGGGCACATTCTTGTAGACCATCTCCTTCGTCAGCTGCTCAGTCTTTGCCACCTGTTGGATGGTCATTGCAGCCTTGCTATTGAAATCGAAGCGCAGCTTCTCGGGCACCACCAACGAGCCCTTCTGCTCGGTGTCCTTGCCAAGGACCTGGAGAAGGCAGTGGTTGAGTGCGTGCGTGGCAGAGTGATTCTTCATGGTCAGCCAGCGGCGCTCCACATCGATGTGCAGCTGCAGTTCATCGCCCACCTTGAGTGTGCCTTCGACGACACCAATGTGCAGGATGTAGCCACCACGGTTGTACACACGGTCCACCAGGAACTCGTTGGCCTCGTCATTGACCTTAACCAGAGCTCCCTGGTCGTAGATCTGGCCGCCGCTTTCCGCATAGAAGTTGGTCTTGTCCAGGACAATGCCCGCCTTCTGGCCGTTGCTAATCTCGTTCACAAACTGATTCTCAAAGCGCAGGGCCACGATCTTGCTGGTGCAGTCGCCGTAGTTGTAGGCCGAGTCACGTTCCGCCGAAACAGCTTCGTACTTGTACTTGTAGGAATCGTCGGTGGGGGGCACATTCTGCTCCTGCAACTGCGAGATGGCGTGCACGTCGAGGTTGATCTCCTCAATCTTGCTGGCCCCCTTGCCCTGTGACAGCACATAAGAGTTCTGTTTGGCCGCCTCGTAGCCAGCCATATCGATCTGCAGGGACTTCTCCTCCGCCATCAGTTGGGTAAGATCGACGGGAAAGCCGTAGGTGTCGTACAATCGCCAGGCAACATCGCCGGGAATGATGGTGGCGGTTCCCAGCTTTTCAATGGTGCGATTCAGCAAATTGCGTCCCCTCGTCAGGGTCTTGAGGAACTGGAGCTCCTCCTCGTTGATGATATCGATGATGTGCTGCGGGTCCTTCTTCACCTCGGGGAAGGCATCGCCCAGCAGGTCCACGACCGTGTTGACCAGTGTGGCAAAGAATCCGGGCTTGGCGTTTAGTTTCTCAGTGGCATAGCTACAAGGAGAATCAAATTTATTAAAGACTTTTGTCGCAGGAAAGTCTTTGACTACTCACCGCACAGCGCGTCGGAGGATGCGTCGCAGGACATATCCACGGCCAGTATTGTCCGGGGTGCCGCCATCAGCCAGGGCAATGGTGATGGTGCGGGCGTGATCGGCTAGCACGCGGTACGCCATGTCAATGCCGTCACTGTCGTCAGCGCCGACGCGTCCCTGGTAAGCTGGAGCCCCAGTGCCCGCCTGGATGGCATCGAAGAGTGGCACGAACAGATCCGTGTCGTAGTTGGAGCGCTTGTTCTGGATGACGGACACCAGCCGCTCGAATCCCATGCCGCAGTCAATGTGCTTCTTGGGTAGCTGCTTGAGGCTGCCGTCAGACTCGCGGTTGTACTGGATGAACACGAGATTCCAGATCTCCAGTACATCGGGATCGTCCATGTTTACCAGCTCCGGGACACTGCGTCCGCCGATGCGGTCAAAGTGCAGCTCGGAGCAGGGCCCACACGGTCCAGTCTCCCCCATCTCCCAGAAGTTGTCCTTCATGCTGCCCGGCAGGATGTGCTCCGGCTTGAGGCCCAAGTCCAGCCACAATTGCTTGCACTCTAGATCGGGCTCCAGACCACTGGCTTCATCTCCACCAAAGTAGGTAACGTACAGGCGATCCTTTGGCAGGCCAAGGCGCTCGGTTAGGAACTGCCAGGCCCAGGAACAGATCTCCTTTTTGAAGTAATCGCCGAAGGACCAGTTGCCCAGCATCTCAAAGAAGGTATGATGGTACACGTCCTTGCCCACGTCGTCCAGATCGTTGTGCTTGCCGCCGGCACGAATGCACTTCTGCGTGTTGGCAACGCGCACCCACTTGGACATCTCGCTGTTGGGATCGGCGGTGCCCAGGAAGATGGGCTTGAACTGGTTCATGCCGGCGTTGGCGAACAGCAGCGTCGGATCGTCCAGCGGAATGGTGCTGGACGAGTGCACATAGATATGCTTCTGCTCCTTGAAGAAGTCCAGATACGCATCGCGCACCTCCTTGGCGGTCAGGAACTTCATTTTGCTGGTGCTGCTGCAATGGAGGAGCAGGTAAGAAAAAGCGCACACTGAAAGGTTGCCACGCGACAATTGATTCCCCTAACCCCTCAATTGGCCACAAAATCGGAGCAGTGAAAGTGCACGCCGCCCGCACGACGTGACAGTATTACCCGATTTCGAAGCGATTTAAGAGAGAAAAGTGCCCGCTTCTTCAATTTCCCAGTTGGCAGTACTGCGGTGTCCCGCTCTGACTAATATTTGTTATGTATTACTCACGTTTTCAACAGTAAATGCAAATTCAAACAATTTCGTCAGCCGACTTGCAGCCGATGTGTGCGGGGTATGACCGTTGGAGGGCTGGCCAAATATACTTTCGCTTTCAAAGTTTCCGCTATACGGCCACACACAAAAACCGTAAAATTGGAAATTTAACGAAAGCTTAAGAATATTTTAAAGTCTTTTTAAATAAAAATGTAATTTAATCTACAAACAGGATGCAAAGTTTTCTCCCCAAAAGTCGCCTCTATTTCAGCTAGGTAACAAAGTAAAAACAATTAAAAGTCGAATCTCTGCGGCATGTGGTTCTCCTCCAGCTCGTGCTCGATTTCCTTCATCCGCAGCATCATTTGGAAGTTCTGCTTGTCCTCCAGGCCTGTGAGGAACATGGTGATCAGGGCCTGAACGCAGATAATGGCGCCCAGTGCCGGCACAATGGGTCGTGTGAGCTTCCGCCACAGCATGAACACCTCTCGAGGATTCTCCGTGACCGAGGGCATACGGTATGTGTAGCAGCGGGTGGCGAACATAAAAGCGGCAAATGGCGCCAAGATCGTGGGATACACAACGCCCAGGCTCGTCTGGAAGGCAGCACTTCGCACCTGGAGACACGCGGGGCACTGGCCCAGGGGATTCAGGAGGATTGGACGCTGGATGAAGAACTTGTGCGTCAGCATGGTGAATATGGCAGGTACGGCGACAATGGGCAAGTAGCTGGATAGCCTCCCGTGCCCGCCCAGCCGCAGTTTGGTGCGATAATGGTTATTTATGTAGGCACCCGTGGCCGCCGCCATAGCACTCAGGACTCCAGGTGCGTAGCGCAGGGACCATCTGCACAAAACAATGGGTTTGGTTGTTAGGTAAGCGACAAGTGTATTTAGCGTGCATTTCACTCACACATCTCCCACTTTGTCCCAGGCTGTTATAATCTTCCATTGGTATTTTAAGGCCTGATCTTCTGTTATCACAACGGCATCCTTGGGCAGCTCGTCTGGTTTCGCGCGTGATAATGCCATTTTATAGAAGAAAACGAATTATTTGTGAGTTGTCTGTTTGGCCAACAGCTGTAGATGAGGCAGTGTTGGAAAGCGCCAAAACCGGCGTATCAATCAACAAAACGCGGCCATTGACGGTATTCCTTTTGGGTTGAATTTTTGTAAGTTATCTGTCAACCTTCAGAAAAATTAAACAATTCATGTATCTACCACGTTTTGGCTTGGTATTCATCTGTTGAAAGATTTCCTTAAACGAATGCGTTTCATTTAGCCGCAGTTTACTGTGTTTCGAAGAACAGCTGTTTCTTTTCCTGGCGACAGTGTGGCGTGCGTCTTCATTGCAGTGTTGCATATGAAAGTAATTGCATAGTGCGTCTCGCTCTTGGATTTAAAATGCCGTACAAACGTCAAACTCGTCCTATTCTGAAGCCCAATAATTCCACGGTACGCCGCCTGCATTGCCCACCGTCAGCACCGCCTAATGTCGTCATTGAGTCCTCCAGCGGTCCGGATGTCGAGCTACCACCGCCACCGGTCAGCGCCCGGGCTTTTGGAGGCTCCACGACGCCAAGACCCGTGCTGCAGCCGTTGGCCGCGCCCGAGTACAACACCTGCGTTCGCCAGAAGAGCGAGATTGACATCATGAAAAAGGTGCAGCCCCCTGTGACCTTATCGCCGAAATCAATGGCCGCCATTGCTCCAAAGGTAGGTCCTGACACCTTATATTCAGAGTAACAAAAACCTAATTTGAAATTCCCAAAGATCACTCAGAAGCTGAACTTCCAACCGTCCGATACTGTTTTCAAAAATCTGGAGTCCCTGAACGTCAACGACTCGGTGATGATACCGCAGAAGACGAGCTCGCGCCCAGTCAACAGGAAGGCCAAGCAGCCCGAGCTTCAACTGGCAGACTATTTGGAAAATATACAGCTCATTGACTTGTACGTTCCGGAACCCGACCTGGGATTGGAATTCAAACGGAAACCGTTCGATTGCTACGGCGCCTACAGGCGGATATACTACAATTAGTTTACATTTTATTTTAAATACATGCGAATCCAGTTATACAAGTTTGTTAGCCAATGAAGTTCATCACCACCAGATGCAGGATCACATGGGCAAAGATGAAGTCGGCGAATCCGCGCTCCGGCGAGATGCCGGCAAAGACGGCCTTGTTCTGGGGATTGGCCTGCAGGCGCAGGCACACGGCTAGGACGAAGCAGCTAACGGTGCTGATGAAGCCCGACAGGAATGAATTGAATGGGAAGGTGCCGACCAGGCAGCAGTAAACAAACTGGATCATGCCGGTCAGCAGAATGTAGCCCAGGTAGATGTCCACCAGCTTGAGCTTCTTGGGGGTGTTCTGCACGTAGTCGTTGTAGAACTTGGAAATGACGCTCGCCAGCTCGACCATGTTGCTCTTCTTAATGCGGTTTCTCCGGTAATTTGGGTATAAAACGGAGATTTTTTATAAATTTACCGCAGACACGTCACGAATTGGGAGAGAACACAAAAGTAGGACCGTTGCCGGCATGTGAAAATAATACTGAATACTTTAGCGATGAACGATTAGGTACAGGAACTACTCAATAGTTTGGATGACTCGAAAAGGACAGTATGTTCTATGAAAAATATAATTTTTTGACTATACTCGACTTGCTATTAATTTTTTTAGAGCATATTTCACCCAATCATTTTTGAAAAATCGATTTGCAAATTTTGGGGTTGTTTTTGTTTTTGAACATTTTATCAGGTTTGTACTGTACCTCCAAATTATCGATAAATTCGGAAAAAAACCAAACTCAGCCGTTGGTATTTCGCTGCCTCAGTGCAGGTTTTCAGGCAGTTGTTATTGCAAGCGATTTCGAAGAAAATTGTAACGTATGTACAAATATATAATAACAACAAACCAACAATAAAAACGTTAAAGTGTATTGCGGCTGGACAAGAAATGTTTGCTATCGGTCGGCCGACTGTCGCGTGTTATCAAACAGACGACGACTTTAATGAATGAATACAACATGATTCATTGTTGATGTTTTCTCCGTTTGATTCGCAGTGCTCCAGACACTCTTGTCAAAGATAATTGGCATCCGCTCCTGTCCTGCCCCTCCTCCGCCCCCGCCACTGCTGCACTCCATGGAGCTGCTAGCCATTGTGGATTTTATGTGATTTCCCTATTCCCGCACTGATATATTGCGCGTCAACGTTGTGACCTTCGCCGGAGCATCCCCAGTGACAAGCAGGAATAATCAATGGAGGACCTGACGCCGTTAACCAACCTTCAACAGGTAGAAACTCCTACACACATGCAATTCTTGGTAATCGATTTATGCGCATGCCAAATGTGTTTATTTTGATTCAGTTTCTGCCTTTGTCCATCTGTTAATTATGGTTTCTTACAGTTTTAGTTCCAAGATTATTATTTGCCCAACTGCCCGCCAACTGCCTTATAACAACTGCCAAGTGCATCGAAAACAGCAAACAACAACCCAACTTGACATTCCTCCTCTAATTTGTGATATTCTCAGTAAGTGAAATGTACTTTTAGATCTTTATAATATCGTCGCACTTCGTTGTGCAAGTGATAAAACAGAAATAAGTTAGAGCAAAGTGCTTGCTTTCTTTATGGTTTTTAAACACAGATTTCTTGAATTCAGGTCGGATGCTGGCACATGTTTGTCTGCTGTATGTCTGGACAGCTTTATCACAGCTTCTACTAATCCCTTAAGCCTTTAATCGGGAGATTAGCAATAAAAATAATATATGTACATATATAATAATAATAGTACTCGTTTTAGGTACCTCAACAAAAAAGTTCCAAAACAACGATTTGATTTTATTTGTCTTCCTAACGCTAAAAGTTTAAAATTAAGAGTGTCACAATGGTTCAATAATTCACATTATATTTGATTTAAAACTACAAATTATTTGTATTATATAGTATTCTAAATTTAACAATTTCATTTTCTTATTATTATGTATTAGTAGTAGTATTAATGATTGTATAAGAACAAAAGTGAGTTGTAAGCATTTTCCTTGTTATTATTATTATTTTAACCAAAATAAGAGTCGAAAGAAATTACCCACAGTTTTGTTTGGAAAAGGCAAACACGTGAACATGAGCTCCTAAAATAATAAAATAATCTTCGGTTTGGGGTTAAAAATCGCCAAGAAGGAAGAATATTTGCTTAGATAGGGTCTTTCAATTCACAAAATATCTGACATTTTTTGTGGTTTTTTTTATTGTATCTTAAGTTTAAGTTTACTTTACATTATTTAAATGAAATATTAACATCTCCGACATAGGTGTTATATTAATCCACTTCCATTCTGAGCCGTCGGATGTAATGAAAATCGAACCACTCTGAAATGAGATATGATATTTGCGAAACGCTGCCCTCGCCTCTGCTGAGTCAACATTGAGAATAATAATAATGGGTGGATATTTGATACGACGTCTGGATACATATTATATAATTGTGATTTATGGTACAAACATCGGTGGCTTTCCTGGCAAAATGCGGCTCTTATCGCCGACCTACTCGTATAGCTTGTTTTTGCGACTTGTCAGCTTCGATTTCGGACTTCAAGCTATACTCTACTCAGTGACTGGACTCGCAAATTTGATATCGACTTCCGATGCGAGCGTGTAATGTGTAATAAGGTGCCACATAGAATCAATCTATTCGCTTGAACTTTAAGTCAAGTCCAAGGCTAAGTCCGGACTATCTGCATGGTCCGAAAAATTTTCCACTCCACCCCGGCACGCGTCCGTCGTCCATTGCTGTGGCCGCCGCACTATCTGAATCTCCCTCCTATTGTTATTTGAGCGGGGAAAACTGAGTCAGCGGAAAATTTTCGAGGCGAGAAGCGGGCGTCGCAAGTGGCTGGCGGTTCAGTGCGTTTCGTGCCGCCGGGAAGGGCACATCACATCTAGTGCATCGCTCAAATTGATCGATTGATTAAACACCACTACACCCACTTGTTCCAGATTCCCGAGGGTGCGCCCCGCAAGAAGATGTCGGAACGCCAGCCGTTGTTGCTGCAGAGCGATGCCTCCGACTACGAAGGCAGCCGGGGATCGTCTGCGCGACCCATACGCAACTCTCCGCCAGACAATACGCTTGTGAATGTCCACAGCGAGGACAGCCTAGCAGGTGAGTTTGTGTCCGTCTATACAGACTCTTAAATGACTTAATTTTGTAATAGAATGCAATACATAACCCCTATATATGAGAAATTAACTTAAATATTCCTTTTGATTCTTCTCTGTGAGTGCACGCAGCAGCCTCGGGATCGGGAGACGACGAACATGGATCTGCAGCGGACAAGGCCAGCTATAACCCCACCCTCCATCGCACTCTGGAGCACCCAACGTCAAACTTTGACACACTGATCCATCTGCTGAAGGGCAACATTGGCACTGGCATCCTGGCCATGCCGGATGCCTTCAAGAACGCCGGCCTGTATGTGGGTCTGTTTGGCACCATGATCATGGGCGCTATTTGCACTCATTGCATGCACATGTTGGTGAATTGCTCCCACGAGCTGTGCCGGCGGCTCCAGCAGCCAGCACTGGACTTTTCCGAGGTGGCGTATTGCAGCTTTGAGACAGGACCGCTGGGCCTGAGGCGATACTCGCAGCTGGCTAGACGGATCGTGACCACGTTCCTGTTCATCACTCAGATTGGCTTTTGCTGCGTTTACTTCCTGTTCGTGGCCCTCAACATCAAGGACGTGATGGATCACTACTACAAGATCAATGTGCACATCTACCTACTGCTGATGCTGGTGCCCATGATTCTACTGAATCTGGTGCGGAACCTAAAGTACCTGACGCCCGTCTCCCTCATCGCCGCCATACTCACTGTAGCCGGGCTAGCCATTAGCTTCTCGTACATGCTGCACGATCTGCCGGATGTGCATACGGTCAAGCCGATCGCCACCTGGGCCACGCTACCCCTATACTTTGGCACTGCCATCTATGCGTTTGAGGGCATTGGCGTGGTCCTGCCTCTGGAGAACAATATGCGAACACCCGAGGACTTTGGCGGCACCACGGGCGTTCTAAACACGGGCATGGTGATTGTGGCCTGTCTGTACACTTCGGTCGGATTCTTTGGCTACCTGAAGTACGGCGAGGATGTGAAGGGTAGTATAACCCTGAATCTGCCGCAGGGCGACACGTAAGTTCGCTCAGAAAATTTTCCATTCCTAATCTCTCGATATTTGCACATCCTTAAGCTGTATTTAAACAGCAAACGAATGTATCTGCTTCTCTCCTTATTACCGCATTAATTTTGTTATTATATTTATATTCCAGTCTTTCCCAGTTGGTGCGCATCACCATGGCCGTGGCCATCTTCCTCTCCTATACCCTGCAGTTCTATGTGCCCGTAAATATTGTAGAGCCATTTGTGCGCAGCCACTTTGATACCACGCGGGCCAAGGATCTGTCAGCGACTGTGCTGAGAATCGTTCTAGTCACCTTCACTTGTAAGTGCTTGTGTTTTCCCATCAAAAGATCACGATTTTGTAAGCTCCCTTTTCCCCCACAGTTCTGCTGGCCACTTGCATTCCGAATTTGGGCTCCATTATCTCCCTTGTGGGTGCCGTCAGTAGCTCAGCGTTGGCTCTCATAGCGCCGCCCATAATCGAAATGATTACGTTTTATAATGTCGGATATGGCCGCTACAATTGGATGCTGTGGAAGGACTTTCTCATCCTGATATTCGGACTTGGTGGCTTTGTCTTTGGCACCTGGGCCAGCTTGGCGCAGATCCTAAACGACCGGACACACTGAGTTTGACCAGGACCGAGATAGAGTTTCTGTGCGAATTTATGTCGAAGGCTTTATGTAGTTTATACCCTAAGTTATTCTTCCTGTTTCGAGGAAAGTGTACCTTTCGGTGCTCCATTTGTGTTTTAATTTATTTTTTTTGCGATGATAGTTGTATCTTGTTATCCATTAGCTCCAATTTTGTACCAGAGACAATAACTAGCAATATAAGTAGACAGTTTTGCAATACTCTTCAGTTCAGTTCAGTACAACAGTAGCTTATGAATTTACCTGCGTTAACTCGAGATCCGCACAATGCCAAGTGATTTTCGCGTAGTATTCTTAAATAATTTGTTGTTTAGATTTTACTATGTATGTTAGTCTAGGTCGGTGCAGCGCGATCATTCCAAAGCAACGCCCAAAAAGAATTTACCCAGCAAACCGAAGTTTTATCGTTCGTATTTTCTAATTATATATATATATAGTTATACATGCATATACTACTCAGCATACCGTATTGGGTCTCCGAAATCTCGACCTCCGATTACATCCATTAGGTGTATCAGCAAATGTTCTTTAATGGTTTAACGAGTAACAAAAGACAATAATAAAACTTAATGTTTATAAAAATCAAATACTATTTATCTATCCCAAGATGGCCAATGGAAGGCGAGCTAGGCTTGGCCTTAAAATTCTTAGCGGGCTCCTCGAAAGGAATACCAATCCTCGGCCACCTGGCAGTCGGTTAATGTTTGTCAGACGAGCGAGTTGAGCCTCCTGGACCGGCTGAACTTCTTCTGCATCCGGATCGGGTGTGAAATCTTGCGGCTCCTCGTCACTGGGCAGCTGCTCAACGGCATCGGTAGGTGGTGGACCGTAGGTCAGGTCTGGTGGACCATAAGTCTGATCGGGCACACCTTCCTCGAAGGGTACCTCAGGCTTCAGTTCCTCGGCGGACGGATAGGGCGCCGCATCCTGTTGCCTGGATAACCTAGCTGGCAGAGCTTCAATCATCCCGAGAGCCAGGATTAGCACCAGCAATGAGCAGGAAGTTTTAGCGAAGCTTGACATGATTAATTGAAAAATAAAGATAACCAAACCGCAGGTGGAATCGGTAATAATTGATAACTGTCTGCCAGAAACATGTCTTTTTATACACTCTTGACTGGAGCTACGTGTTCGGATTTATTAATTTCCGATGGTAAAGCATGGCCTTACGGCTAATGACTGACCCTTGAGGGCACTTGGAAGTGTCACGTTGCAGGTGCCCAAAACAGGTAGCAAAAAACATTATTTTCAGTGTCAATGTCAAATAAAATAAAAGAGTACCTAAAAATAATTTCATTGGAAGTTGTTTATATCTAAAGTTAATTACAAAAATAATAGAAATGAATAAAAACAAATAATAAAAACAAGTTAACTTATTTTATGAAATTTTTACAACATACATAATCTATTTTTAGCTCTGCGCTTACAATTCCCAAGTCATTATTCTGCGTAGCGTGCATATAAAAGGCGGCAAGCGAGCCTCGAACTTGTGTTGTTTGGAAGGAGAGCCAGTTAGCACTCCCCTAGACAAGGATGGAACACATAAACGGTCGGCTAGGCACAAGACAAAGCCGTCCAGAATTTTTTTATGGTTCAGTTTCTTGTTTTGCTTTGTAATAATACGTATTTATAAATATTAAATAACCGATAGCACTATTCCAAAAATTGCATTAAAGGTAAAATTACTCAATAAATGTATTATTATTATAAAGAAAACCAAACAGAATCTTATATATATATATATATATATATATATCATGGGTCGACTTTTATCGCCCCCACTCACCTTCTAGGAGGAACAACTTATGCGGAGTTTCTTAGGCTTATCTGAAACCGTTCACTGCAGGCGGCACAACCTCCGGTCATCCACATCGTTGGTGTTTTCATGTTTGGCCGAGGCTGCTTTTGAAAGTAGGATAAAGCTTTTACGGATGATCTGGGCCTATTTGACTTCTGGTCTAAAGAACTTGGTCCAGATCCACATTAATCTGTTGGTCATTAGTTTGAAGAGGACTCGTCTTCATGTAGGATGATAGATAGAGCTTTAGAACCTTACCATTGTCTCTCCCCTTTTCTATTCAAAGGACGAACCCTGTCCAGCGCTTAGAGAGTGGCCAGGAAATGCAGATAGGCTATGCCCGAGAGCAGGAGCTGTCCGTGGAAGGTGTACTATTCACACGGACCTTGGAATTTCTAGTGCTCCTGGAACAGAACCGCCACTTGCAAGGCCTTGATTTTAGGTGCACATATCATAAACAAAACATTTGTAAACTTATCTTGAACATTCTTTTTAAGTATTTTCGCTAAGCTTAAAGTTTTAGATTGAGTATTAAAAGCAGTATTACGCGTAGATCCTAAAGGCACTTGCTTTGTCTTTGGTCTTTGGCTGGCGTCAACTGTCGAGATACCGTCAGCGATACACACACGATTATTTTTAAACGATTCCATGTTCGCTCGAAAATAGAATTTATCAAGTCAATAGTCGTAGACAAGTAGGATGTGCGATAATTATGACATAGATACGAGGGTGCTATAAAAGGCTGACTTGGGGCTGCATGCACTATAATTGAACAGGAACATGAAGACCGGTAAGTTATATTGTGAGAACTCCCCTAGCATACTATATGATATATAGTACTCACAAACGGTCCTTCCGCCAGCTGTCGTCCTGCTTTTCCTTGCACTTTTCGCTGCTGTTTACGCTGACCAAGCCTGCAATCCCGATGGCGATGGCATGCCGGACTGCACTGGACGCTCTGGACAGGTTTCACGGGACAACTGGGACCCAACCCACTACTGGGAGTGCGACAACACCGGTGTAGCTGTCTTGACAGCGTGCGAATCACAAACTGGATTCGATCCCAAGACCGGAAAATGTATTCCCTGGAGCACTTGGCAATGGTATGAGCCCTGCCCACAGATTGAGCAATAAACTGTTCTACTGATTGAATTTGGTTATTCTTTTATTTTGCACTGGGCACTAGAATTGCGGGCGTAGGGTAATTTTAGTCAGAGGCTTGATTAATATCTAACAAGGGAAAGTTTAGCCATTTCCGTACCTTTTCCCTCTTCATTTTATGTAGTTTTTAACTTAATTAGAAATTACTAATAAACTAAATTAGAAAAACATAAACATTTTACTCGTGCATTCTTTGAGTGATCTTAGCAAGCAAAAGTCAAAGCATAGTGTCTCTGTTCTAAGTTTTTATTGCAGTCGAATATTTCGCATTTTTTTTATATGCTAAATTCATTTAAATTTGATCAATTGAAGCATTCATAATGCAACTGTGTTGACGGAGAATTAGCCATGTTTTCACAAAAAAATTGTCCAGAAAAAGCCTTTAATTTGATTAACTCAAAAAATGTATATTGCCTGAAATTTATACAATTTTTTTTTTTTTTTATTATCTTACATTGAGAATTTATTTTTCCGATTTCGTAAACATAGGAAACTATTTTTATGAGTGTACACAATGAAAAAACTTTTATTCCGTTCCAAATCGGGAATCTTTTATTACCGAATTTCACATCTTTATGTGACATTTTCTGTTTTTCGTTGTTTATTTAATAAAATGATAATAAATAAATTAGAGAAAAGTATTATCTTCAAGTAATATATAAATAATTGTATTGTATTTTTAATGTAATATAAGCCGGTCCTTCAATCGATTATCAGGAAAATTAAATTAGTCACGAAAGAATTATATTTTATATATTGCATTTTAGTCATTAAATATGACCGAAGGAAACAAAATAATATTTTAATTATTTACGTTATATCGAATTAATTCTTAACAATTGATTATCAATTAAATGATGAAGTTTATTTCCCCAAATGTAGATATTCCTTATTCATGTCTCATGATTTAAAAAAAGCAAAAAAACCAGTTAGCATGCAATCATTTTTATTTTTCATTAAATAATTGAATTAATTTAGGCGCAAGGTTGAGTCCATGTCCATTCAGACCAGGAAACACAATCGCCCTTTGGAGCAAAGAATCCTTGGTATTCGATCGTCCCATTATCGAAATTTTTTACACATATCACACTTGCAGGTGCGGCGCTAGTTGTTGAGTTGCACAACCAATAACGGGTCGGGTCCCAGAAGTTGCGGATCTTTACTCCTAGGTTGGTGGAGTTGGTGCAGTCGGGCATATTGTTTCCATCGCGATTGCAGACGTAGTCGGCGGCATGGAGAGCCACAAAGGCGGCGAGGCAGCACAGTACTAGAGCTGAGGATCACAGGAATGCAGAATTATTGATCGGTTGGTTGATTCGCCAGAAGGTGCTATCCCGGCGGAGTCCCGCTGTTGACTTACCGGCTTTCATGGTTGAGCTGACGAATGTGTGTTTGATGGCGAGAATTGGCAACTTTATATACCGAAGCCCCGCACTGATACGAGTACGAGCCTTCTCCGGCAATAATGGTTATCTCTCCGCCACCGGAGGAACCTGTGCAAAATTCTATTTTGGCAGAAACATGAAATGATTCGAATATAATCAAGCCGTGTATCGCCCGCCGGTCGTGTCGATATCTCCCGTTTCGAAATTGAGCTGACGCAAGCGCTAGATAAGATGGGGTCTTGGAAAGGTCAGTCCCTCCGAGCCAATTGCTGTTTATAGAAACGGATATTTCTCTAAAACAAACCATATTTTAAGGGCTCAGGAACTCAGTAGGTGGCCCAAAATTGATCTGATTCAAAGTAATGTTTCAAAATTCCCTGTGATTTACCCCTGACAATGGACTCCAAGGCCAAGCGTGGCCAGCGTCAGCGGGAAAACAGCCTGCCAAACACCATTGTGATCCAGCTGGTGTCCCCGCAGCCACATACCATGCCCATCTCAGTGCACGCGATGCCGTTGCTCCCCGAATCCAAGACGCCAGTGGAGCAGACGCGAAGGCCAGCACCTCTTGCCCCTAACAGTCCGAGGAGCCCGATAGCTCCATGCCCATCACGTATGCAATCCGCTATGGGTCCTCCGTCCAGAATAAGAGCACCGATTGACGAGATAGGATATTCTTCTCCACAATTCATGTACGCCAACAGTGACCATACTAACCAACCTCTGGGTCAGGGCAGGACTGTGTGGATGGAGTATGTCTATCATCCGGGACAGAATGTGGCACCCATCTACAGTTCGCCGCTACGTGCTGAGCAAGAGGGAACAGTAGGCCATTGTGTCTGCAACAACTATCGCTGTGCCCGAAGATCGATACAGGAGCCGGAAAACTTCATGGAGAATCAGACTTTGCCCCGACTAAGTGATTTCCCACAATCGCGCCAAGAGTCTGCGAGCACGGAGGGCCGTCGCGATCAAGCAACTAATACCGATGACCAACCACAGCACCTGGAGTCCCTGAAGGTGATCTGCGAGACCTTGGGTCAAGCAATTGTAGCAGCAGCTACGGCGGCCGTGGAGACTGCCCATAAATTGTATACGCCAAACGATTGTTTACCCAAACCGAAGCTAACCACGTCAAATAAGACAGAATGCAGAGCAGACCAAGCACAGGAAAAAAAGAACATTTCCAGCTCAATTGAAATGATCGACGTATCGGAATCGGCCAGTAAAGTCCATATAAAATTTCCGAAAACGCCGAGAACAACGATTGCTCCTCCTCCGTGGCTCCCACAACCTTTGGATTCAGATGAAGAGCGCATGGAGTCCGGCTCTTCGCCAACAGGAGTTTATATCAAAAGCCGACAGATTATTCCACAAAGACCTAATTCCTCCACTGGAAGTTTGCCTGTGAGAAAATGTCCAATGGTAAAGCAAAACATTAGTGCTAGAGTGAAGGGTCGGGAAGGTCCAGCAATCAGGAGGCGTTTTCCCACAGAGGAGCAACCACCAGTCAAACAGGAGGAGAAATCTGGTCCTACATCCCCGAACGCTTTAATTATAAAGCAATTAAAAGTTGTAGGTCCTTCGCCACCAGATCTAACCGTAGTCACTTTGCCTCCAGATCCAGATCTCTCAAGTTATTCCCAAACGGACGACCCTTGTTTGTCTAACAAAATTTAAACTTCTTCGGGCAATAGTTATAGTTCAATAATCCTGTGAAAAATATTTACATATATATAAAACAGAAAGACATATAGATTACTGCATGAATGTCCAAAAATGTATAGAATACTCCTTGTATGAAGAATAAATCAAAAGTTCATTTTAAACTAAGCAATGACGTACGAGAATAATCTTAGCTAAAATATTAAAAAAAAACGGTGCAGTTATCAAAAATTTATTGAAAATTAAGAAATGGTCTAAGAGCTAGCATGACCACATAGTTTAGTACGAGCTATGTTCCGTTGGGTAGAAGTCACTAAACCAAAGTAGAAATTACGTAGCCGACCCGTGGAACAGTCATCTATTCTGTTTAATTATTTATTTAGTGACTTATTTAGTAATTCCTAGTGCGACAAGTTTGAAACTTATATTTATTGTACTAGTCAAGAGGGATGTGTATTATTTTCCTTTCCTATATTGTTTTAACCGATTACAGAGGGTTTAAACCACATTGTTTTGTATTTTTTAATAAAATAGGACCAAGAAAAATGTTTTATTTAGGCATGAAAATAAGACACAAGCTACCTTGAATTTTTATTTATTTTTATTTTTGATTGTTATCCTTATCGCTTATAATAATTTCAATTGTCAATAGATTGTCGCAATAATGAAGTGCATATAACTAGAACACATCCTGATTAGATACGATAATCCTCCCAGTAAAAAGATAACCTCGTCTAATAATCATTAATCAGCAAGGATTGGCTTCTTAATCACAGTAGCACACACGATTGGTTTAGATTAAACGCCGCGTGTGATAAGCTCTGCGAAATGTTTCATATTTAAGCTTGCCGTGTTTTGTGGTGATAACAGAATTCCTCGAAATAGAGGCACGATTCCAATAAGCTGATAAGGCGACACGTTTTCACAAGACATCCCTCTCTACATTCTTGCAATCGAGTCGCGAATGCCGGAAACACAAGACATCATTTCGCTGACATTTAAGGTAGTTTTGCATCTTTGCTTCTTCGCATTTTGGACACACGTCTAATAAATTGGTCGTGTTTTTCGAGTAATGTTTGCTGCTGCCGTTTTGTCGGTTGCACTCGCCCGGAACAGTGATAATTTCTTAACAATTCTTAGCTGTGCTGTGATCTGGCATTGTTAGGTTCCATAATGTGTGGGTAAAATTATTTAAATTTTCTAAACTTAAGCAGATTGAGTTTCTGTACAAATATGGCAAGATACATATCTTGATTTTGATTATACTAAACGCATTATAATATTAAAAAATACAACTAGTCTTTTTACTTTTTTATAGATGGGAAATTTATACTCATTCATTTATCGTTCGGTTAACTTTACTTAAGTTGCCAAATCCCAATCTTGTGAATGGGGGTCTCGTGTTGACGAAACCCCTGGCCAAGGAAAGTGAAATTCCCCACGCGACAACTGGCGCAACTGATGGACGCAGCCAAGCAGACAATTCCAGACTCAAATTGCATAGCACAATTTGTCGCCAGTCGCTTGCAATTCCTCCGATTTTATTATAAAGACTTGATGTCAACGCGCCGGCGAGCTTAGTCAAAATGTTCGCCTGCAAACGGAAGCTTCAGGCCGCACTGCAACTTATGCTGCTGCTGAGCCTGTGGCTGGGATTTGGCCTGACACAGAACGCCAGCCATGAGATTGCCACCGGACGCTCGGAGAACCAGCTTGACCTGTCCAGCTCGGTGGCTGCCAAGAGCTTCGAGCCACCGCCAGAATTCTACAGGGGCCCAGAGTCGCATCCGAACAATCATCCCTCATTGGGAAGTGTGGGTGAAAGCCTTAGTGAAACCTACAACAAGTGGCAAGGCTTAGGTAACAGTCAAGGAGGTCTCCAGGAGCGCATCAGTGTGGGTAGGTTTTGAGGGCTTCGAAGGAATATCAGATAATTTAACCCTTAGTCAGTCGGGGGACGTAAGACCAAACCAATTTTCGTATAATATTATTCGCAATTTCCATTGAACAGGACATCATCAAGGAAGTGCTGGAGCTGTAGCATCACATGCACCGCCAGTGGGCAGTTTCGAGACTAACTCCCATCCATATCCCTATGAGTACTCTCACAGCACTGCCGGAGCAGGACCTGGACTGGCAGCTGGAGGTGCATCGGGGGCTTACTTTGGCAGTTCTAGTGTGGAGGCGGGGATACCATTCGATGTGTACGGATCGCGACCAGGGCATGGAGTGGGTCACAGTCATTATTCCACGACGGAATATGCATATCCCTATCACTTGGATCACCATGAAATAGCCAGTCACAAGGGACCGGGATACGGAGAAGGATCCTCCAAAGCCCTGTTGGCCAAGAGTTTTCTAATTCCTTTAGCCAGTGCTGCCGTTCTGGGGATTGCAGCCGCCTTGATAAGCAATCCCCTGCTCCTTCAACTGGGCACCGTTTCCGGACTCGGGGCACCATTTGTCGGGAAGCGTAAACGCCGGGCAGCGGGCTCTCGTCATCGTCGAAATATGGTAACAAATTAAGCCCATAAACACGTACTATTAATATGCCATTCACAAAAGAAGAAAAAGATTAAAAAGAAAAATCATCACTTTTCAATGAATATTTACCGATAAGTAGAAACCCCTTTCCCTGATAAGATTTTGTATTAAAATGGTAAACAAAGTGTGCGAAACGAACTTGGAACCCCCAACATATTCAAAATATCATTATAGTACCCACCATTGAGGAGAAAGGAAAGGAGTTATCAAACAGTAATAAACCTGAAGTGGTAAATCATGTAGAGGTTCTTTCCTGTATATTAAACTTTTAATGATATACTTATAGCCACTTTGATACTGATTTTTAGATTCATAATTTATTTAAGCATACTTAATTCCCAACAACATTGTTTATATTATTTATATTCATAAAATTAACGCATTTTTCATCATATTTTCATAACTCTTTCTCTGGTTGCTCTTCTGGGTTTACTGTACTAAACTGGGATCATGCACAAAAATAAGTGTACTTCGGTTTTCACCTTTACATTATCCGACTCATTACTCGCCATTTTTTATTTATTTAATTCGAATACCTGGAAATATTTTTAAATTATGATACAAATCGTATATCGATATTTCAATCGATAACCTGATAACCAGCTGGCAGAATAACAACAAACAAAGTGGAAAAACAAATATAATGTTGTAGTATTTAAAATATTAGAGTAATGTGCTCGAAACGTAATCTGAGTGTCCTTGTGGACACAGAAGACGAGCAGGAGAACCAGCCGAACATCACCGCTAAATCGTTCTGCCAGCACACTTCATCGGAATTCGCCGGCTCACCGAAAGCCCACGGAAGCAATGTTTCGGGCGATTCCTTATCCACGCAGCGCAAGAATAATGCTTCCAAGTTCGAGAAATCCTGGCTGGCCCTAAATAAGTCGTGTATGGCCCTAAGCCCGATGGATTCTTCAGAGAATATCAGTATGACAAGTTCCCCGGCAACAAAACGTCGAACAAAAGCCTTGCCCGTCTCCATTGGTCAAAATTCTCCGAGGACTCCTCCCGCCATACCCCGGTCGAGGTTATCTTCTTCGTTCAAGACTTCTCAGCGATGGAACGCATTAATGAGCGAAGAATCCTGTCATTCGCTAATAAGAAAATCTCCGCAGACTTCTCCTTTGATGCCGGTTAAGAGTCCACAAATGTTCTCTTTCTTCAAGACATCGACGATTAATGATAATTCTCCAAAGACTTCTCCGTTAATTGAAAAAACAAATAGGAGCCCTCGAAGGTTATCCTCCTCCCTCAAAACATCTCAGCGTTGGAACGACTTGATGAGCGATCATTTGCTGAATGAATCGAGCTGCACGGACGATAGCCATCTAGAGTCCTCACCAGCCATCCGTCTGGTGCCTGAGCAACCCTCCCAATACCTGCCCAGCAGCAGCCAGAAAAGAGTCACCCAAAAGCCACACAAACGCGCCGTTAAGGGAGGCTACGCCGAAAGTTTCCAGCGGTTGCTGAAGAGTGTGCGAATGGATCAGCGTCATCAGAGCAGCAGGGAGGCCACCCACAAGGTTCAGGTGCTGTCTTTAAACGAAGAGTTCAACCTATCAATGGCTCTAGTGGAGGCCGAGAGCCAGCAAGGAAGTTCAAGCTCAATCTTTAATATTATATTACAATCGAATCAATCAAAAGACGTTAAGGCGGGCTCTAGGCTGAAGTTCTACTTGGATCCGAACATCAAGCCGTTGCAGCTGTCCAACAAGCAATTGGTCTATTGTCAGCCACATAATGTAATTGTTTTATAAAGTCAAGCTTTAGTTGTATGTATAAAATGTATAAAAATACTGCGTCTCACATTTTGTTCTGCGTTAAGTATAGTTTTAAGGCTGAATAGGTTTAAAATACTTAATAATTATGAATTAAGATGAATATTCCCTTATGCCCATTTGTTACTTGTAAAAATATCAGTATATCAGTCTTGAAGAGTTCGAAAAGTTAGGAATGCTTTCACCAGCAGACAGACTTCTCCTGAAGTATGTTTCCATGGATGCGTTGCGCCAGAAATCTATAAATAAATAGAGTGTTAAACCAAAATCCCACCGCAGGATCACTTTTCTTAAATCAAACCTCATTGCATGTGTGGGTACGGCGGCCACGAAGAGCAGAAACAGGACGTTGCCCAGCTCATCCGCATGGGCATAGCACTTGTGATAGTCCGAGCAGCTGTACTGATCCATCAGCATGGTTTTATTGCCCGACGATGTTCCCGTCTCGAATTGATGCACTGCATCCATGGTCTGGTCGTAAAATTTCTTCAGTATGTCCAGTCGTTGCAGATCGCCAGCAATGATGCGTTTGACACTGGCGGACTGGTTGAGATTTCTGGTAAACAGACTCTTCCGAGTATGCCGGTTCAACAGGATAATGGCCAGCACGTTGCCATCAATGTCCAGGTTCTCCGGCAGACTGCGTGGCATGCAGCGCTCGGCGGCGGCCAGAAGATTACCCTCGTTTCGGTACGCACTCATCGCTTGGGCATGCAGCTCACGAAATGGGGCATTCTCAGCTCCGCACAGCACACACAAGGCGGTGTTTGGCGCCACAGGAATGCTGACAAATCGATAGGCAATATTGGGACTCTTTACGGGCAAGTGGACGGGCACATCGTGCTGCAGGGAGCTGGATGAGTTGAGCAGGAACAGCAAGAGCTCCCGATCCCTAGTGTCCAGGTCCCACCAGCCCTCGGTGGCCACCGCAATGCGATGGCCCACTACCAGACAGCAGAACAGAGAGCCGCAATGGCCACTGAACTCGTTGAGGCACTGCAGCAGCTGGCCATTCTCCGAAGCCAGCAGACAGTCGGTGTAGCCCAGAAGCTGTGTACCCGCGCAGGCCGCCTCCAGAATGGCATCCACAATGGGCACATACTTCTTGGCATCCTTCTTCAGTCGCTCTAGCAGTGTGGCGTGCGCCATCTCGGCTGTACGAGTGATGAACATGGCGATCGCCCCAAAAACAAGGTCCGCCAGTGTCTGAAGCAGCTGCACCGATCCCAAACCACAAGCGCAGACTATCAGGGTAATGGCGTTCTGATCCCTCCAGATGTAGGTCCACTCCTCTGCATCCGCGGAGCTCTGATACTGCACAGGCTGCTTGCTGGTCGTGGTGGCTTCCAGTTGAATTCCCAGTGATTTAAAGAACATGTGAAAGCCGTTGAGCGAAGCCACCGTGGAAAAGGGCAGCTGGAAAATATCAATTACAGAAGGCTGTTGAATGACAGCGCCCACAAAAGCTTTCGCACATTCTTCACTTACATTTTCACATTCCCCCTTCTTGCGCGTAAACACCGGTAAGCCGCCATTTGTTGTTAAACATAACAAATAAATAGACATTATGAGCTTCTTTCCCAAAATCTGCAACGTCGACAGCGTAGCCAATATAGCTATTTTCCGGCTAGATCTTACTTAAAACACATGGAAAACAATTTTAAATTTATATAGACTTACATGAAAAACTTAGAATTTTATGGTTTTTATCATTTTAATATGACATCAAAAATCATTGACTTTGTACTTAATTTATACTCTAGTTTTCGATTAAATCGATTCAAAATTTAAAAAATCGTTTAATCGATCGGCAGCAATCGATTACATTGCACTGTGCTACAAAATAAATTATTCTGGTATAATTCAATAACAAACGTGATTTCTTATTACTAATTATAAACAGACTGTAGAAATAGTAGGCTTCTCTAGTTTGTCACACAATTCGCTAATAGGTAAATATACACAGTACTTGATACAAGAAAATATTAAATTCCTATCGGCTTTAGGTTTTTTTTAATGTATTTCGACTTTGGTATTTTTAGACCGTCGCGAAGCGGCAACACTGATTGCATTTCGCATTGTCCGTGTCGTCGATTTCTGCTCTTTTTCTGGAATTGGTAAAAAGGTGAGCTAGATATGTGAAAACAGCAATGGGGGCGGCAATTGGGGCGGCGTGGCGCCGCGAACGGTGCAAACAGTTGCGGCGCTCTCGAAATGCCGCCGCAGTCCGCTCGTCTCAATATCAGCGGCGGCGGCGATGCGCTCCCCTTGTGGCTGTGTGCGTGCGTGTGTCGCACGCGTGTGTGTGAGTGTGCGAAAAAGTGTAAGCGCGCGCAGGCAGTAAGCGTGCGCTTGTAGTTGTAAGAGTGTGTTCCAAAAAAGAAAATAAGAAAATAAAAAAAGAAATATGGATGCCTGCCTGCGGTGCCTAAAAGCGCAATAAAACTAACGCCGATTTGTACACTCGCTCTTTCCTTTGCAGCTCCAGGCCCAGTCCCGGCACGAGATCCAGATCCCGATCCAGATCCAGATCAAGAGTTGCCGCTCCTCACCGTCACCGTCACAGCAAGAAGAAGAGAAGAGGAAGACGAAGAAGTCTGAACTAGCCGCTGCCGCACAGCCCAGCACAGCGTAACTCAGCCCAGTCCAGGAGGAGGAAGCGAAGAAGCTATCAAGATTAACGCGGACACAGCTGCGAACGAGCGACGCAGACGCGAACGCCGGTTCTACTACAAAGCGATGGCGACGATGTTGACGTCGGACGAGGCGGGCAAGTTGCTCGACTTCTCGCAGAAGCTGGACATTAATCTGCTGGACAAGATCGTCGAGGTGGTGTACACATCGCAGGGGGAGCAGCTGCGCCTCGCGCAGGACATACTCACCACGCTGAAGGAGCATCCAGAGGCATGGACGCGGGTGGACAGCATCCTGGAGTATTCACAGAACCAGCAAACCAAGTTCTATGCACTGCAGATCCTCGAGGAGGTGATCAAGACGCGCTGGAAGGTGCTGCCGCGCAATCAGTGCGAGGGCATCAAGAAGTATGTGGTCAGTCTGATTATTAAGACGTCCTCGGATCCCATTGTCATGGAGCAGAACAAGGTTTATCTCAACAAGCTGAACATCATTCTGGTGCAGATCCTGAAGCGTGAGTGGCCGCGCAACTGGGAGACATTCATCAGCGACATTGTCGGTGCATCTAAGACCAACGAGAGCCTGTGCATGAACAACATGGTTATACTGAAGAACCTCAGCGAGGAGGTTTTCGACTTCTCCCAGGGCCAGATCACGCAAACCAAGGCGAAGCACTTAAAGGACACCATGTGCTCCGAGTTCTCACAAATCTTCACGCTCTGCTCTTTCGTCCTGGAGAACTCGATGAATGCTGCGCTAATTCACGTTACGCTGGAGACGCTGCTGCGCTTCCTCAATTGGATTCCGCTCGGCTATATCTTCGAGACGCCGCAGATTGAGACGCTGATCTTCAAGTTCCTCAGCGTGCCCATGTTTAGGAATGTGACCCTGAAGTGCCTATCCGAAATCGCCGGCTTGGCGGCGACCAACTACGACGAAAATTTCGCGACGCTCTTCAAGGACACGATGGTGCAGCTCGACCAAATCGTTGGCCAGAACATGAACATGAACCATGTCTTCAAGCACGGCAGCGACACGGAGCAGGAGCTGGTCCTCAACTTGGCCATGTTTCTGTGCACCTTCCTTAAGGAGCACGGCAAGCTGGTGGAAGACGCCAAGTATGTGGACTATCTAAACCAGGCACTCATGTATCTGGTGATGATCAGCGAAGTCGAGGACGTAGAGGTGTTCAAGATCTGCTTGGAGTACTGGAACAGTCTGGTGGAGGACCTATACAACTCGGAGTTCTTCCACCCCAACCTGGAGTCCTCGAAGAGGCAGCAGGTGTATCCCCGGCGCCGTTTCTATGCCCCCATCCTGTCCAAGGTGCGCTTTATTATGATCTCGCGCATGGCCAAGCCGGAGGAGGTGCTGGTGGTGGAGAACGAGAACGGGGAGGTTGTGCGCGAGTTCATGAAGGACACCAACTCGATTAATCTGTACAAGAATATGCGCGAGACACTGGTCTTTCTCACTCACTTGGACTCTGTTGACACGGACCGCATCATGACGCTGAAGCTGCTAAACCAGGTCAACGGCTCGGAATTCTCCTGGAAGAACCTGAACACGCTGTGTTGGGCCATTGGCTCCATATCCGGTGAGATGTTTTTTAAATTTATTAAAAAATATTTCCTTTTCCAGTTTTTTGTTAGCTTCATTGACTAATTGTAATTTTCTTGTGGCTTTTCCTTTACATTAGGTGCTTTTTGTGAAGAGGATGAGAAACGGTTTCTGGTCACCGTCATCAAGGATCTGCTAGGCCTGTGCGAGCAAAAGAAGGGCAAGGACAACAAAGCGATTATAGCATCGAATATCATGTATGTGGTGGGCCAGTATCCGCGCTTCCTGCGCGCCCACTGGAAGTTCCTCAAGACGGTAGTCAACAAACTGTTCGAATTTATGCACGAGACGCACGATGGCGTCCAGGACATGGCCTGCGACACATTCATCAAAATCGCGATCAAGTGCCGCCGCTACTTTGTCACCATTCAGCCGAATGAGGCATGCACCTTCATCGACGAGATTCTCAGCACAATGAGCAGCATAATCTGCGATCTGCAGCCACAACAGGTGAAGCAGCAAGCTTTAAATATTTAAATTTAAATTAATTATGAAAAATTAAGATATATATTATTAATGACGAATGTTACGATCCATTCGCAGGTTCACACCTTCTATGAAGCTGTCGGCTACATGATCTCGGCCCAGGTAGATCAGGTGCAGCAGGACGCACTCATCGAGCGCTACATGCAACTGCCCAATCAGGTGTGGGATGACATTATTTCGCGCGCCTCCAAGAACGTTGACTTCTTGAAAAACATGACCGCCGTGAAGCAGCTGGGCAGCATTCTGAAGACGAATGTGGCTGCATGCAAAGCCCTGGGGCATGCCTATGTGATTCAGCTGGGCCGCATCTACCTGGACATGCTGAATGTGTACAAGATCACCTCGGAGAACATCATCCAGGCCATCGAGGTGAATGGCGTCAATGTGAACAATCAACCCCTTATCAAGACCATGCATGTGGTGAAGAAGGAGACGCTCAACCTGATATCGGAATGGGTGTCGCGCTCCAACGACAATCAGTTGGTGATGGACAACTTTATACCGCCTTTGCTGGACGCTATATTACTGGACTATCAGGTGAGGTCCCCTACAAGGCGTGTTCTAGGGTGCCGATGCTAATGTGTCGCCTTTATAGCGTTGCAAAGTTCCATCGGCGCGGGAGCCAAAGGTCCTGAGTGCGATGGCCACCATTGTGCATAAACTGCGCCAGCATATCACCAATGAAGTACCAAAAATATTTGACAACGTCTTCGAGTGCACACTGGACATGATCAACAAGAACTTCGAAGACTTCCCCCAGCACAGGTTCAGCTTTTACGAATTGCTGCAGGCTGTCAATGCGCACTGCTTCAAGGCGTTCCTCAATATACCGCCGGCCCAGTTCCGACTGGTCTTCGATTCGGTGGTGTGGGCCTTCAAGCACACTATGCGCAATGTGGCCGACATGGGCCTAAATATCCTTTTCAAGGTAAGGGATTTAGGGGATTACCAGAAATACTGAGAAATACTAATATCTATCTCCTATTACAAAGATGCTGCAAAACCTGGAACAACATCCGGCTGCGGCGCAGAGCTTCTATCAGACCTACTTTACGGACATTCTGATGCAGATTTTCTCGGTAGTTACCGATACCTCTCACACGGCCGGTCTGCCCAATCATGCTACCATTCTGGCGTACATGTTCTCCTTGGTGGAGAACAGGAAGATAACCGTGGACCTAGGTCCGATACCAGATAACATGATATTCATTCAGGAGTACGTGGCCTCTCTACTGAAATCGGCGTTCAATCACTTGTCTGATAATCAGATCAAGGTCTTCGTGACGGGGCTTTTCAATTTGGACGAGAATGTGCAAGCATTTAAGGAGCATTTGAGAGACTTCCTCATACAAATTCGCGTTAGTATTGTAGTCAAAGGGAGGCCGAATAAATGTGCGAGTTCGTTGGTTTATCTGTTTTGCATTTACAGGAGGCCACCGGCGAGGACGATTCCGATTTGTATCTGGAGGAGCGCGAGGCGGCCTTGGCAGAGGAGCAGTCCAACAAGCATCAGATGCAGCGTAATATTCCAGGCATGTTGAATCCGCACGAGTTGCCCGAGGATATGCAGGACGAGTAGGTGTTTCGCGACAGAATGTTTTAGTTGATGCTTGAGAATAGAGATGATTATGGTATGAGGATGATGATGAATGAGTGTCTCTCGAGCGCGAAAGAGTATAAATGTTTGTTTGATTGAATGCATATAAGTACGTTATATATATATAAATACACCCACACATACGACCCCCCACATATACACAAGTGCATACCTACACAGAGAAGGAGTTGCGATTAATGGTGAATGATAAGTATATATGGTTATTCTTGCGCAATTACATACATTAATAAGATTAACATATTATTGCGCAATGTTCTGGACCGCACGAGCCCAGAGCCCAGGAAACCCCCTCCTAACCAATTCCCTAACCGACCATCCAGATTATATAGTTGTAAAGTCCTGTCATTTTCTACACTAAAATGCAACTCAGCAGATACGAAAGATCCAAACTTAATCGTACTAATAATATAATAATAATGTTAGTTTGGAATTTTTTAAACGAGTATTTGTGTAGAAATATCAAGTATGAATGAATATTTGACCGATAACACACACACAAAATCACCCACACAAACAGAGCAAAAGAAACAAGATATAAAAAACAAAAAAAGAAAAACTTTAAGTAAAATTAAATTGTAGTAGACTTAAACAGCGATCAGGAGCCGGCAAAAGTAACAAAATTATATATATATATATATGCAATCGTTTTGCATAAATTTAGCATTAGCTCGATGATTATGATGGTGAACGCAGATTAAGGAGACGATGAAGAAGCAAACATGCCGCATCATATAACCAGAAACAACAGCAGCAACAAATTCATGAAAAGTGTGAAGAAATAGAACTAAAACGTAAATATTCAAAACAAAAATACATCAAGAAAACAACACACCACAAATAACCATAGAAATGCGTATTAATGATGTGTTTAAATTTTTACATAATTAGTTTGTACAATAATTTAAATAAAAATCAATTAAAACTACTTTGATGAATGAAGCGAATAATCCGTTTGGAAGTCTTCTATTATTATTGGTTGGTTACATTGATATTATTTTTTTAAGAAAACCACAACAAAATAATACAAATTTGGCATTGTCCTCGACGGGCAATAACTCTCTTTACCTTGGCTGTTTAAGGAAATTGCTATATATTTATAAGCATTAAGACTCAGCAATGTATGCTGAACATATTCTGCAAATTTCAGGACAATCGGTTAAGTCGTTTTTGAGAAATCGTGTTGACCAGTTGGAAAAACGTGGTTTCGAGAAAAACGCTAAAGAAATAATTTTTGCAGGAGTGAATGGGTTTAAGTTTTACTAAAATATAGCAACTTGCAGGTTACCTATGAATATGATATGCAAATTTAGGCATTACAAACCCAAATGCAGGATATGAATCTCTTTCCATGCCCTTTTCCTGGCTGACTATAAAAAGAAGTTAAACATAATCTAGTAATCTATTTATTTTATATAATTAAAGTCCATCTTGTCTTGCAAGCTTACAAATTTGAAATTAGTCAATAAAGGTATTATTTCGACATAAATGAATACCTTTAAGGATAAAACTAATCAATGAGCGGGCAATTTTTGCGGCACCAACAGTCGATTGTTGTGCAGAAATTGCGAGTCCTTGGTAAGAGCCTTCCAGGTCTGAAATAGGTTTTGTGAAATGAACCAAGTCTGGCCAACTGGATCCACAGGATAAATATCTCTGCTGTTGCTGAAGGGCAGTTCAATTTTGTGTGAAACCTTTTCCTTAAAGGCGGTGCCATTAAAGGGTCTCTGCGAGTGGAGAGCCACAGTCACGTCCTCCAAGAAGAGCCTCCACCGAGGCCTGTAGTAATCCCTCACCAAGCCCGACCACTGCTTGCATGCATAGTCCAAGATCTGGCCATCGGGACCCCATGCGGTTATCTGATTCCTGGCATTGAATTCAAAGTTGCTCAGTTCTTCAGGGGCGGGAGCCACCCGTTTAGCCTGCTCCAGCCAGCTGCCGAGTAAGAAGTTCCTGCCGCTGGCCAAGATCAGCTCCATATCATCAAGGAGTTGCAACAGCTTGGCGCTAAGATACTCAAAGCGTGTTACCTGCCGCTTCCTGTATGCTGACTTCAGGTTGACGTACAACTGATCTGCGCTGATTTGCAGGTACTGCCTGGATATATCCACCAGATCGTGCTCATACACCTCGTATCTGTCGTCCTCTAGCGGTATTATGGCCCTGGCGGAGAGCAGCAAGTGCCAGGCCTCCAAAACATCGCTCGAGTTGTACCAGGTGAAGGGATCCTGGTTAAAGGAAGGCCTACGGGTCACCACATACTGCCCCCGCATCTTCTGCAGGCCGCGAAAGGAGTAGACACTGTTCTTTAACAGCAGCCAAGCCTGCTCCAGTCTTTCATCTTGGACGCCGTAGCGAGTGAGTGCGAAGTTCCTGAACCAGCTGTCCAAGTCCAAGGATGAGGAGCTCCAGCCGCGCTCCAAGGTCAAGGAGTACATCACATAATTCTGGTTAATGCCCTCGGGTGTGATGCCAGTACCCACCCAGCTGCTGTTGGGCATCCGACGAGCCACCTCGATCCCCGAATTGATTAGCTTGGCAGATCCGAACATCCCCAGAGTGCCGCCAAAGTTGTGTAGCATGCACCAGACGAAGGGCTGCCCGAAGTAAGACCGCGTCAGCTCGTACTGTGGGAACTGTTCGCTCTGGAGATCGAGCACTAGGATCCTGCCAAGAGGAACCGCCGTGAGAAAGGCCTCCGCCATGTCTGTTGTCCAGAAGGGATTCTTCACAAACATCCAGCCCTGCAGCAGCCAAATGGCCTGCGGATCGACTTCCCTCATGGATTCGTGGATCGCCGCCGCCGTCGATCGCATGTATTCTGGCTTAGCAACCGGTGGCTCCAGCTCATTGAAGGGGTCGCAAAAGAAGATGTGATTAGTTCCATAGGTCGCCACCACGCGACTCAGAAAGCTCCTGGCTATCTGCTGGAAAAGGGGCTCCGTGGGCTCAACGAACAGGCCGCAGCAGTAGCGATCGGGGAACGAGTTCCAACGCTGCACCTCCGCGAACGTGGAGTTCGGATGCAGACGGCTCAGGGCGCGCGGCACATGCCCCGCAAAGGCGGGCAGTGCCACACTCATGCCCAGGTTGCGTTGTGCCGCCAGAATCTCCTGCTGCAGCAGGAGCTGAAAATGCATCCATTTGGGTTTCAAGGGTCCGGCCCATCCGCGAATGTTGCCCATGCGCTGCCAGGCCTGAAAGGCAGGCCCCGCCAAATGGCCATCGATTTCCTCCTGAGTGAGTCCCATTTCCGTGTACACTTCTGTCCAGATAGCTTCCTGGACGGGAGCAATGGTCAGACTGATGCCCATCAGGGCCATCCAGTCAATGTGACGGCGCCACTGATCAAATCCCCACCACGCAAAGCTGTAGCTCCAGGTGCACACGTTCTGATGATACATTATCGGACTCCCAGAGGTGGATTCAATGGTCACATTGGGCATCTGCAGGTTGGTGGGCAGCTCGATGCGCATCTTGAACCAGTCCACGTCTTTGTTAAGAACATATTTTAGGTAGTAATGAAAGGCCTTGCAAACGCAGACACCATCCCAGCCAGCTAGCAGAATCCTTCCATTGTCTAGTAGGCTGATCTGCAAGTAAGTCGTGTATTTTTTTGTTTCAAGAAAATGTTTTAAATGGGTTTTCTTATGATCACAGAAAAATCTAGAAAGAACCAACCTTAAATGTTCTTGGCGCCATTTCCTTACTGACTGCCACCTGAAAAAGTTGCGAATAGGATCGTAATCCGATCACCCTGCTGATTACTCCCCTGGCGGCCGCCTCCTGAACCTTTGTTGGAGTACTGGGCGCCAAGTGGACAGCCAGCTGGCGTCCCAAATCAGGACCGTCATAGGCATTCAGCTTCCATTCCAATGCCTGCCCGCCTAGCGGATAAAGAACCGCTAGCAAGGCCAAGGCCAGTGTGAGTGTCAGCTGCATCATCTTCGCTTCGTAGCGGCACTGCCTCTGCCATGTGTCAATGTCAACGAAACACAAGTGACTGACTGACGACTGACTGACGGCACTTTGCCTCCCAATTGAGCCGCTCTCGGAGATTAAAAGAAAAATAGAGAGCGGAAAGAGGAGTACTAAGTAAGCGGAATGAGTGGACAATGGAAGATCCCGTTGCTGGATTCGCCGATTACATTTTTCTTATCGCCCCTCATGGGACAATGACGCACTGGAGATCTTCATCGCGGGGTGCATTTCTACAATAATAATAAGTACATTGTACATTCCGGGATGATGTGCTCTTTATTAAAATCGGAAGCTAAATCGGTGCTGTATTACGGTTCTTTAAGATGGACATTGAGAATTCTTCATTTCCTTTTTAATTTGTTTTTCTTTTGGAATTTGAAAATCAATTTAAAAAGTATATGATCTTAATAAGATCAGGGACCGTAATCATTATAAGTGAAAAAAATAAAAATTAATATTTAATGGTTATCTATTGATTTTAGTATATATATATTTTTTAATATTAATGATTAAAATTGTATATTTTTTATTTTATTTAAATATTTTTTTTTATTTATTAAAAAAATGTTTGTTCTTTGAGCGTTATTTTTTCGCTCAGTGTTTTTTTGGGTTCGTCTGAATGAAGGTATAACACTTTAATCGAAGTTTTGAGCAAAAAAAAAAAAAACGATATAAAAATAATCATCATTTTGTTAGTTTATTTTTATACCCTTGCAGGGTATTATAATTTCAGTCATAAGCTTGCAACGCAGTGAAGGAGACCCTATAAAGTATATATATTCTTGATCAGCATCAACAGGGGAATCTTTCTAGATATGTCAGGAAGAAATCGATTTTTTGGCCATTTTTGCAAAATTTTATAAGGGGTTAAATCATTAAAATTTTTGATTTTGATAAAAATTGAATTTTCAAAATTTTTAAATGAAGTATGCAGATTTATTAACTGTAGAAAATCTTGCACAGAACAGTTTTCCGATTTAAAATTATTGCTCTTTTGGCCGAGTTATGATATTTTTAATTTTAAAAAATCAAGAAGTTTTTTAATATAAAAAAGCCGATTTTATAATACAAAATAATATTTTTCTAAGTCATTTTCGACCCCATAAACCATATATATTCTTGATCAGCATCAACAGGGGAATCTTTCTAGACATGTCCGGAAGAAATCGATTTTTTGGCCATTTTTGCGAAATTTGATAAGGGGTTACATCATTAAAATTTTTGATTTTGAAAAAAAAATTGAATTTTCAAAATTTTTAAATGAAGTATGCAGATTTATTAACTGTAGAAAATCTAGCACAGAACAGTTTTCCGATTTAAAATTAATACTCTTTTGGCCGAGTTATCATAGTTTTAATTTAAAAAAAATTCAAGAAGTTTTTTAATATAAAAAATCCGATTTTATAATACAAAATAATATTTTTCTAAGTCAAGGAATCATTTCCGACCCCATAAACCATATATATTCTTGATCAGCATTAACATGCGAATCTTTCTAGACATGTCCGGAAGAAATCGATTTTTTGGCCATTTTTGCAAAATTTTATTAAAATCATTAAAATTTTTGATTTTGATAAAAAATTGAATTTTCAAAATTTTTAAATGAAGTATGCAGATTTATTAACTGTAGAAAATCTTGCACAGAACAGTTTTCCGATTTAAAATTAATGCTCTTTTGGCCGAGTTATGATATTTTTAATTTAAAAAAAATCAAGAAGTTTTTTAATATAAAAAATCCGATTTTATAATACAAAATAATATTTTTCTAAGTCAAGGAATCATTTCCGACCCCATAAACCATATATATTCTTGATCAGCATTAACATGCGAATCTTTCTAGACATGTCCGGAAGAAATCGATTTTTTGGCCATTTTTGCGAAATTTGATAAGGGGTTACATCATTAAAATTAGCAAGAATGGCCGAAAATTTTGATTTCTTAAAATTTTAAATTTGGTATGCAGTTTTTTTAAATTAATAAAAACTAACACAAAACTGCTTTCCGAATCGAAATTAATGCATTTTTGGCTTAGTTATGATATATTTTAATTGTTACCTGCAAGGGTATACAAACTTTGGCTGGCCAAAGTTAGCTTTCTTTCTTGTTTTCCCTCAAATAAAGAATGATTATTTTTTGAGTGATTAAATAAAATTCAAAAATTAATAACAATTGGTTTAAAATATTTTGTCAAGTGGATTATTTTTTGTTTTAAGAAAACATTGATAATCATTATTTACGGTCCATGAATAAGATAGTTATTCTTCCAGCATTAAGAGGCTCCACAAAATGTATATAAACTATAGATCCTCAAAGATATTTAAAGCTTTGTTGGCAAAGCTTCACTGCTTAATCTCTCCATTGCGGTTTTCTGCTTACTTTAAATATTAAGAATCGCTGTAAAAAATCACAAAATGGGGGTCGCCTAATTTTTAAAATAAACCAATTCAATTCAGTTCCAATAACGCAGATCAGAGGATAATATATATTTTCTCGCATTAAAACGCAGCCTTTATGGTGTCGTTTTGAGCTTTATTGCACATATTTCGTCTTAGACACTAACAATAATTTCGTTTATGTATGTAAATGTAAGCAAACTGCAAAAACCTTCGCTTCACTACTCACTCACCTTATTTTTATGGGACAAAAGCTCCTTGTGGCCATCGCTGTGTATACAATTCCCAACAACTTTAATAACAATTCAGGGATATATAATATATACTATAAAAAATTAGAACCTCACAGTGGACAATGCAACGCGATGCTCTCTAACATTGTTTTCTTCATTTCTGTATTTATGGCAACAAAATACTATTTCAAAGCCCGTTTGCCGACAACAAACCTACATAAATAATGCTTGAATGTATGCAGGTGATGTATATATTGGTACTTAGGACCTACCCTTATACACTGCAATAATGTTAAAAGCCATTCGTGTTGCTCACTATTATTAATTAGCACAATAATCCAAAAATGACTAGCTCTAAACAGCCGCTGGCAAGTATACAAAGTATAACTACAACTATATGTCAATATGTTTAAATTAAGAACTAATTAAGTACGTATTTCCATGTCATATCTGGGTTTATGGCTGTGCGATTTCTGCTGTACTGACTACTCAAGCAACATGACTATATTATTGTTATTATTTCATGTTTTTATTGTTTGGCCCTTTGGAAAAAATTAAAACCAAATTTGGTATATAAATCACTCTTCGATTTTCATTTTACTACAATCACCGCTTCTACACTTCTTTTTCCCCGTCTCGATTGCAGTAAATTCGTTGTGCTCAAGAAGAAATTTGGAACTCCATCCAAATATTACGTATTTTAACTATACGCGAAACTTTACGTGGCAACGGTAATGCAATTTCTATTTCTTCACCCCTGCAAATGGAATTCCTAAGGTTGACACCTAAATCATACATGAGACATCTTATTAGCTCCTCAGTTTTAACTTTACCACAAACGTTCCTTTAATTCCACATCGGTTTTACTTTTTCTTTAGTTTGCAAACGGAATATCCCTTTAAAATGTCTGGTTTATATATCCGAAATTGTTTGATTTTTATAAAAATGATATCTTAACTTGTATATCATTTTTTTGCTCCCACTTCATCATGGTAAATTCTCTGAGTTTATCTCCATATATGTAAAAATATTTAAGCCTTTCTTTGGTGGATTTGCTTTTATATAAAAGTTTAAGTCAAGCTCCTTCTCTATCTAAAAATCAAAATCAAAGGGGCCTTTAGGAAGGTTAGCAATTCAACCGTCAAGGGCTGATACCAGTTACTTTTTAAGTTCTTCCCCGATCTTTAATGCATAATTTGTGAGCGAAAAGTGGACTTGACTTTTCTTAGAAGATGACTTTTAGGCTGCCTTTAGCTTACGAAAACGAATACTACAACCTTGAATTTTCCCCACGTCTCTTTGATATCAGAGATACCTTTACAGCCGATGTGACACCTTTCCGCTTTCTGTAAATTCGAAGTGCTCCTTACCCTCATTCACTGATCGAGTACGCCTTCCTTATGCACTTGCTGTGCCTAGTAATCCGCAACTCCTCGTCGTGCGCCGGATGCTGGCGATGCGTCACCAGATCCGGCATCTCGGTCGACGACTTGTTTAGTGCGTAGGTGCGGATAAAGTCGATGGTGGAGTAACCTTGTGTTCCGGTCGATTCGACTTTCTTGTTCGCCGGTGATTCTCCTCCCTCAGTGGTCGCCAATGCACTCACGCTGCTCAGGCTTTTGGATTGAATCGGCGGAGGTGGTGGCACCTCCAGAACAGCACTTGCCTCCGGGGTCACAGGAGCTGTCACAGGTGGTGCGGGCGTGGAGACCAAAGAGAGTCCGCTCCCGAAACCGTTGAACGTCGCCTTGGGAGAGCCCGCCGGAGCAGCTGGACTTTTTGGTTGGTCCAGATCCAGGACAATGTAGTTAACGCCACTGCTCCCTGCCAAACTGGTGGGCGTGGCCGGTTCCTGGCTAGCGGCCACAGGTTCCCGCGACAGTGGCAAGGGTAGTTCCAATCTACTCACGTTCTCGTAGCAGCGTTCGTTGCTCAGATCGAAGATCAGCGTATCCACATTGGCGTACATGTGAATGGCTTCGTTGTTGGAAGGACTCAATACCGGAGCGGGCGGCGGGGCGGACTCCTGCGGCGGCAGGTCGAGTGTGCGCCTCCGCATGCTTAATCGATTGCCTGACGGTGGGGTGGCCAGCAGATCCATGGCTGATTGTGCATCCTTGCAGCACTCCTGCAGAACACGCAACGGCTGGTCCGCACAAGAGTTGGGCATTAGGAGAGGGGATAGTAAGTTGGGCGGACAATCTTCCAGAGCCACATCATTCAGTGGCAGCGGTACTGATGCACTGGCGCTTGAAGACTCACTGTGGGAGCTGCCCAGCTGGCGGCTAATCAGGGGAGCCGGCTCCAGGTAGTTGTTGCCCTGCGGATTCCCCTCCGACCGGCCGCCGCCCATCATCACGGACACCGAGTGGGCAGAGTTTACCCGCTCGCGCTCCACTTGCGCAAAGGCGTCCGTGTTGACAGCGTTAATGTATCGCTGGAACATTGGGTACAGCTCCTCGGCATTGTGCACTCGAAACGTGTAGATACCCGGTCCGGACATGCACCTGCGACCTGCCTCGAAGGAGAAGAGGTCGCCATTTAGGCCATAACGCCGAAGATGCTGCAGGGCCCACACAATAGGCTCGCATCCGGGCGTCTGGAAGATCAGTTCGCGTGGCGTCAGCTCCAGGTAGCCGCTGCGAATGACGGGCGTGCCCGGAGTGGGCTGCAGATGGGCCACCCGCACACGGAACACATTCTCGTGGCCACGCAGTTCGTTCAGCTTGCTGGTGCTGGTGATGCAGCCCATGTTGCCGAGTCCGAGTCTGAGTGCTCCCTGTAATGACAGTAGTACTGGGCTATAGTCCACACCAAGAAGTGTGCGAGTGTGCTTTACCTGGACGGGCAGATCCGCCTCGCTCTTATCGCAGCGGTGAGCATGGGAAGCCTAAAGCAGGCCGATAAGAGCACCCGCCCAAAACAGCCCACTGGCAGCACCCAAAGTTTCTGCTATCCACACAATCGTTGTTTGATCCTGCTTCAATCCTGCTTCAATCCTGCGCTATCGTTCGCCTAAACTACTGCCTTCGCCTCAGGGCATATGTTGCTGCTTTTGTTATTTTATCCAGGTAAATCCAGTTTTTAAATGGTATATAATAAGGAGTAATTCACACTAGAAAAAACCAAAACAAGCATAAGTTTGTTAAAAGCTCGGCCGAAAAACTAGTTAATAGCGCTTTTCCGGGGCACCACTTACCTCTCGGCGGCTGCTCGTCCATGGCACTGCTTTTTCTACAAACGTTTACTTTGAATTTCACCTAAAACATAACATTTAACACTTTTTCAGCGGCAGCTTTTCCACCTCTATTCTTTTTCTTATTCTACTTCTTATTTTGGGGTGTGGCCAAAGCGCAAAAAAATAAAAAAACCGCGCGCGCAAATTCCCGCTAAGTATGGCAACGCTTCGCGTTAAGCCAGTCTCAAAAGCCTTTTTCGGGACATTCCGAGTATTTTTATCCTGCTGCCTCTGAATAAGATGATGTGCGCCCATCTCCAGGGTTTTAAGACTGGTTTTAACGTAAGATAAATTGTCTTTCGAAAAGTTCCGAGCGAATAATATCAATTAATTAATATCATGCATGTCAGTGTTTCCAATTTGTCCTTATTTAGGAAAGATTCTTGCTTTTTGAAAGTGAGTTTCTCCTGTTCTTTACTTTTTAATAAAACAAATAATCCGTTATTTTACCTTTTTTAAACGGATTTATTCTTTCTTTGTGTGGAGGCCCTGGCAACCCTATTTATTATGTTTGTTTGACAGTGTGCCCAGCCACTTTCTCCCCGCAATCCCAAAGGTATTTTTAAAGCCTTTTTTCGCAACACAATCGGTCACACCCCGAGCGGACATTTTTTATGCGCGCAACAAGAACGAGAAACCGAAACGGAAAGGCTAAAGAGCTACTGGCAGTGTATCGAAAAGAATCGCAAAGCAAAGAAAGAGCCAAGTGCGTGTTTTAAAACCGAACCAAATCGAGCCAGGTAAATTGCACTCTATGTCATAAGATGGGCGAAAAATGCAGGAGTACATTTAAAAACTAAAATGAAATAAAGCCAAGCCAAGCAGACTGCTTGTGTCTGTGCCTTTGTGTGAGAGTGTGTGTGCGTGAGTGCTGCTACTTTTGAAATTCTCTATACCCGCTCTGTACTTCGCGTCTGTTTCAAGGAAGGATTGTGCCTAATCTTAAATGAAAAAAGAAACTTATGCTGAGAAAGGTTTATTGGCTGGGCTTAACAAAGGTGCTAAATACAGGATTCAAGTACAAGTGGAACGGACGCCGCCGCCGCCAACGCACACAGGCAAGCAGGAAAAAGGACGCCATGGTCGTCGGCTTGGTATGCGTGAGCGGAGAAAGACGGGCAGAGGGAAAAAAGAGAAGCAAAGTGATCTTCAAAGTGTATTTAAATTACAAACTCCGAGCTTCCTTTGTTGAAGCATCCCCCGTACCCCCCCCTCTTAGCCGGCGCATTTGCCGAATTTCGCCACTTTTGAGTTGCCTTTTTCACAATTTTTGGGTGTGCCGCCTTCAATGCGTCGGCGTTGCCACCACGTCGGCGTCCGCAGCAGCAGCGCAGGCAGCGCCGCCGGCAGAGACAACACCATGCCGGTGTGGCTTTGTATCCGTTTGGCTCGCCTCGTTCTCTCTAGCTCAGCCGCCCGCTCTCTCATACACTCTCTTTCTCTCTCTGTCTGTCTTTGCGTGTCTCCTGCCTCCTGTTCTTCGTCAGTCCTGTGTGCGCTTTGTGCCGTCGCTTCGCTTCGCCTTGACTTCATTGTCGTTGTCTCTTCTTTGTTTGCATTGTAAGCCCCGATACACTTGCCAACATGTTTCTCGGCCCAACATCCTTGGGCAAGGTGCATCGAGGAGAGGGCTCACTGTGTCTACCAAGTACTAGTGCTGTTGTTTGTGTATGTGCATCTGCCTGCTCTGCCCCCTTTTGCGTCTCCGATTCACTGGCAGAGATTATCGCTGCCGAGGATCGTCTTTTTTGTTGTTGTTTCCTACACTTTTGTTACGAAAAATTGCGTCGCATTTTTTGCAGCGTCCGCTTGCCAGTTCGCCAGTCACTCAATCGTTCAATCGCTCAATCGCAGACGAGGAGACAGCCACCGCCCTAACTGGCGTCGTCGCCCACATGCCTTTGTATGGGTATGTACTTGCAGCCCAGTCCAATCGGTGATTGTGCGAGTGCGTGTGTATGTTGTGGCGCTTGTGTGTGGGTCCTTCACAGTTGGAGTGGGTGGAACGCAAGAAGCAGAAGCAGAGAAATTTTTGATTGTCGCTGCAATTTAGCTGAGGGATTTCAATATTCTATTAAAAATGAGCTGCATAAAATATGGACATTAAAGGTCCTCAATAGCCAAGGCTACTAATAAAGGGTCACTACTTCCATTACCCATTTGATTTTTAAAATCTTTAAAAGGCAGTGGATAATCTTTGCACAATAAATACATACCAGATGTAGTATCCTTAAATTGTAAATGTTTCCATTTTTTTTTAAACTTAACCTTTTATTAATACCAATTTTATTAAAAAAACAAGTCAAAGATTCAAACAAAATTTTAAAAATTTTGTTCATAAATTAACTGAAAAATAATAAAGTGTCTGATGTTTTCATAACCCCATCAATTCTTTTCAGTTTGATTTGGTAAACAATTTATTTATTTTAGGGGAGTAGTTGACTGCGATATGGCAGTTTGAATGTATCTTTGAGAATTCTTTAAAGGCAAAAGCGGGCTTCCCTTGAAGTCGACTCGGATTACGGGTACATATTTGCTTGCCGCTCACTGAGGACGAATATAATGCCTTTGTCGTTGTTGTCACTATTAGTGAATTTTGTCAACGTTTGCTTAAACGCAAATAAACATTGCATGGTGCGGAGGGTTGTGAATTATTGCCAAGTGCGAATTGCGGTTAACTTACAAAGCTCGATCCCACAATTGGCCTTAAAGTTTTAGCTTATATTTTGAGATATACAGAGAAAACATTGTTCAGAAACTCAAACAGAATTACAAATATCTCATCCATTGTAAATTTGTGTTTTAAAAGTCACAAAGAAATAAAAGATTCTTTCATTTTATTAAGTTAGTGTATATTTATATGTAACCAGTGCTCTGCCCATTAAATACTCTGCACACAGTTCGCCAAAAATGTGGCATGCTTAATGGGGCACCCCATATGCTGTAAACTCTAAATATATTGGTAAAACTACTGCTGATACAATGAACAATTTCGTATAGAAGTTATTATTTGAAATCCGACAGATGCTTTCCTATACCCCAGAATGAAACCAAATCGCATGACTTTAAAGGTATCGTGTGACTTTTGGGGGATAGAAACGGAAGCGGTAACTGGATTTAAAGTTGAAAAAGGAGGTCTGGTAGCGCATTTGTACATATATTGTCGTGGTGGTGGAACACATGTGGGCTCAAAGTCCGAAGCTCAATTGGGGAACAGTCAGTAAGCCAGAGTGTTGAAAAGCCCCTTGTCACCGATGATGATGATATGTATATACAACACGTCAGCGGGGAAAAGCGGGCGAATTTCTCGTTTAATATGCAAACATCTGTGCGGAAGATGTTCGTTAGGAGACGATGTTGAGGAAAATGCTCCGCAGATTGAGCAGATTTTCCCTGTACGCGTTTTTCCTTTTTAAAATTGAATCTCACTGGAGAGCTGCTTGCCAGCCCCAATTTCACATTCCCTCGACCACTTGAAGCCACTTATTGCCCAGGAATTTGGTTCAGGCAAACACACAAACATAATTGCTGGTGTGCACATTATTTGTGCTATTGTTTTATGAGGCATTTGGCGTGCCGAATGGGCATTGTATTAATGCCAAATCAACAGAAATGTGGTGAATAGAAAAAAATTCGGTATGGTATCGTCCACAGAACCAAAAAAAATCAATCGCAATAGCGCGGCAACAAAAATAAACAAAGTGCTGAAGATAAGAGGCGAACCGATCTCCGATTTGCCATCTCCAATCCGATCCGATCTTTTTACAATACAATATATAACAACAACACATCACCCCCCGTCGCCCGATGGAGAACTTTATTTAAATTTAAAGCTCTTGGCAGCGTTCAATTTCGTCGTTGCGGTTTTCTGTTTTTCTTTTTAGCCGTTGCCTTTGCTGCTGGCTTTACTTGCTTATCAATGCCTCAATTTGTTCCCATGTCTTTGTGAGGCGTCAGCAGGTACAGTGATCACACTCAGTGAGGCTCTACTATGTTGCTATTAATTTGTCTCGATTACTAATTTAAATAAATTTAAATTCGTTTTGTTTTATAGGGGCTTATTTATTACTTAAAATTAATTCAATTCCTCCAGAGGACCTTATAAAGTGTGTATATTCTACATATCCTTCAGTTGAATAAAAATCAGATACAATATAGACATTCGCAAGCTGCTTTCTCTTAGTTCTCTTCTGGAATCCGTCCTTTTATGTGATTATCATTGAAAATGCGAAAATAGATTCTTCAATTCGATTGTTATACAACGAATTATCACAATTTATCCGAACAAATGTAATTATGGAATTTAACTGCCTATCCGTGGAACATCACTTTTTTTTTATGAGAACTGCATCTATTGGGAGGAGCACAGTTCCATTAACCTCGGGACCACAGCAGCGATTTATCTTGAATTGGAGTGGCGCAGATTGAAGTGGAGTGCCATTGCAAGTACCGCTATATATGGTAGAAGTCTGTGGTGTGGTGCACAATTACTTTCCCATCCAAGGGCGATAATTAAATAACAATACGAGAAATCCGTTCGATATTACACCATAAAAGCGGGGCTAAATATTTCGGTGATTCTTCACGCCTTCTTTCTTTGTCCCTCCCGTACGAGTGCATGTGTGCGTTATGTGTGCATATTGTTTATTCCCCCCGCTGCTTCGGTTTCTGCTTCTGCTTCTGTTGCATGTGGGGTCATTGTGTGAATGGCAGCAAAATAAAGCAATAAAGCATACGCATCGACGCCGCCAAGGCTCATTAGTTTGTTATTGACTAAGGCATGGAGCAGAAGATGAAGAGCAGAGCCAGGCAGGAGCACGCCTTTATCGGTAGCTGATGATGATGATGATGATGACGGCGGTGACTGTGTGTGTAATGTCTTTGCCCGCCCGCATTTCTCTGCTTCATTCCCCGCTTCTGCTTCTGCTTCTGACTCCTCTGCTTCCGGCTGACGTCGCAGTCGCAGTCACTGCTTCTGCCTGCGCCAGCTGCGAGAGAAGTTTCTGCTGCCATTGAATTGATCGAGCCACTCTCTCAGTCACTGTCTGTTGTTCGCTTGACTTTAACGGTTCGTGGGGATTATCACTCCATCCTGCAGAAGGCAAAACAAAAAATAAAAGTAATCGATCGAGGCGCGAGTGCTAAACAGTTAAATTACTCTCACTAGTTAGATATTCACACTTCGTTAGGTGTTACCCAGTTAAGAGAGAGCCACAGGGAGCGAGAGATAGCAAGACCACCCGCGGCTGGCAGAAAGAGTAAGTACCGGAAATAGAGGAAAAAGCTGGAAAGGAGAGGAGTCATCGAAGTCTAATGAATTATGTATAAAAGAGCCGCGCACTCCACAGTGTCCACTGTGAATTTCTAATCAGAATAGCACTCAATCGCTCTCTACTCCACACCCGTTTGCGGAAAATAAATGCTAATTCCAAAGACGACGGACTAATTGGCCACGCTACCTTACTTGTTGTTGTTACTACTTTTTAATACACAACTTACAACTGTCGCACGCCTCTCCCAGTTTTAATTAACCGCAACGATGGAGAGGCACCCAGAGAGTTAAAGAGAGTTGCATAAAAAGTTGGAGTACAAGAAGCGAAGCGAACGAACTGGTTTAGTGTTCTTGCTCCTGCTGTTGTATTTGTTGCTCTTTTACTTTGTGTTCGTTTATCCTTTGCCAACTGAGCGAAGAAGAAGACGAGAAATAAGAAGACTATAGGAGGAGAAGAAGGGAGAATATGCGTGGGCTGGCGACAAATTTATTGGCACTTATTCGCTCTCCCCTATTTCGCCTTCTGTCCCATTCTAGCATATGGGAAAAGGAAGCCCAAGCTTTGAATATTTAAATATTTATTGTAATTATTTTCAACGCCGGCCCACAGCTTGGAGAGTTGAATTAAGTGCGTGCGCTCTTTGATGCCCCTTAAGCGTTGCGTTCCTCAGGGTATGATGTTTTGGTTAGTAATGAGAAAACTCGAAATTCATAGAAACAATTAAATCAATGCCTAACCAAAGACTTGGTCAGTTTATTAATGTTCAGTTTAGGATAGAAATCATGTCATGGTTTTACCTAAATATCTGATAAATATTTAGAATTTATTTGTTTTGGAGTGAACCTCGATAGCAAGATTTATAAAAATTATAAATAAGTGCCGGAAATGCAGACTAAACATATACTTAAACATAGCTTATCTCGTTCTTAATTTTGGGACCATCTTCACCGATCTCTCAATGTTATCTTAAAAGCGAAATTGTCACGATTAGATTAGTCTTTCGCCCAAAAGTTAAAACACATTTATCTTTTAATTTAAACGCTGTCACGATAAGGCATGCGTTTGCTTATCTTAAAACTAAATCTCGTCTTTCTCTTTACTAAAGTTGTTCAAAATAAAATCTTTTAGTTAGAATAATTTTTTTCAAATTCCTAGGCTGAATTGTAGAATCAAAATTGTTGCGTATGAAACTTGGCATTACACATTGCTGAAATATTTTCGAGTGCTAGTACTACACACATACAGGCAGGCATTCAGCCATTTGCCATTTCAGTTTTGCGCCTTGCTAAAAGAAGTTGGCATAACATAGATATTCGTACACATAAGTAAATACGAATACGCACATACAAAGACATATTGGACGTTTTCAACGAGCTCATAAAATTTAACGATTCTTGCTGATGATTTTATGCGTTTTGGGCCTCATTATATTTCGTACATGTGTGTGGTTCTTCTTCGTCTTCGTCTTGTATCTGTTTTGATAGTTTTTGAATGGCAGGCCTAGAGGAAGAAGTTCTTTTCAAGAGCGTCTTTACGATCGATGCCCCATACACACCGTTCATCGTACACCACTCGTACATACTCATATCTATGTGTGTTGGTTTACCAAGTACTCGAGTATCTTGAAGATATGATAAAAACCGGCTAGATAAGCCGGTATCTGTTGTATCTACACACATCTGCTGTCAAGCTGTAAGAAAAACTAGACTGAGGCACGTCTTATGTACACTGTATTTCTGCAGCGACTGCTACTTTGTGGGGCAGGTAATGTTTGGCCAAGATCACCCGAAGATCCGAAGCTCAGCGCCCGCCCAAACATGCTTAACTTTCCATAAAGAATATAGTGTTGACCAAAACACGGCTGGAACATACATTGCTGCCATCCACAATCACGTAGCAGCAGCGCCCACTATTTCTGGCTGATTGGGTGAAGAACCGCCGACGTTCCACTGAATCACTTGCTGATACGGATATGTTCTTTGTTTCCCACAATTGCATTTATCAATTGAGTAAGCTTGTTCCTGTTGGCCCCTCCCCTACTACAGTCTTTCCTTTACGAAAAACACGATTTCCTCTTCTAGTATTATCATGTCGTTATTTTAACACTCTCTGATATGGAGAAATATAAAGTTCTGGGTGTCCCGTTAACAATGGATCTCTCTTTATTTTTGGCCATGTGAGTGTATCCATATCAAAGGGGATTGAATTGTAAAGGCGGACAATGGTTGGGTTGGCTGTTTGGCTTGTCCGGTCAGAACATTCCGAATTGACCGGAAATGATAATTGAAAAAAATATTTTCTCTTTCTTTGGGTCTTGTCAACCGTCGAGTGTGCGTGTGCCAGTGCCCTGGGCCTGTGTGGGTACACTGTCTACTAATTATGGAATGCATTCATTTTACGTATCGTATTATTTTCATTTTGCCACAACTCTACACATTCAGTACAGCACACATAGCAACAACAATTATATCCGGTGGTCACTTGAGACATGCTTCTCCTACCTCATTTTTCTTTTTACCCTCAGTTTTCTTCAAAGATTTTTGGTTGATTTCTCTAAACTAAAACGGTATTAGGAAAGCCACTTGAGTTAGTCATGACTTTGTTTCATGCTAAGTAGTCAGGGCATTATTTTAAGCGTGATTAGAATTTGCGACTTAACAGATTGCCAAAGCGATAAGCATGCTATTTATTTAGTCTTTATGAGTAATACTATTTTTAACAAGAAAGGAAGCTAACTTCGGCACGCCGAAGTTTGTATACCCTTGCAGATATTATTTCATTACATTTTACCTATACTTATTATGTTTACAGTTTGACAGTTACAGTTTTACATTCACACCTTTACATTTTCTCTACATCTACCGATCGCTCCTATGGCAGCTATATGATATAGTTGTCCGATTTTCATGAAATTTATACCAAAATTTTAGAATAATAAAATAAGCTCATATCTTAGAGTAGATGAAAATACGTTGAAAAACAACGAAGTTATAATTTTTTTCCTATTATTTTTCCGTATCGTTTCTATGGCAGCTATAAGATATAGTCGTCCGATTTTCATAAAATTTTTACCAAAATTCAGAAATAATATAAAATGGCCATATCTAAAAAATGGTGCAAAAATTTAAAAAAACAGCAAAGTTATAATTTTTTTCTAAAAATTTATCGAACATTTGTATGGCAGCTATATGATATAGTCGTCCGATCCGGCTCGTTCCGACATATATAGCAGTGAGAGTATATAGAAGACTATATGCAAAGTTTCATTCAGATAGCTTTAAAACTGAGGGACTAGTTTGCGTAGAAACGGACAGACGGACAGACGGACGGACAGACGGACATGGCTAGATCGACTCGGCTGTTGATGCTGATCAAGAATATATATACTTTATAGGGTCGGAAACGTCTCCTTCACTGCGTTGCAAACTTCTGACTGAAATTATAATACCCTGCAAGGGTATAAAAATTTATGACCTTAATTTACGTATTGAATTGATTAACTGATTAAAAGGATGATTGGAAATCTGCTGTCTGGCATGATTTGTAAAGGTTTTTAAAAGGGGAACAACACTTATGATTAACCAGTCTGGCATTACACATTTTTTTCTTCGCAATTACTATATGCAATATCTTTACTTTATTTATTTTATGGAAGAATGAAAATAATTGTCGTTATTTATGAGTATTTATTTTTATAGTACACTATTTATAAAACGTATTTAACAAACAACCATTTGATTGCGAGTGGGATTGAAAAAAAAGCCTCTATCAAAACGGTCAGTCAGTTTTTTGCCATTCGAACATTTTGTTGTTTCGCACGCTTTTGGGAATCATATTCTCTTTATATTTTGGTTTGAGATTGCCCATAAGATTGTATAGGAGGAACATGAATGCAGGGGTTTTATTTTTGCGTGGGGGCTCCATAAAAAGAATGTTTCTTGATGACAATTAATGTGGACTGCGGCTGCACAATGTATACCCTCAATAAAGCCAACTGCAGCGTCTGATTGCGGGTTAGGCGTGGCTTATCAGCCGGACAAGAACAGAGCAGCGAGAAGTGCACTCTGCTTTCTTACTTCTCGTCGTCTTATTGTTCTCCCACTCGTACTTACGCACACTTGAGCCTGATTGAGGAAAACTTTCCACTCAATTGCGAGGAGGATGGCTGGCTAGATGGATGGATAGCTGGATGGATGGATGGATAGTTGGATGGTTGGCCAGATGGACGTGTGAGCGATGCCATTAACGATCCCCCTTGATTAGTTTATAAAAGTTCAATTGAGACTGGTGCGCGCGCATGCACTCTCTTCTCAGTCCGTCATTTGTTGTCCCTACTGCAAATGGTGAAACTTTTCAATTTTAATTGCACAACAATGTATATGGACATGCCACTGCCACCGATCTTGGTGGGATTGGAATGGGAATCGGAATCGAGATGGATACGAGTCGTATGGAATGGAATGCTCCGCGCCTGCGCTTTAACAAGCGACGCACACACAGAAATTAATGTTTAACCGGCCAGCCGGCCGGCCGGCTAGACATTCAGACATTCGGACAGTCATTCAGCCGGCACATTCCAGCACAATCAATTTAATTTACGTATCAAAGCGTCTCATCTCCATCGCTCTCTTCCAGAGCACAAGTAAAGGGGCGCTGCTAGGTGGAGAGGGCCAGTGAGAAATAGAGTTGTCTTATTTTCTATATATTTAGCTATTTTTTCGGACTTCTAAGGTTCAAGTGAACTCGTGATGTGAGTACCCACAAGAAAAGCATTCACCCTATATAACCAATTGTTAAGGCAATTCTGGCATAAAAAAGCTACGTTCTTTAATACCATAAACATTTAAAATATAGTAAAAGGTCTAGATGCATGTAATGTGCGAGCATTTCGGTGATGTCTTCCAGTTGTCGGATTTTCTTTTTTGGGTAGCCTCAGGTTACTTAGGTTACTTTTCTCCCTGCAACTTGCACTTCAAAACTTGAGTGATTTAGCTTGTTTTTTGTTGTTTTTCGACAGCACTGGGAGAGCAAAGTGATACACAACAGCTTGAAGTGTCAAAATTGATGGGCGGCAGCAGCAGGGTGGGGAAATGAATTGAAGCTCGCACACTCTCCCAGGGCAGCGCCTCTTTGTGTCGTGTAGCGACTGTTGTTGCTGTTATTGTTGGTGGTGTTGCTGCTGGTGCTGCTTCTTTTTCCGAACACTCCATTGTTGATAAATGCGCTTTTATTTATAGACTGCGGCTGCTGTTTTGTGCGCTGTGAGCTCTGCTCTGCTGCGCCTTCCTTTGTCCACCACACATTCAATCCAATTGCTAGGGGATCCAGGGAGGACGGGCGTCAATGAGGGGAATGCGTGTGAAAGCGGCGGGCGCACATGTCAAAAGTCGTGTCCAAATTGAATTAAACTAATAAAAAGCCAAGACACAAAGGCCCCGAAAACTGTCGTTGTTGTCGTCCATTAAGTAATTTTCATAGATTACAAATTTAGATAGAACGGACCAGCATTGAGCCCTCAGTTGAGCCTCTTGTCCCCTTATTCAATTTGGGAAACAAAGAAATACAGTCGAACTTTTGCCTTTACCGAAGGGCTTTTGTTTAGTAAATAAAATATAAGTTGCAGAAAAATTTAGTCAGAATTACAGAATTACAGTCAGATCTTTTAAAAAATATATAAATATGTAATATTTGGAGCACATCATTTTGAATTGATTAAAAAATCTACACGATTTCTTTGGCACTGCTGAAAAGAAATGTACGAATAAATCTCATAGCCTTTAGAATATAACCTCAGTAATTATTTTACAATTATAATAAATTATGTTCCATTATGAAATGCTGTTAAAATTAAACCGATTCCTCTTTGGGAAACCGAGAGACAATTAAAGTTAGAGCGTTATGGAAATTTGTGTAATAAAGTTTAAAGTTGGGGGAAGTTCGTGCCACATCCATGCAATTTTGGACCGCACTCAATTATTTTCGCACGCCCCACAGCAACGGTGAATAGGGGGAGGAGGAGGGTGATGGGATGGAAGAATGGGAGAGAGAGCGAGAGAGCGACATCTGTTGTTGCTCGGTTGCCATGGTTTCCAACTTGCATTGACCAGAGACCCGTTAATGTTATTGTTGTTGAAGTTGTTCTTTGCCGAGTGCCGGCAACCCTCCTCTAACACGCTCTCTATCCACTCTCTCTCTCTGGCTCTCGCGATGTCCTTTTTCCTGGATGCGTCATGCGCGCCAGTTTACTTACGCTTTTATGTTATTACGCTTGCCAGCACTTACACACGCTTACGAGGGTTGAGCCGGCATATTTCGGCAATTACTCATCAAGTTTTTTCGTTTTCGGATAGGCCAGGAATTAATAGTCTCTTTCACTTTGGCGGCAAGCATCCGTTATCACTACGATCGAAGTACATAACTGAAGAAGAGCTTCAGTTCCCCGGTATTGTATTGTATTTTATGGAATGGAATGAAATGGTGTTGTATTAATTGCCGGCAAGGAGTTCGTTGAACTCTCAAGCGTCTTGAAACCCGATGTCTTGTCTCGTTACGTATTTAAATTGATATTACTTGAGGCGAGTGTGCACGAGACCGAGTGTATGTGTGTGTTTTGTGTGCGAGTTCAGTGCAAAAACTTAATGCTTTTATTTCTAATTGGGAAACCTTATCATTTTAGGGCGGTATTGTTTATATTTATTTTACAGGGAGTGTGTGTGCCCGTTTTTCTTTAATTTTAGGTCAAGAAAAATGTATATATTGGATTTATTTGTTCGATTTGTAATGCCATAAAATGTTGGTAATGCTTTTAAGGTGGAAATTTTATTTTTTAAGGGCGGTTTTTGTTTTTATTTATTTTAAAGGGAGGAGTGTATGTCGATAATTTATTTGTATAAAATGAAAATATATTGAAAATGCACCATTTTACGTTGAGTTTTTACAAAAATCACTGAATATTTTAAGCGTTTGTTGTGTATATATATATATATGTAATGGATTTTAAAGTATGCCAGGGACCTGGGCATAGGATATACAATAGATTTACACAAGGTTGAACACTAATATCCACCTTAAAATCACAATCACTTTGCTTTCCCTGTTGTATACATACAACTTATCGAATTACTTAATTCTAAAAAAGTTGTAGCCATAAATTCTGTGATTCTAACTAAAGACTTCTACAAAGCGTCAATATCGCAGCTTTTATATTTCCATCGCCCATCGCCCGTTCATCAATGCATTGCTTCCTGTCCAGGCTTTGACTCATCCTCTCTGCTAGCTAGCTGGCCAGCTACGATAAGTCGGAGGTAATAATGACTCACTGATGGATTCCAAGGGAAGACTTGTGTGCACAGATGGCGGGCGCACGCACCACGTGCCCATAGTGCGTGTGTGGGTGGTACTAGATATATGTACATACGTACATAGGTTTGGGTTATGGGAGGCTGTTGATTCACCAGGTCCAGATAAACCATTTTGGAACAGCTGCTTTTCAGCCCTTGTCTGTTGTATGTGTGTGTGTGTGTGTTGCCGCCATTTTTAGCGTAGCGTAAACCGGCAATTAAACCTACACACACAGACGCACACCTTCTTTCCATCGTTTACAACCCCTAAAAAATTCAAAACTTTTTGTGCAACTGAAACTCTCTCCTCACCCCCCGGAATGCCCGCTCTTTGGTACGGTTTCTGTTTCATTCGGTTTGCAAAAAATGTTGTGTGTAATTCGATTTTCTTCAAAATGACGCATTGCATGCACGCTAAAGGCAGCCCAGCCCAGCCCCATTTTATATTTCTCCTTAGTAATGGTGCGGTGTCTGTTTCGTTGTTTCATATGAATAACTTCCCAGTAAAAACACAGAACAGAATCGGCGTTCAAGTGTCGATGATTCATGGGAGGCGCCTGGAATCGTACGCGATTATTGCCACTATAGTAGTCACAGTGCTCAGTGGGTAATCGGAGACGGTAGTTAATAAAAGAAAGATTCGCAAGAATATTTACTTATTTTGGTCGTAGATTAGTAATAATCCCTTCCATAATTTATTAATAAATCAGGCCTGTTCACTGAGGCGGCATATATATTAATAATTTTATTCCGTGCTCCGGGACACCTGCAAGCCCTGCTGTTAAGTATCCAGTATGCCTGGAAATAACTTATTTAAAAAACCCGTAACGGAATAACACAGAATAAGCTGTAAACTATAACAATTTCCTTCCTCAATAAATGGCTAATTCAGTAATCAGGTCTTCTAGGAATTGAAAGAAAGATCGTGTGGCTGAGTGAAAATGTCAAATGCAAAAATAGGAAATACGCATGCTAAAAATAAACTACTGCGCCGTTGCACTTGTGCCATTCCCCCCGCATTTAACTAAACAAAGCATTTCCACTCCCCTGTATTTACAGTTTACACTAGCGACCAACAGAAGAGGATCAGCAGGAAAAAATGGGTAAAGCTCAGAGCAAGCGTTCAATCGACATTACCACCGACCCCAAGAAGGTGGCGGAGACCGACGAGGTGGCCGGCAAGGTGGAGAAGATTGACGTGGACCAGAAGGCTGATGCACCGGCGGCGCTGAATGGAGATGCGCCCACACCCAAAGAGGCTGGTGCAGATGGAGAAGTAGCAGCGGGAACAGCCGGAGAGGTATGCCAACTACTAAAATGATGGCTTTCTCAAATTTTAATGTAATATTTTGTATATGTCCACACAGAAAAAGGAAACCGAGGAGAACTCTGAGAATGACAAAGATCTGACCACCGAAAAGAATGCTGCAGCCGCTGAGGGTGGCGGCGATACCGCTGCAGCGACTGAGACATCGAAGGGCGAGGAGGGCTCTCCTAAGGAGGCGGCGGCTGGCGAGGATATCACCCCGCTCGCCGACGAGAGCATTAAGTCCAAGTCGAAGAAGGACAAAGTAAAAAAGAAGTGGTCCTTCCGCAGCATCTCCTTTGGCAAGAAGGACAAACAGAAGCCGGCCAAGTCAGAGGAAGCCGTGTCACCCACCTCTGCCACAACGTCGCCAACGACGGCCGAGGCAGCTGCTGCTCCGGCTGCAGATGCAGCTGCTCCCGCCGAGCCTGCGGCCGCCACGAACGGTGAGACCGAAAAGCCAGCCGAGGTAATTATTCTGGGATATATAAAGCAAAAGGCTTTACTTTATTAATAATATCAACTAATCAAAATCATGGCTCTATTTTGCTTAGACTGCCAGCGCAGCTACCAGCACGACGGCTGCCAAGGAGGAGGTTAAGCCAGCTGAGAATGGTTCAGCGAGTGAGCAGGAGAAACAGGCCAATGGTGACGCCGAGAAGGCGGCGCCTGTGCCAGCACCAGCTCCAGTTGAGGAAGCGGCACAGTCCAAGCCCGTTGAGGAAGCCACCACAGCCACCGTCACTGCCACCGAAGAAGTCGTCGCCGTTAAGGAGAGCCAGCAGCCAGAGGAGGAGAAGGTGGTGGTGACCAATGGTCATGGAGCCGCTGATGGAGAGGCGCTTACTAATGGATCTAGCAATGGACTGGCCGAATCCCCAGTGACCGAGACAGCACCGCCAGCAGCTGACAACATTCCAAGCAACGTTGACGACGAGCAGCCGCATCAGAATGGCACCAATGGCACTGCCACGCCACCACCCACTCCCGTCGCCGTTGAGGCCGAGAAGGGGCAGCAAATTGAGGTAAAGCACACAAGTACAGACAGCACCAGCGAAAACTACACTGTAAATACAACAACAACAACAACCACTACCGAAATCACAGAGAACACTGCACACAGAACAATAACAACAGAATTAACAGAAAGAACATGCACAAGCACCAAGACAGAAGCGACCGTTGCAGCAGCCGCAGAGTTAGTTCAGACCCAAACAATCCTAACCGAAACAACCAACACGATCCTTTCCACCTCCCAAACGCAGGCACCAGAGGCCATCAGCAGCAGCCAAGCGGAGGAGGAAGTTGTGGCTGCGATCATCCAAGCGGTTAGCAGCGAGGTTGAAGCTGAAACGGAGGCCGAGACCGAGGCCGAGGGCTTTGTGGTTGTTTCTTCCGTGTCCGAGGCCGAAGTCGAGGTCCCTGTGTCCACTGTCCCTGTTGCCGTTGCCCTAGCCGAGCCCGAGTCTGTAGCCGAACTAGATCTTGTTTCCCAAATTGCAACGAATGTAGCCGAAGTTCCCGAGACTGTGGAGATTAGGAGCAGCAGTCCACCTCCGTTACCCAAATCCCCGCCTCCATCCCGTGTCTCCGCCTTTGTTCTCTCTGAAGAAGATGTTATCGAGGACCAGGAACCAGTCAAGGCGAATAATGAGGAGCAGCGTGACGAGATTGAGCAGCAAGCCATTAGTATTGTGGCTGAGATCACAGAGCAGGCGGCCGAAATTGTTACCGAGAAGGAAAAGCTGCTGGAAGATGAGGGGGAGGAGAAGGTTATCCCTGAACCGTCGAACGAAACTACCTTTACAGTTGTACAGGAAATTATTTTGAATGTTGGCAATGATTTATCAGAAGGAGCAATCCCGGCAGTTGTTTCATCCTCAAGCGATGCGGAGAAATCCGACGTAATCCCGGCTTCCATTGATCCGGCGGAAGTAGAGGATATTGCAGTTGCTCCCATCGTAAATGAGGAAGCTATTTCGCTCACTGAGGAAACAAAAAGCACTACTGAAGAGGTTCCCGATGAACAGACGCCCGCAGAGATTGAAGTGGTGGAGATTGTTGAGGATAAGGAAGAAGAAACCAAACAAGAAGATGAGAAGGAGCAGGAACAGAAACAGGAAATCATTATCGAGGACACGCATAGCGAGAACGAGAACGAAACTGAAATCGACGTAGTCGGAAACATCCTTAGCGAACATCTGGCGGAACCGATCACCAAGGCGGGCGAAGGAGAACTGCTGACAGACTTGGATGTGAGTTCTACGGAAGCGCTGGCGAGCGAGTGCAGCAACAAGGTGAATAATATCAACTGGCAGTGAGTCTGCACCATCATCCTCGAAAATAAACACCTCGACAAGCAACCAACCACACACAACTGTTGCCATTGTATTGCATCTGCCGCTCTCCACTTGGTGTGGGGGCATGGGACTTGGTCTTGTCCTGGGGGTGTGCTTCTCCTGCTTTCTCAACTCCTCCACTGTGCGTGTGTGTGTGTGTGTTGCATCAGTTGTGCGCTCTTTTTGTAGTTAATTCCGTAGTTCGTTTAGTATTTGATCTTGATTGATAGATTACTGGGGATCGATTGCATGAGACTATTTTGGTGATGTATAATGCGAATGATGTACGTTCTACTACTACTACTAAACTCCCCGAGAGGATAAGCGACTGCATTTTGGTGTAAATTAACAAACAACATCAACAAACTAAATTCATACACACAAACAAGCTAAATCATCTCGAACACCACCTACACACACACACAAAACGAAAAAAAAGAAACACGAAACCATCTTACCGCTGTCTGTTCTAACCCAAAAAAATGTACACACCTGTATGGCTGCCGTAACTCTTGCGCTCTCTCACTAAAAAAATAAAACAACTTTACAACAAATGTTACCTAAATGTTCACCACACACCACTCACTACACCACAGATCGCTTAATATTATTAAAATACATTTAATACATTTATTTTTGGCATAACCTTTTTGGATTGTTTTATTTGTCGCGTCCTTATTTATTTTGATTATTTTTTCCTAATTGTTGTTGTTGTGCTTTCAGTTGCTCCATTCCTTTTGCATACGACACACACAAAACTGAAAGTAATTCCTTGTCTAACTTCATTATTTCCTTATATATCCACAGGTGGATCTCGCCAAGGATCTGAAGGAGAAGAATGCCGCGGCAGATGTTACAACACAGGAACAACAACTGCCCGTTACATGCGAATAATCCTACTCATAATTATTATATATAATATTACATATTATTAAAAAGAAAACAACAACAAGAAACAAACAAAAGAACGCAACGTAAAAACAATTACAAGATAAACGAGATATATAAAAAACAAAAAACAAGAAAACGAAAAACAAAAAAACAAGTAAAAAATACATTTTTTAACATTTACATATTTTAAATAATTTTTGTACGAACTTCATATCCCTAATCCAAGATGATATACATACAACACTCGAGCAAAAGCAACATCCACACGACCACCATCCACCCACACAGCCCAACCAATATAAAGTTTTTGTATTGGCGAAGCTCTGAATTCCAGAGAACAGGGAGGAATCCTCGCCTGTTCCCGTTCCCGTGTCCACCCATCAAGCACACACACACATCTACACAACAACACACATGCGCATTACATACCATTTCTCATATTGATGATCTTTGATAGAAACGAAACAAAAAAGAAGAAAGGAAATCAACAAATCATATATACGATGAACTGCTGATGAAAAACTGAGGAGAATTTTTTGAATAATTTCTACTATACATTTAACTGTAAGTTCGAAGAAATTTGTAAAGAATTTTTGGACGAAATATTGGATAAAATATATATTATAAAATATAAAAACCCAAACCAAGCGTGTGCTTCACTCATATCCACCCAGCCAGGAAGACAGAGAGAGAGAGATTGGAGATGCCAAAGGAAAGACAGTTTTTGAATGTTTTATAGTCCCGTCGATTCGAGTCCCATATTCCTCATCTTTAATACAAGTACAAAAAGTATAGTTTTTCTCTCTAAACAATATACACGATGTCTGCGTAACCGAGTGTTACAAAAAAAATTAATTATAATAACCATTTGTCCTGGTAACTTGGAGTAAGCGCTAAGAGATTATGTTCTAAGTACGTTCTTAATATTTCGTTATGGCTATAATTTAACGTAACTAAATGTTACCACAAAAACAACAAGCTACAAAAGCTCCAACGAAAGCTTCAAAAGCGAAACAAAACGAAACTTATAAGAAATGATCAAGAAAAAAGCAAATACTATATAATTGTGAGTCTTTTTGCAAAACTAAATAGAAAATCCTACCAAGTACACTAAATGTATTCAATAAATTAAAGCATTAATTATACGCTGCGCAACGTAAAGAAATACAACATTTGGTCAAAGAATTTGCCATCAAAGGAACAAAAGAAAAAAAAGAGTCGATATTTAGGCGTGAAACCAAAATTGTTTCCAAATCAAAACCCAAAGGAGAGCCTATTCTTCGCGTGGAAGAAGAAGGACCTCTTAACATCTGACAAAAAAACGTTGATTATGCAAGTGTTGCAATTGTTGCTGCTTCCGGCGATTATAATCCGGCACATTGCGGAGCATGAACACGGCCGCAAAGAGAACGTAGAGTGACGAGAGCATGATCAGCACGGGAAACGAGAAGACGATCTGAGCCATCCGGACTTTCCTGTGCAGAGTCGGCGGTGTGTAGACATAGTCACCTGCAAGGATAAATGGGAATTTATCGTAGTTGTAAATTATTTGGTAAATCACAGGGTCGAGAGAAGTCTCTTTATTATGGAATTTTAATTCTGTAGAAATATTGCACTTACCATTCCAGCTCTTGTAGGCACATCTCTCCCCATCGTAGTCGTTGACGCAGATGCAGGAGTGAAAGACCGTATTGTTGACCATCGGATGGCGGAAGCAATGGCCGCCGTTCAAGCAGAAGCTCGCATTGTACTCCTCGCTGCAGGGCAGCATCTGAACTTCGGTTTCATTAGTGCGGTTAGTTCCCTTGTCCTCTGGTCTGGGTGTGCTCAAGTCAAGCGGATTGGAGGAGCTCTGCTCAATGGGGCGAGAGTCTCCCGTGTCAGTGGCGACAGTTGTGGTCATGGTCACAGTTTCGGAGGAGGAGGAAGATGCAGTCAACCAGGTTGCAGTAGTGGATCCCAAGATAGCTGCTTCCTGTGCCAGATTCCCGGCCTCAGTCGCCTCCTCAAAAGGCTCCGCGTACAGTTTGTCTTTGTCCGGATCCGGATTAGGATCGCTTTCTGTGTCCGTATCCGCATCCTGACGCAACTCTTCTGCCGCGTCCTGGGCCGAGGCCTCCAGCTGGTGACGCTGCAGCTCCAACTGGTTGAGCATCTTGACCGCTGTCTCCTCGATTTTCTGCTGCAGCTCGTGCGCATGCTCATGCATGTGATAATCGTGCTGATGCTGCACAATTTTCAGCGTGTGCTCACGAAGGAGTAAGATCCGGCTCGAACAACAATCTGTAGGCGGATGAAGAAATGGGCTATAAGCTAGACAGTTTGCAATTGGAGCAGGTGGCCGAATTATGATCCTTTGATTATAAGTAAGCCAAAAGTGCATAAATTTCAATATTTAATTCAGTCTTGGTTTTTATAGGGTGAATAATCTAGTACATAGACTTACAGTTTTCGAAAATGTAATTTTTATTTTAAATATTTTTTTATTATTAAAATAATTAAAAATTCAGTTAAATGTTTTCTCATTTTTTCTAATATTTTATTTTTTTAATTACCATAAATACCATCAAGATCCGAAAAATGTGCATTATAGTGACTTTAAATCGATATTTTCTATAATTTTTTGGCCAAAGCAAAGGTTTTCAAATATCATAACTGAGACAAACAAACTTTAATTCGTGAAACATTTCATTTATTACAAAATTACTTAGTTTTTTAATTTTAGACTTTTTATAAAATTTAGAAAAAAGGCAAAAGGAAATAAGTAATTTCTGACTAAAATAATAATAATAAAAAGTGATATCATAGATAGATAAAAATAAAATATCGATACGTCTCAGAATGCTTTATAAGAAGATGCAAACTTAGACTTTCAATATCTTGGAAAACATTTTCAAAAATACTTGGTTATATTTTAAAATTCTACACTTCTTATTTCCAAATAGCCAAAAATCGGTTTCTGTTGATTAACCTAGCAACCCTGGACGTAGTGCTAGTTGGTAATGATATTGAGAGGAGCATGCACTTACCTGTGACTGAGACAATTGTTGAGAGCACGAAAATTACTTTAAGTATGTGGAGAAATGAGATTTGCATCATTGGAAAACGCTGGCTGGCGCCGCGTTCCGAAATGGGGGTGGACCAGACCGATGGCCCACCGCCGGCGGAGGGAATTCAAGTCAATAAAGAGATTGTGGAGCGATCTAAGGATCGAGCTGCGGCGTAATGACCGCAAATGCAATTTGGCGTCGCAACAGAAACAGAAACATATTATACACTTGCATCTCCTCGGGGGGCCAGCGCTTGTGGCTTATACTGCAAAATATAAATAGAACATTTTTAGCGCCTCACATTTTCTGTCACACGATTTTCACGCACACAACAGAAGGAGAATAAAATCATAGAATTGGTGATCCAAGAGCTTATTATAGACAGAGGGAAGGGGGGGCAGGGGAACGTACTGGAGCGGCGGCACTGTTGTTGCCTGGGAAAGGCTCCTGCATTCTAGGCACCGAACAACTAGGACTCGTGAGTCATTTTATGTCTGACCGAAATTTAATTAGTTATTTTAGTGAGCAGCAAGCGCGGGAAGCGGGCTCTTCTCTGCTTTGCTTTGCCTTGTGCCTATCGAGAGGTCTTGTTGCGCGCACGTAGGAATAGAGACTGAGGAGCCAGAGAAACAGATGGACCCCAAAAGATCATCGGCATGCGCCATGAATGAAATCGAACAACGGTGAAGAGAGCGACCCGAAGAGAAAGACGTGACAATACGCAGGAGAGAATCTGCGAGTGTCCATTCTTAAAGTGGGCCCATGATGCATTTTATAAAGGTGGTTTTATCAACGGTAAATATATTCAACTCTCTCTCTTCCTGCGCTCTCGGAAATATAAGAGCTAAGAGGAGATATAAAAGGAGGATTTTTGTAACGAAACCACCCTCTAGACTTGCATCTTGATTTGGCCTACAATTAATATTAACCGTTATGATTGATTCACACTCTTAGTATACATTCCACTGCATACTTATAGGGTGAAAAACTAAGACGTCGATTTGCCACTGAATGAAAATAAGAGTAAGCTAATGAATAAATAAGATTGTGGATACATGTTGCAAGTTTGAGTATTAAGCAGTTCAAGTATAAAAATTATTTAATTTATTGCCTATCCTTATGCTTACGAACTAGTACAAGAGACTATTTAGATATCGACTAATATCCCAGCAGAATTTGAACTAATATGTATGCGTAATCGAACGTACAGTTAAATGATTTTGGGCTATGGCATCCCGTGATTAGGTTGGTGGCTCCATGGGCTGAACGCCCAGGTGAGTATTGCCCAAAAAGTCGAGCTCGGGGCACTGATCGATGGCCCGGCCGATGTCGTGTGGCTGCAGGCATAGAGACGCATTGGCCGCTGGCGACGGAAGCTGTTCCATCGTATCCTGCTGCAGTTTGACCGCCACTGAGCGGCGTACTAATCGGTCGACAAACGTGCGCAGCACGTGTGCCATCAGGGAGAGCGCCAAGGGCTGGGAGACGCCTGGCAGAGACTCCTCCGGCTCCAGTGTTATGTTTATATCCTTGCACATGACCTGAACCAGTTGTGCCTCCGAATCCAGATAATCTGGCGGAGGCAGGCAAAGCTGGGTTCGGCTATTCACTTCTTGGAGGGATCTACTTCTTCGATCCCTTCTTTTGGAGTTGTCTTCGGAATGAAGTCTGTCCACACCCAACACATCGATGAATTCCTGATCCAGCATCTTTTGATCGTGCCCCTTCAGAAGTAGCCTTTGCTTGTCCATCCAAGCGTCCAGCCGATTTCTGGTGCTAAGACTGCAGTAGGCCGACAGTTGCGGCTGTGGCTCCTCCTTCAGCTGCTCCTGCACCCGCTGAGCTAGCTGTTCTTCAGCTCCCGGCTTTCGATTCTGCTCCGATTCCCCGCCGGACGTTAGCATTTTAAGTGGAGGCGTGTAACCGTGAACGCGGGCGAATCCCACGATCTCTCGTAAGCTCCAGTAGTGTTCCCTACCACTGGCATCCAACTGCTGCAGCTTGAGGTGCTGCGTGAGGTAGCGACGTAGAACGCGGGCCCGCAGGTATTCGTAACACCGTTGTTTAAGAGCAGTTTTGGCTTGAAATGCTTCCATAGTGGAGCAGGTGAATGGATACTCTTCTTCCGCCTTGTGATTTATTTTTGCAAGCGGCATTCGACGCAGCAGGAACTCCACGGCACTGCGCATGCTCCAGAACTTTACGCCGACAAAGGACTGTTGCAATCGACGAGGTCCGGTTTGCAAGGAAGAGGTAGAAATTGGTGTTGTGACGCTGTGCAGAAATATTGGCTTCTCGTCCACGTCGTTCGTGCTCATATTCGCATATCCGTGATCGTGCTGGATGCACTGCAGGAGATGCCAGCGCATCGCAGTCGGTGCCTTGAGCAGACTCAGTTGCGGCTTCAGTAGCGATTGCTGCTTCGCGGACTGCTTTAGCTTTCGCTGCTGAGGATCGATGATGTACAGCTTACCGGCTTTCTGAAATACCATGTTTTTCTTTCTTTGGTGATGGCCATTGTGCACTGGCTTTATGAGAGGCCTTTCTGGTGGGGACTCCTGCCACCGCCTTTGGGGTGAGGCTTCTGGCCTGTGTTCCTGTTCTCGCAAAGATTCCTGCTTCTGAGCTCTACCGTTTACCGGCAGATAGACGACTGAGGGCCGGGAAGCACTCACTGGTGCGGCATTCAATCGAAGCTGAGGCCTGGGCGGGGTGGCTGGCTGCTGCTTTCTCGGGCTGTAGCTGAGCTTCAGGGGCTCCGAAACCAGGACAGTGGGTTCGATCTGCTCGATATCATCGCTCAGCTCAATCTTGTTGATGCCCGCAAAGAGGTTGTCATCCAGCTCTTCCTTATTTTGAGTGATTGATATGGTGCGCGGCTTACAGGAATCCAAAGACGGTGCTGGTTCCGGAAGAGCAGCCAATGCAGGAGGCAGATGGAAAGTGGACGTAGGTTTATCAGGTTGACGATTTGTCAACGCCTGTTCCGCTTTTAGCCAGATCTCCACCGTGGTCTCCGCCCCCATCGTGTGCAGGCCTGACATGCTCTTGTCGAGCACAACCGTGTGCATCAGTTGGACGGGCTTCTCTTGCAGGGCTTCCTGAAAGAACAGCTGGATGCGCATGGGAAATTCGCCCCAGCCGTGTCGAGACAGTTGAAACGGTGGACTGTGCACGTCTACAATGTCGTTGGGCCGGTACGAGTGATGCAGCTGGAATCGCACCTACCAAGGCAAAGAAAGAAAGGGTTATAATCTTATAGCTTAATCTTCAAATACGCACCTTCTTGATGTATGTGTTCAGGGGTTGGGGAAGATCTTTGCCTTGCACATAGACCAACCACTTGTATATCATAGCTTGGCCCTCGCTGGAGCTCTCCCGGAGGCCTTCGCCAATATATTTGGATGTGTTGCCCACCACAAAGTTAAACTTGTTCTTGTTGTTCAGCCGCGAGGCATTCAGCTCCAACTGCCTTTCGTACGCCTGTCGACTGGTGCACGGCTGCTCGTCCTCCAGCTTCACAGCAACGGGTGCTGCTTCCGGCTTCTGCTGATCGGATGTGACCTTTGAGTGATCGATGACTATGCCTTGATCCCGTATCTTTTGCTGTCGCCGTCTTTCCGCCCGCCGATGTGCCGGATTCCGCAGCCTGATCGTTTGCTTCGCTAGCGTCGCTGCTGTGCGTTCTGGTAGATGATTCTGTATGGGAATCGGCCGCTTGCCCACAATCTTCTTTATGGCTGGATGCAGAGGCAACTGCGGCAGAGAGCCCTCGTCCGCGAAGAGACTGTCGCCCCGCACCTTGGCCACGTCGGCGGCGTTGAGGGGAACCTGTTGCTTCTGGTAGTACTCGCTGACCACCAGGTAGCGTAGCCTGTCCAGTAGCTGGCGGGCTTGGAGCAGTCGCCGATCGATCTCGGTTAGCTGCTCGATCTTTTGGGTGATTTCACACTGGAACTCCTGACGCACCAACTCGCAGATACGACGCATAGTCTCGGCGGATTGCGGCTTCGCCTTATTTTCCGGCGTCTCCTGCTCCACCCTGAGCCGTTTCGACTCCACGGCCGCCACAGGTTCATGCTGCTGCTGACCAGGTGGCTCCGTCTGGTGGTAGTCCGGATCATGGTACTCGCTGTGTCTGCGCTTCTTTGACGGCGTCGTCGGCGTCTGCTGGTCCATGTGCGTGGTCGCGATCACACGCACGGGGCACGTATCACGTGAGTTCGAAGGGGAACAGCTTTAAGGTATGCCAGAACAGCTCCTTGCACATTTAAGCCGCGGTTTTGGCAGTTTATTTACCAAAAACTGTATAAACAATTGACGCGAACGAGGAGGCGCAAAGCAAACGAAATAGACTAGCGACGTTGCCGGATCTTTTGTGAGTGTGCACGCTCCCGTTAGCCAACACTGGCCGCCCAGCTGATTGGTTTAAGCGGGAAGAGCGACGCTTGGCACAGAATTAGCGGCTACACACCGGATAAACACAGCATCAACATGGTCGAGCGCATCGAGGATCTGAATCTGCCGAATACCGTGATAGCACGGCTAATCAAGGAGTCGCTGCCCGACTCCGCCAACGTGAGCAAAGAGGCGCGAGCGGCGATCGCCCGGGCCGCTTCCGTATTCGCTATTTTCGTGACATCCTCCTCCACTGCGCTCGCCCACAAGCAGAACCACAAGACCATCACCGCCAAGGACATCCTGCAGACGCTCGCCGAGCTGGACTTTGAGAGTTTTGTGCCCTCACTCACCCAGGATCTCGAGGCGTATCGCAAGATGGTGAAGGACAAGAAGGAGAGCAAGGCGAACAAGAAAGAAGCGAGCACCAACGATAACGCCAACGCCAGTGAAGCCGTCGTGGAGGAGGCGACAGAGTGACGCTTATCAATCATATCGTTCTTCTGCTATAATGCAATTAAATTTTAAACAAAGCAAGTAGATATAGGATTGTAGAATCATAACACATAAATAATACCTGCGCCATTGTTTTTCAAATCATTTGAACTGTTTAAATATTTATCAATTTGCAATTATGTTAAGCAACAAAACTTTGAAGAGAAAGGATTAACTCAGTCATTTCTTAAAAGGAAATAAATATAATTAAATTCAAAACGAAAATATAAAATTGAGCATTAAACATTTACCAATATTTTAAAACAAATTTAAAAGCTATTGTTTTTTTATTTCTTAAAATTGTGATTGTTTTGGATCTGAAATACATTTACATTTTATTTTATTTTAAATAAATTGCATGTTTTTTTTTAATTTATTAAATAAATAATTCTAAAATTCGGCACGTTTTGCAGCACTAGCTTTGCATCCTTAACAAACACTGTTCGATGCATTGAATCAGCTGTTGGCTTTACTTCCCGGCCCGCCAACGAAAAAAGCTAATGTTTTAAGAGGATTTATTATCTATATTGCATGATTTATAACAGAATTGTTGCTATTTTGAATCATGGGAGTTACGGGCCTGTGGAAGCTAATCGAGCCCTGCGGCAAGCCTGTGCCCGTGGAGACGTTGGAGGGCAAAATCCTGGCAGTTGGTAAGCTTTTGATTTCGCCGGCCCACGAAATAGTCTCTGATGCCAGTTCTATACCTACAGATATATCCATTTGGCTGCATCAGGTGGTGAAGGGCTTCCAGGACAACAAGGGATCGGCCCTGAGCAATGCCCATTTATTGGGCTTGTTCCATCGCCTTTGCAAACTGCTGTATTATCGGGTGCGTCCTGTTTTCATTTTCGACGGATGCGTACCTCAGCTAAAAAGGGATACCATAGTACGTTTGGTGGTTTATTTGAGATGAAGTGAATTTCAAAGACTCCTTTGTTCATTTACCAGGCCCGTCGCCAGCAGCAGAGAAATAAGCTGAGCAACGAGGCCGATCGCATTCAGGCCTTGCTCCTGCAATCACTGGCCAAAGAGAAGGTTGTCCAGCAGGCGCTGGGAAAGAATGCAGAGCTCCTGCTGAAGTCACCAATCAAGCGGCCGCCGCCAAGCAAGGCAAAGAACGACGAGGATGATTTGTTCAAGCTGCCAGAACTGCCGGCAGCTTTGGAGGCACCGGAAAGCGATCAGGACTTGGCCGACACGAGTGCCAGCGCCACCTCGGATAGTTCCTTCGACGAGTCCAACGCTCGGCATGCCTACAACTCGAGTCTACAGGCCATCGATGTGAAGAGTTCGTACTTTCGAAACCTGCCCGCGGATGTGCGCCACGAGATTCTGACGGACATCAAGGAAACGCGCAAGCAGTCCTCCTGGGGTCGACTGCACGAGTTGCCTGCCCGCAGTGATGACTTCGCCTCCTTTCAAATGAAGCGGCTGCTGAAACGTCGTGCCGTCCAGGAGAGTTTGGAGCAGGCCGAACAGGAGATGGGCGGCGTCACGCTCACCTATTCGGAGTTGTCTGATTTCTTCAGCGAGGAGGGTATTGTCACGCCGACGGCCATTGAGCAGAGCACGCGACAGATCAGCTCAGATGAGCACACAAGATTCCTGCTGGTCCGGGATCTCAAGAAGAAGGCCTTGGCGAGCACCAAGCAGGAGGAGGTGAAATTGGAGAAGATTGAGGAGGTGCCGCCCAGCAGCGATCAGGACGAGAAGCCAAGCACATCCACCAAAGCAGAGTTCCGGGACAGGGACGATCTAGGCACGGAGTACGATGCGGACTTGGCCAAGGCCTTGGCTTTGTCCATGGAGGAGACCAAGGTGTACGATGAAAAGGACTACGAATACGATGCGGATCAGGAGCTTCGCCTTAATCGGGCACAAAGTAGGCAGCTGAAGAATGCCGCCAAGGGCCCAGCCCGTGCATACATGATCGAGTATGGCGGGATGAACGAGGAAGAGGTGGAAAATATAATGGAGGCCACCCAACTGAATGACACCCAGAGCCTTGAGAAGTTGCTGGAGATCACAACCGACCACGTTGGCACGGCCAATGATACGATTGAAGAGGTCAAACTTATCTCAAAAGCTATGGAAGAGAGTAGACAGATTTCCCAAGCTATTGAGGAGAGCAGACAGATTTCCGGACCTATTGAGGAGAGCAAAGGCAGCCAAGTTGAGGATACCGACTCCTCTGACTTGGAAGAAGTTTTGGAAGCGGTGAAGCCCCTAGAGATTTGTGTGGATATCACAAAGGACCCAATGCCCGCAAACGATCTCTTTGCGGATATATTTGAGCGAACCGATAAGGAATTGGAGAAATCCGAAACAGATGATGATGATGACTTCATAGAGGTGAAAGATAGCGAGGAATTGGAGTTCGATTCAGTGGATAACGTCATAGAAGTCAAGGAAAGTGAGGAAATGGAATTGGATTCTGAAGAAAAACCAACAACTGAAATAGAGAAACCATCCGAGGAAGTCATTGAAGTTAAAGACAGTCAAGAAAGTATCCTAGAAAATCAGGATGAACCAATGCCAGTTAAGCCAAAACCCGACTTGGACTCCATACTAAACGACCTTCAAAGGGAAAAAGCTGCAGTAAAGAATATCCAACTGAATTCAACAGAAGAATCAGCAGAATCAAAACCAAAAGTTCCACTTAGTTCCATTTTGGAGGATCTGCAAAAGGAAATTAACGAAGTTAAGAACATAAAACTAGAGCAAGTTAAACTAAACGATGCCCCCATTGAATTGTCCTCCGACGAGGAAAGGGCGCCAAAGACCACAGGTGGAGATGTGATCGAGTTGTGCGACAGCGATGACAATAAAAACATTCGCATTTCGCCGAATAAAACGCCCAGCAAGAACAAGTCCATTACAGACTTCTTTGATGTCAGTTATGTGGTCAAGCGAACCCCTGGAAAGTCCCCAGGAACAGATACCGTCACACCTCCCGGAACCCCCAAGGTCCCACAGCCGTTCTACAGAAAGCGAACGCCCAAATCTGGACGTAAAAGGGTAGCCAATGGCGACGAGGAAGATAGCGATGAGGGAGTTTCACCCACAAAAAGGCCTAGCAGGGCATCTAAATCCCTCTTCGAGGCTAAGACGCCAGAGAAAGAAAAGGAAAAGTCCCCAGAGAAGGCCGTTGATACTGAGGTGAGTCCACAGGACCTCATCAAAGAGGCTGCCGATGCCTTGAAGTCCCAAAAAACCGCCGCTGAGCTGCAGGAGATGGCAACGAATTTGGCTCAGGAACGCAAGGACCTGGAGATCGAGCGCAATCGACAGGATCGCATGGGAATGTCAATCAGTCAGCGCATGAGTATTGATTGCCAGGAGCTTTTGCGTCTCTTCGGCATTCCCTATATCGTGGCCCCCATGGAGGCTGAGGCTCAGTGCGCCTTCCTCAATGCCACCGATCTGACCCATGGAACCATAACGGACGACAGTGATATTTGGCTGTTTGGCGGCCGAACCGTCTACAAGAACTTCTTTGCCCAAAACAAACATGTGCTGGAATTCCGGGCGGAGCAAATCGAGCAGACATTCAACTGCAACAGGGGCAAGCTGATCCAGCTGGCCTGCTTGGTGGGCAGCGACTACACCACCGGTATTCACGGCATCGGGGCTGTAACGGCCCTGGAGATTCTGGCCTCCTTCTCCGGACAGGATGCTGCTCAGACTGCCCAGGGGGTGTCAAACCAGTCGGTCCTGCAGACTTTGACTAAATTCCGGGACTGGTGGCAGGCACACAAGAGCAGTAATCTGCCTCCCGGCAGCTCGGCACGCCTATCCCTCCGTAAGAAGCTAAAAAATATCGAACTACACGAGGGATTCCCCAATGGAGCAGTGGTGGAGGCCTATCTTGCGCCCACAATCGATGACAATCGGGATGCCTTCAGCTGGGGTTCTCCGGATGTGGAATCAATAAGGGAGTTCACGCGCAAGTCTTTCGGCTGGACAACCTCGAAAACCGATGACATTCTTATGCCAGTTATGAAGAAGATTAACGAGAAGAAAATCCAGGGTTCCATCCGAAACTACTTTGCGGCCAAGAGCGCCTTGCGAGTACAGCAGCCGCAGGTGAGCAAGCGCGTCCAATCCGCCATTGACAAGATGTCGGGCAAGATCGATGTGGAGACGCCGGAAAAGCCGAAGAAGGTGACACGCACCAGAAAACCCAAAACAGCCCAGGTGACCGATGATTCAGCACCTGTCGTAGAAACTTCTCGCCCCAAACGTGGCAAACGAAAGGCTGCCACTGAAGCAACTGAAGCGGAATCGCCGGACCCCAACCAGCCTTCCACATCCCAGTCGGTTCCAAAGCCAGAAAAGTGTCCTCGAATACCGAACACCCAGGAAGTAATACCTCAGCGGGAGCGAGATCTCGAGGAGATGCGCTTAAAAAAAGCAAAGGCTGCGGAGGTTCTAAAGAATTCAGCAAAACCGAAGAGAAAATAAAAACTGTATGGAATTAATAAAATGAAATATAGAATCTTTTTGAATAATATTAAATCCTTTTGGAAATATATTTATTAGATGTGAATATATTTAACATATTTCAGCAACAAAGACTCAAAATACATTTCAGAATCTATTTTAATTCAGCTTCATAGAAACTATTAGGATTAATTAACAATTTCAGATTAGGTTATAATAATAACATTTTAGAATAATGGAAAAATGTGATGCAGGACTTTATTATCTTGGCAAATCATCCAGGATTTTAAAAACAATCCACTCTGGGAAATAAGACCTTCTCTGCAGAACTAGTATTTCTTTAGCTAAAATGGTAAATCGAAAAAAAACTAGCTTATTTGATATATTAACATTTTTATGCCCTTGCAGGGTATAATAATTTCAGTCAGAAGTTTGCAACGCAGTGAAGGAGACGTTTCCGACCCCATAAACCATATATATTCTTGATCGGCATCAACAGGGGAATCTTTCTAGACATGTCAGGAAGAAATCGATTTTTTGGCCATTTTTGCAAAATTTTATAAGGGGTTACATCTAGACATATACGCCGCCGCGCCACGCCGCCGCCGCCGCCGATTTTTGCCTTATTTGACGCGCCGCCGCCAAATTATGAAAATAACGGCGCGCCGCGGCGCGCCGCTGGTGCGGCATCGGCGCAGCTTCAGCGCGGCCTTCAGTGTCATTGTTCTTTATAAAACTTAAAAAAAAAAAAATAACTCATTAAAATGGCCTTTTTGCCTTATTTGACGCGCCGCCCCCCCCGGTTCTTTCTGACTACTACGCCGCCGCCGCCGAGTCATTTTGACCTCTACGCCGCCGCCGATGCCTTTAACCATCGGCGTAAACCTCTAGTTACATCATTAAAATTTTTGATTTTGATAAAAAATTGAATTTTCAAAATTTTTAAATGAAGTATGCAGATTTATTAACTGTAGAAAATCTTGCACAGAACAGTTTTCCGATTTAAAATTAATGCTCTTTTGGCCGAGTTATGATATTTTTAATTTAAAAAAAATCAAGAAGTTTTTTAATATAAAAAATCCGATTTTATAATACAAAATAATATTTTTCTAAGTCAAGGAATCATTTCCGACCCCATAAACCATATATATTCTTGATCAGCATTAACATGCGAATCTTTCTAGACATGTCCGGAAGAAATCGATTTTTTAGCCATTTTTGCGAAATTTGATAAGGGGTTACATCATTAAAATTAGCCAAAATGGCCAAAAAATTTTGATTTCTTAAAATTTGAAATTTGGTATGCAGTTTTTTTAAATTAATAAAAACTAACACAAAACTGCTTTCCAAATCGAAATTAATGCATTTTTGGCTTAGTTATGATATATTTTAATTGTTACCTGCAAGGGTATACAAACTTTGGCTAACCAAAGTAAGCTTTCTTTCTTGTTAATATACAAAAATATCGCTTTAAAAAACGATATTACCGAAAAATATACATATATATCGGTACGCTAAAATATATATTTAAATATTGACACAGTATGGTTTTTGTCCTTCCTTGGTTGTATTAATTTAATCTGTAACAGCTCACCTATTTGGAATGGTAGATTGTGATCTTCTAAATCCCCAGGCAATACAAGAAATTGTCTCTGCATCCCACATACACTCTTCGCAGGCTCTCAATGTAGCACGCACCGGAGAACACTTCGCCAGGCAGCTTGTCCGACCACTGGATCTCGCCGTTCCTAAAGTTAAGGAGGACAAGGTTGCCATTGGTGGCACTGCACCAAACCAGGAGACCATTTGGTTGAACTGTTAGCAGACTGGGCGTTGCATAGACGGGAGCCCCGATATTGATCTTCCAGCGCAGTTCCAAGTCCACTGAACCCCGGATCGAGCCCGTTTTGCACTGCAAACAATACACATGCTGATCGATGCAGCCGAAGACAACGAAGGATTGCCCCATAAATGTAGGTGGCGTCTTCACAACCAACGAGGAAAAGATGTTCCCTTCTGCGGTGTAGGTAGCCAACTGAAAATGGGGATTTCATATAGGATTTTGAATAAACTCTTGAGGTTGTACTCACAATTTTCCCGTTGCCCACATGACAGGCATGAACGCGTCCCGCCACTTCAGCGCATAGAAAGATATTGGACTGCGACTCCAGCAGGACAGGTGTGGAGAAGATGGGCTCCCGGCACTTCTGTGTCCACTCCACGGAGCCATCGGTGATGGCCACACGAGCATAGGTGCCGTCCAGCGTGCATAGAATCAATGATTGTTCTTTCGCCAGCTCCAAAGGACTGGCGAAGATGGGCTTCTCGCCAATCCTCAGGCACCACAGAACCTCTTGCCGCTCGGCGGACAGGCAATAGACATTATAGTCCTCCGCATAGCTGCACACCACGATCCGACAACCGTCGGCTGAGAGTAGGGGCTGCGACTTGATCATGCCTCCGATCTCCACTCGCCACAAAATGTCACCGGATTGTGGATTGAAGCCGTACAGGCAGCCATCGTAGCAGCCAACCATGGCCAGCTGCTCGCTGAGGAAGGTCACCTTGCACTCGATGCGATCGGGTAGCCTCAATATACTCAGCTCCTTGCCGGTCTGGGGATCCAGGGTTCGTAATATCTTGGAGTGGGCGCCAACGCACACGTAACGCCCCTCGTACTCGGTCACTGGTGAGTCGACGCACTTTTCAAAGTTCACCTTCCAGTGGTACTGCAGCTTGAGGGTCGGCTGTTCAATGCGCTTGATTACCAGGCCGCCGACGCAGGCGCTGCCGCCACAGCTGGGCCTATTCGGCAGTAGTGGCTCCACGGGCTTTAGCTTGACATTGTTGGCCACCAACTTGGCCGTGTCCAGGAATCGCAGAACAGAACGCAGCGGCGTGTTCTCGTCCAGCAACATCTCGAACAAGTGGCGCTGTTCATCATCGATGCACATCTGTAGGCCAATTTCACGGCAGATCGTGATGGCGTGAAAGGAAGTGCCACCGGCTTGGCGAAAGCTCAGCGAATAGCCACAAGGATTCGGACAGTCCTCCTCCAGGCGCTGCCTCTTCGTTGACGGCAACTGGTCATCGTGCACATCCACACACTCTAGTCTGTCGTGCAGATAACTCTTTAATATTTCCTGCGCCGGCTGAGCCAGTGGCATGCATTCCTTCAGCAGCAGTTCCTTGTCCATTTTGCCATGGACGTTGCAGGGAAAGTGCTGTAGGTATACAAACCTATCGGGCTGCTCGGCCATGGACACCTTGGACAGTATATCGAAGGTCTGGGCTCGCTGTTGGACTTTGGTCTTGGGCTCGAGGCAGCGAATGCAGCAGATGAGCTTTTGCAAGTTCTCCAGCCACAGGCAAGTGGCCAGTTCGCCGCTCAGCAGACACCTTTCTATTTTTCGAGTGATTAAGCCTGGAACAAAGCAATTAATGGGGGAGTTATAGCTAATTCGGTGCCAAACGAGCCAAAAACTGTTGTGCTGCGGCTAAAGTTTCCTTAAGAAGAAATATACATTTGTTGGGCCCTCCTTAAAAAACCTATTTTAAATGTCTTTATGGGGAAACTCACCCAAGTTAATGCGATTCCCTGCTCTCTTGACAATATCGTTGGCTCTCTCTCCATAGCACAGGGAGCCATCGTCCAAGCGATTGACTAGATCTCCCGTCGCTCGAAAGCAAATGCCTGAATCTTCTTCGGAATCCACCTGGTCATCGATCTCTGGTATATAACAACGTCGGGTCTTGCTGCCCAGGAATAGCTCGCCGTAGTCCAAATTCCTATCACTCTGACATTGAATCCGCAACACAGTATCCTCGTCGATGAGCGTACCCAGTCGTACAGGAGCCTGCAGGGACTGGACGATGTGGAGAAGACTCCAGCAGGATATCTCTGTGATTCCGTAGATATTGCAAATGTGTTTCTGCAGCAAGACACGCGGTTCCATCCAAGTGACGAGCTCAGCATTTGAGGGAAAGGGTTCGCCGCCGAGAAGAAGAACTCTGTTTCAAGGATAAATTTAAGCAATGTTAAGCCAGTTTTCAGCTATCAGCTATAATCCACACCTTAATGAGCTGGCGCTGCTCAACACTCGCTCTCTGATGGCAGTGCTTCCAAACTGACGGAACAACGAGGGAGTCATCTGCAGTAGACTGATGCCGGGCTTGTTCAGGTTTACGGGAAAAAGGGCATTCAGTACCCGGCTCGGGGAATCCCTCATCGAGTGGTGACTTAGCAGCAGGGCAGCACCATTGTGAAGCGCCAGAAATATCTCCACCACGAAGGGATCAAAGGTGCAGGGCGTGCCCAGATAAATTATGTCTGCCATCGAGACATTAAGCTTCTGGCTTCAAAAGATGATGGAGGATTCGTTGGCATTGGGTTACATATCGAGTGATTACTTACCTCAGCGACTCTATGTTGGGTGCAATGCATTCGTAGGGCACATGGATGAGCTTGGGTTGGCCAGTTGTGCCCGTTGTAGTGATGGTGTAGCACATATTGGCGGGCAGGGGCTTTTTTGCCTGCACTCTAGGGCTTTTGTCGGTGCGCTTCAGCTTGAACAGCTTGCACTCCTCGTTGAGCACCTGGATACTGTCCAGTCGCTCAAAGTACAAAGCCCCCACACCCAAGTGTTCACTGACCAGCAAGTAGTCCACTCCGGCAGAGCACAACTGGTCATGTAGCGCCTCGGAGAGCAGCATCTTATCCGTGGCGAAGAAGTAGCACTCGTGGTTGAGTATCCTACGCAATTCAAAGCCATTAGTTCACATGTAATTCTACCTAGAATTTTGGTACGCACGCTAAGATAAGAAGGCACGATGCTGGCGTGTGCTGCGTAATCCGAAGGGCGATCCCTGCTCCGGCTGGAATCTGGTGGTGGCACAGCAGCTCCAGCACTTCTACCACACCTTCCACAGCCTTGGTGTAGGTCACGGTGCTATCCTGCGGCTCCATTCGCTTTATCAGAAAGGGAACATTGCCGAAATCTCGTATGCGGCCGACGTCGTACAACTTCTTCTGTTCCATTCTACTTTCTCCTGGGACTAGTCTGTCTTTAGTCCTTGACGTCGGCTCCTGGCCGGATTGATCCTGGTCTCCTTCAGGCTCTGCATCTTCAGGCAGTTCCGTTTTAAGCTCGAGTGTTTCCATTGATATCAACAACCACCTGTTTACAAAATCCGGCCCCCAACTAGAGATGTTAGCTCTTTCCTATCGACTTATCGATTTATATACGTTACTTTGGGTCTATCGATTTTAATTTGAAATCTTTTTGAAATGATAAAACAATTGAATTCCTCAATTTTTTAAATTTACCGAAATAAAATATCCCCAAGATCCACATATTTTAATACAATTTTGTATTGTTCAGTGCCAAATACATGTTATATATTTCTCATTTCATTATTTACATTTACAACTCAATACATAGATCGTACGAAGCTTATAATGTGCTTAATAGTCCCTTGTAAGTGTCTTGTTGGTTGGTTTTTCTCGTTTCATTTGTCAAAAAAAGCTCTTGGCATACATGTGCATGCATTTTGAGGTAAAACAGTTAATATTCATCGAAAATATTTCCGAAGTATGCAATATAGCGTAACTTAATCCTAGGCAAAAATTAATCCAAGTCTCCTCTACATTTCCGAATTTCCGTTGCTTTATTCCTCTCACTCTCTCGTGCCAAATCTTCTAGATTGCAATAAATTACGTCCTCAAACAGGAACTATTGTATATTATCTGGGTGTTATTTTCGTTTAACCTGAGGTGAATCGTACATCCTATATCCAGTCCTATGCCTGCTTCTTCGCGCTCAAGGCTTGGCCTTCTTTACTCAGCTTCGAGTACTCTGTCTGCATGATGGACTGGCACTCGCCCATTAGCTGCTCAATGTCGTCCTTGTCGTACTTTTCCGTTGAGACTTCGGGCAGGATGTGGATGAGGGCATGGCCCGGGCGGAAGGTCTTCTTTTCATCGTCCATAAATGAGTACTTGGAGATGACCACAGGTTGGATGGGGCTCTTGCTCTGGAGCGCGATGTGGAACGAGCCCTTCTTGAAGGGCAGCAGCGTGTCCTTGTTGTTGCGTGTGCCCTCCGGGAACAGCAACAGCTTACAGTTGCGCTCCTGTATCGCCTTTGCCTCCTTCTGCAGCGAGTTAATCGAGTCCGACTTGCGGGATCGATTAATATAAAGGGTGCCCCAGAGCCACGCCCCGATGCCGAAGAACGGAATGTACAGGACCTCCTTCTTGGACACGACTGTGGCTCGACCGATCACTGGCCACAGGTAGGCCAGCACACACAGATCCACCGCACTCTGATGGTTCATTATGACCACGGCGCCGTGATCCTTGCGCACATTCTCCAGGCCCCGCACCTCCATGGTGATGCCCATCAAGCGGCACAGCTGCCTGAAGCACCAAGAAGGAACGCTGACAATAAAAAGGAAAAAGAGAAAGAGGAAAACTATAACCAACTGTAACTATTATTATAGGTAGCCTTTAAATGAAAGCTCTGGGTTTGGTTTATACTTACAGGGCATTACGATAGTCCCTCGGCCTCAGTATCATGAAGGGCACACACAGCAGGACTATGGCACCCGCTCCAAAGAATATGAAGATCATGCGCATCTGATAGGGAGCTTTGGCGGAAATACTTAGGATTAAGGCCACCACACAGGCCAGGCCAATGACTTCACAGGTGCAAGCCATTTTGAAAGCGCTTCTTAAACCCAAGGAAGTCGACTTCTGTAAATCAAGAGAAAACTAGTTAAATAATGTACAAAAATATATATAAATTAACTACTAAGACTAACCAAAAACTAGTTTCGAATGACCGAAACCCCTCAGTTCTCCTGGCCAAGTGATTTTGAATTTTGAATTTGATCTATTTAGTAGCCGACTCTTAATGCCTAGCTCACTTTTACTTTGTTACATCATATTTAGTGATTCATTAGATTGAAGATTCTTCTTTATTGACTTTCGAATCAGCAATTGCTCATATGTACATATATAGTATTGGCGGCTATTACGAGATTGCATTACGAGAACTCAAAGTGGCAATTATTTTCAATTATCTTTAATTTGCATACTGTCTTGATTGCTCAATAGATCTTTTATATACATATGTGTGATTTTGGAGTCTTAAATCTTTTACTTTATAGCCCATCTTGACATCTAAATGGTAAGCACCGAGAATCATATTAGTAATAAGTTTATTTTAATGGCAGCACTTTAAGATTAACTGGAAATTATTGAAAAATATCATATATTCCTATAGCAACAAACCTTTTAAGAGGCCTTACCAAGGTCGGGACACGTTCGATCCCTCAGATAGAAAAGGTACAACTGAAAAACCCGAGTGACGCCAGGCATCGATTAAACTGTACAAAAAGGCTTATCAGGAAATGCCCGATAGCTATTGTTTGGATTAAGGCACTGAACTTTGGTATCGCGTTTATACATTTTATTATATGGTAACAACAGTTCCTAATCAGCTCTTGCAAAATAAATGACGAATAGTGAAAAGATTTGAGAGATCAGAATAGTAATCAAGTACTGGACGATATGGCTTAAGTGCAGGTAAAGTAAATACTTTTTCAAGATTACTGTTGGTGCTGGGTTTTTTTTTAGTTATTTATGTACGGCTCCTTGTCGAATCGATCTGAAGATTGTTTGAAATAATAAAAAACTTGTGAAAGAATAATCTAAACATAATTAAAACAATGGCTCCATGCCGGGGGTACATAAGATTCATGGCTTTTCCAACAAGCTAATCTCGAGATAAAGCTTTGACATAGGAACGTTGGCGCATAATATATGGCTGAAGGTAGCCTAGTTTTTATACCAGGTGCTCATAAAGTTTGAGTACTAGTAGTATCAATATTGTTGTGTATTTAAAACTGTTGCCACGCGCCCTTCCGCCCTAAATCTTTGAATAATACTACGATTATCAAGGTGCGAAGTAAGAGCTACACAAAATTATATATATTTTTTGTAAAATGTATCTTGTATATATATTTAAAGTTCAAAACAACTAGATACCAGATATAACATATAATATTGGTTATCTAGCTTGGTTTCTTATTGAACTTAAAAACTCATTTTTAGGGGTACTCACTATCTATGTCTAGGGATTGAACTCTAAGCTCGTACCTTGTTATTCAGGCCAAAGCACATCTACAGCGACATATCTGCTCCACACCTTCCCATATGACTTTAGTAATTAGTCAGTAAAAAGTAACTACTCATGTATATAGAGGTTTGTATATATGTACATATATCAGTCAGTACTTGACACAATGTCTCTGGCGGTCACGGACTGAGTGAGACCCTGTTGTCATGCTATTAACATTACGGAGGCCCTTTTAAGCTCCAAGTTCGGACAATCTACTCTTTAAATTCTACTTCTAATCGAGATTAGTAGGGTAAATTTCAGTATTTATCATCTTTAGCCTTTATCTTTATGGCCAGATCATGTCAATATTAAGTTCTCCCGCCAACACCACCACAAGGTTCTAATCAGGTTGTAGGCCTGCTTTTGATTACAGTTTGTACTATAAATGTTTGTCGTGCTGAAAGAGTTTTTTTTTTATGGACCCCTCCTGGTGCTTTATTCACGAAAACAACTTCTAATGTTGGCAATACCAATTATGATGACAATTATCGTTACAGATACAACTTGGACGGCGTTTGATGACAAACTGTTGATACTGGCGTGACCTTTTGGAGGAGGGTAATTGTAATTGTACGTTGAATGGGCACTTAAGTCCAATCAAGCCTCGAGATCATTACATTAACTGCCTTGGATTTTCATTGATTTTTGTGAGAGTCAGAAATAGAAAATTATACTTTGTTATGACTGCGTTGAGTTGGTATTAATATTACGGTAATAAAGTGCTACAATAAGAAGCCTTTATTTTTTTTGCAGAATACAGACGGTATACGATAATATTCCAGGTACTTATCGTAATTTATACACACTTTTATCGAATTATAGCGAAATCAGTGAAGGAGATTGATTTCAATCATAAACAAACTTGGGAAAAAAACGAATTAAAAAGTTAGTTAGAAAAGAGTTATAGCTTTAGGAAGGAATAAATAGGATAATTACACGTATGCTAATTTGTTAAGATTTGGAAAACACTTGCTTAAAGTATTTAGAACTTTGCTATGAAAATTAATAAACTGACGTTATTGCAGTAATAGTCATTCATAATAAATCATGAGTAAATAAAATGCAATTTCGAAATCTCAGAGAATACGTAATCAAATTTACAACTTTGTCACACTTTGTACTTTCCTTATGACTGTGCTAAAAATTGAAAAAAAAAAAAAATAATAATAATAAATAAATTATCAACAGCAAATGTTTTATTATTTGTTTACAATATATTCCCCGAATGACACGAAAGGGGTTTACGTTTTACGGTTCCCATTATCATTTTGTGACAATTGCCGCGAAGCTTTTCGTGTGTGTGCGACAGCGGAACATCATCGATCCATTCCAGCATAAGCTTCGGCCACTGATAAGATAGTGGCATGATTTCAGCCAGGAAAATAATGGCTTTACTACACCTTGGAACTAGCTGACGAACGCACGCATGAGGCCGCTGCATGTGGACGAGCAGGAGGACTCCGGACCACAGCAGCCTCATTTGCCAGCCAATTGAATGAGACACAGCGTCAGCATCTTGGAGTCAAGTTCAAAGTCAACGAGTGCACAGCTCAGCGGCAGTGAGGAGAATTTTTCCAGACCAAGCTGAGTCATTAAAAGATCTCACGACGATCGGACGTTTTCTAATCAAACGACTAAAGATCATTGTTTTACGAGTAATTGTCGAGTGGAGTGTTTAAGACTTGAATCGCCAGTTGTTTGTAAATACTGTGTAAAACAGCTGTTATGAGATTTGAGATAAAATATTAACTCTGGTTTAGAATTTTAACTTCTTCAAAACAGATATAATACATCTACAAAATTCGACCTAGTAATCATCTAAATTCCGTATATGACTTTTCAGAATTAAGAGAAATTGTCATAATCAGGCCTGCTCCGGTAATCGTAAAATTTTTTCGATTTCGTTTTGGGCGAAAACGAACCGTTTTCGTTTTTAGCTGCTCCGGTTTTCGGCAAATTTCTGCTATCGGATGTTTCGTTTTCTCATCGTTTCTCACTGCTCAAGCAGCTAACTTGTGTTGTTGGTAATAAGCAAACAACGTAAAGTACTGCCTATTATATTTACAATTGCCCTTTTTCTAAGCCAGAAAAAGGCAAAAAATTGTAGAATTAAGCAAATCCAGGCACCTAAGATGCTGCCACACTTTTCACAGTTTTAATTCCGGTGGTCTCAAATAATTATTTGGTTAATTTGGACTATTTAAGTAGTAAAATTAAATACCATTAATTATAAACAACTATTTTGGCGGTACTTTAAAGTTATTAATGTATTCATTTATATTTAATAAGTATTTTTAACTGGCTGTTTCGTTCCACCAACAATATGGCAACCTTGGCGATAACTTTTTGCGGTGAACTATCGGTCTATCGCCAAAACGAGAAAACTGGTTGAACACGGCAAAAATGTTGTTGTCAAATCTGAGGAGGGGTCAGAAATAAATTTTTTATAAAATAACTACCTGCCAGAATGATCTTGTGGTGGTGTGGAATAAACATCAATAGACCACTGAGTAAACTATTTTTTTCCCTTTGTAAATAAGATCTGATTTCATACAAAAAAAGCCATTTACTTTTAATTCCGGCCAGAAAAAGGTGCCCGTTTTTCAAATCGAAAAAATCTTTCGTTTTAGATTACCGGAGCACCAATTTCTCGTTTTCACAAACGAAAACGAAAAAATCTTGCCGTTTTCGATTACCGGAGCAGGCCTGAATGTCCCAAATAATGGCTCTCAATATTAAATTTATTGAAAAAGTGTCTTAAAGCACACAATCATTGTTTATTCTTTCCTTTCTGTGCTTGTAGTCTAATTCCAATTGAAATCTTTTGAAAACCTCCTAATGAAATATTAATTTAATTTTTAAGTTTTCAAGTGATACTTTTAAACTTCCCACTCTTCGCTTTAAATGAATAAATTATTAAAGAACCAAAGCATTATTTCACACGCCAAAAAGGAAGCGGCGGAGTCCCAATAACCTAAAATCAACAGGAAAGCTTGGGGGGAATGAGTGAAGGAAAAGGTGGAGAAAAGAGTGGAGGAAAGATGTGGGGGAGGCTTCCAGAGAAAAAACCGACGACGAACTGGGAATTAAGGGCAGTGTGCCAGACAAAGATAGAGCGACCCCTGGAGAGGTAATAAATGTACGCAGGACTCTCCTTGTTGCTGTTCCTGTGGCTTTTATTCCTTGTGGAACGAAGCACACACCGCATGGGAGGAAGGACCGAACAGGGAAGGCAATGAAGACGAAAACGCACTACTAAATAGTACAAACTCACGAAACCGTTATAGGTGGAAAAAAGTTGTTGCTGCTGCTTCCCGGCTTCTATTCTCCCGCGTTTGTTGTTGCTGTTGCGTGGGCGTAATTGTTGATTTGCAGCTACGTGTGTGTGAGTATGTATTATGTACGTATGCCTATGTGTTGGTGGTTTATTTGCGCGGGAGTCTCGGCTCCTGCAGCATCTGCACTGCAATAAATTCCACGTACCGGAATTGCAAATACACCTGCACTGTCCACCTAATCACGGTTGGGTTAAGGAATTTCACCGCACTAGCACTGTCTCACACATTCCTCGTTCAAATAATTATTGTTTTCCGCCGCCCGAGTGCCGGCACTCTCTACTACTCAGCAGCAGCAGCGAGAGGCGTCCGCTTCAAACAAAAGTCCGTGGTCAATTGAAAAAGCTTTCGCTTCGCGTGTTCGTTGCGCTTCCGTCCACTTAACTTAGCGGCCAGGCTTTGGCTTTGCCGGTGCTGCGCATGTGACCCAGGCGACGCAGTGGAGCTTCTGGTCCGGCTTTGGGTTGAATCAGCTTGCGCGACGGACTGAGCTCCAACCAGTTGCTTGTCCTGATGTGGTCATTTTCCTTTTGTTGTTTGTCCTACATGTTGGATTGATTGAAGAAGTTCTTAGTCCTTTGTTTCGTCCTCTTTCTAAGGGAAGTTCGTAGAGATAATCATTTAAGTTTAATTAAAATACATAAGACAAGGAAAAGCTTTCTATATTATTTATTTGTATTAATTATTGTATAATTTCTGTTATCCTATCTAATTAAAAACATATTTTTCGAAGTATTATAAATACAAAACAATTTAGAATAAGTAAAAGCTTTCTCGAAATTTTCTAATTTAATATTTGAATTAATTATTGTATTATTTCTGTTATCCAAAATAATTTTAAAATATTTTGGTAAGTCCTCTTTATATCCTTGCAGGGTATCATATTTTAGTCTTTAAACTTCCCCACCCTATAAATCCTATTCGATTACAAAGTGTGACTTGTATGCCCAAAAGTATGCAACATTTTAAAAACAATTTTTTTGTTTTTCTTATTTTCAAATTCAAATTCAAATTCATTCTAAATTTTTAATAATAATTTTATTAATTAGCAACAATATTGCAAATTCAGTTTTTATAATTTTTAACTTTCCCTCCTTTTACCTCTTTAGTGTGACCATTTAGAATACCGCTCAGAATCCCTCCGCGGCTTGCCCGTGCGCAACCATTTTGCAATTCAGCTGCGGCCACACGCGCTTTGTTTTCCTCAAAAATTGTAAATTTATACAGATTTCCTATTACTCCGATATTTTACTGCATTTAAAATATCCAGAGCAACCCACAAAGCCGCCACAACACAAACAACAACTGAAAATGTTGTGCTATCTTAATTCTGCCAGCTAATTTGTTATGAAAGTGTTTCGCTCAACCGGCGAGACTTCGATGCGAAATAATTTGCCAAATTAGATTTGCAAACGGAACTTACAATGCACGCGGTGGTGAACACGTGCCGCCTGTGCCACCGCGAGGTGGAAGCCGACTCCCCCAACATCTTCGAGAGCTCCCTGGAGTTCTGTAGTGAATTGTCCATTGCCGAGATCTCGCAGCATCTTTGGGCCGTTCACGTGAGTGTTTGCCGCATAGCGAGTGTGTTCCCAAAGTAACCTTTTCTTTTGCAGTACGAGCGCCATGAGCTCTTGCCGGAGCTGGTGTGCCCGGAGTGCCTAGAGCTATTGTTCGATGCATTCGAGCATCGCAAGGGCATGCTGGAGCGGGAACAGAGGCTGCAGGAGCAGCTAAAGGACATGATGAAAACGGATCCCAAGTACCGGCCCGGCTTCAATGGTAATCCTGGTGAATTCGAACCGGAGGAGGACTGCGAGATTGTGGACGTGGATCCGGAAAAGCTGTCGGAGACCAGTGAAGAAGAGTTCCTGCCTTGCTCGGAGGGGGATTACGAAAACTTTGAGGAAGACGACGACGAAGAGGAGGAGGATTTCGATGAGGAGGACGAAGAAGAGGGTCAGAATGGCGAGGACGCTGACATGCCTTTGGGCATGGATGCCGCCCAGATGGCACATATGGAGGCGGAAATGAAAGCCAACAACGCTAATACTGATCCCAACTCTGGGGTGAAACCTAAGCGTGCCTTCCTCTGTCAGTACTGCGATCTGGGCTTCACCTTGCCCTCCGAGTGCCAGCAGCACGAGAAGAGCGCCCACGACCCGGCTGCTCCGTACTGCTGTACCTTCTGCAACCTCCGAGTGGACGCTCGTACCACACTAATTTCGCACATCAAGTCGCTGCACGATGCCGAGCGTCCGTATGTTTGCGCGCAATGCCGGAAGGGATTCGTGCGTCGCTCCGACTTAAAGAAGCACACGATTGTGCATACGGGCGTGCGACCCTATACCTGCAACGTATGCTCAAAAAGCTTCTCGAGAAACACCAACCTGAACAAGCACATGCGCATCCACAGCGGCGTCAAGCCGTTCGTGTGCCAACAGTGTCCGCGATCATTTCAGACGGCCGTGGAATTGATGAGCCACTCACGCTCCCACTCCGAGGTAAAGGCTTACCAGTGTGGCCGCTGTCCATACTCCTTTTCGCGCAAGGATAAGCTTATGGCGCACCAGCAAGTCCATACCAGGCGCGACGTTGAGGAGCAGCAGAAGCAATTGGGGCTTCTGCCGCCCGGGGAAGGTGACCTCGCGCAACTCCATCAACAGCAACAACTGCAACTCCAGCTTCAGGCCAAGCCAAAGGCTCCAACGCACTCAAAGTCTTCGCGCAATTTCCGCTGCGACGTCTGCGACAGGTCCTTCCAGAGAGAGCGCGACCTGCAGCGCCACAGAGCCCTACACATGGACACGCTGTTCGCCTGCAAGATTTGCAATCAGGGATTCAACCGGCGAGAGCAACTGCAGCGTCATGAACTGGAGGCTCATGGGCCTAGCTATACCTGCAGCATCTGCTGCATCAACTTTCTGTATCAGGTGGAGCTGGAGAACCATCTAAAAGTCCATCAACTGCAGCACAAAATGGCTCAAAGTGCCCAAGAGGCCATCAATGCTGCCGCTAGTCTGCCCCTCAAAAAGGTCGAGCAGGCTCCAGTGGCTGTAATGCCTCCGGTGATTCAGCCCTCGGCTGCCGAACTCTCCTTCTACAGCAACATGATTCCAACCATGAATCTTGGTTTTTACAGCGAGACTCGTCCGGAGGAGTAGAAATAGAGGTATCTAGGATGCAAAGTTACAGTTAGTGTGGTAAGAACTTATATATTTATACACTTGGGGTTTCATCTTGAAGATTCGTAGCCAAATATATTTATACTTGGCCAAATAGAAAGTAGAAAGCTGAAATAAGATTTATATTTATATTGAAACTCTAAGGTTTTTAATAACTTTTAATATTTTTAAGTTTAAAGTGAATTTCCAACAGTTTACTTTCTAAAATATTTTTCTTTTTTAATTTTGCAAATGCAGAAGATAAAAAAAAACCAAGTAAAAGCAAGGTCTCAACAAAAAACAAATGATTCATGCAAAGTTACTTTATATTCATATTATACAGTATCTAGATTTTATATATTTTCATGGCGGCCATTTATTTGTCAATTACTGTTCTAAATAAATAGTATTGAAATAATATTAGAAAATAATTGTTTTAAAATACAGGAAAAGAATCTGCAGGAAAAGAATCTGAAGAATCTACAGGAGAATGGATGCCAGAGAGAAAAGTTAAAATAGCAGAGACAATTTTTCTGTGCTCTAATCGATCGACAATGTCCTTACAAGACTCATTTCCACAACAGGGCGCTTTATTTCATCCAATAATTTTGCAATCACCTGTAACTCCAGACACACAAACATTATCTGTGAGGTATAAATAAACTTGCCCCACAAAAGTTACCTAAAGCTTAAACTAACCAACATGTTGCACACAACAAGTTGCAAGTTGGTTGATCTTGAGACTGACTTTCCGCCAAGTTCCCAAATCGCGGCACTGCCGCCAGATTGTGTCTTGAACTCGACTCGTACGGTAGTCCCTCCACTTGTTCGGAACCCGACCGATCGATCGTCTCGAAGCCTCCTCCACGACGATCCTCTCCTCGGAGTGTGCGCGCGCGCTCTGTGAATTGTGCTGGTGCTGACAGTGTAACGCTTGATAGAATAATAAATAATAAAAATAAAGGGGGAGAGAGCCCCCAAAGAAATGTGGTCGAGCTGCCATAAATAAGGTGCGGATTTCAAACGAGACGATAAATCTATTCCCGCAACGGGCACGCAATCGGGGAATTCGAACTCACCTTGCGGATCCGCTCGGATAGGTTCCGTTGAGAGCGGTAAGTACGCAATTACCATGGAAGGAAGGGTCATTCCGAGTGCGATTTATGTATGTGCCGATTCCCGGCTTGGGGTCTCTGCTGTTTAGGTGTTGGCGTCGCCCGCTGGGGCGCCCTCGGGCTTCCATTCTTAGCCACATCGTTCTCATCATCGTCTCCTGCCCCATGACAAATGAACATGTTGCTGGTCCCCCGACAGCTTTTCTTTGATTGAATAAAGAATATCCACAAGGCAGGGGATACGTTGGAGGAAGCCAAGACCAGCTTGCATGATTTGAGCAGCCACTTTTGTCATTTCCAAAAAAGATAAGGGGCACGAGACGAACTGGAGCACATAAAAGGCAAAAGGCAGCTGGAAGCTGCTACCTTCGTGAGGCACTTTTTGTCCATTTAAATCTTAAGAAATGCGAGGAGTACTTTATAGCTTTGTCGGCAGAGGTTCTGGACGGATGGCATTTTTTTAAAATGAATTTTTGTTATAAATAAATATTTATCTTGATTTTGTATTAATTAAAAAAGCATTTACATTTAGACATATATAAAAGTTTAGTTTACAACTTGAATAAAATTAGTAAAAATAAAACATTCATATTCTAATGCATTTAACATGATTTGCTTTGATTATATATTAGTTAAAAATAGTTAATCCTTTCATAATTTAATTAATATATTAGAATTCTTTAATAAATAAGCTACCACGGTGATATTTTCTACTTAACTTACTCTCGTGGATTGCGTGTCTGTTACTGAAAGCACCTGCAGTGCAAAAATACAGGCATTCCGACGGATACGCGAACAGTTTTAAAAACAATCTAACTTTTGCGGATGTGAAGGGTTAACTCAATTTCGTTCTCGGAAGATAAATGATCTATGTTTAACGGAAAGTATATTCCAACACGCACCTTCTGCCGATTTAGATTTAGTGCAATAAAAGCCCCAGGCTGACTAGAACCCAGTCATAAGTACACGAGTGTAGCAGCCCACGCAACAACTTAATTACGGCTATTTACACGCAGTACGCATAGGAAGACTCCGGCTAGATCTAGATCTTGGCACTGTCAATTATGAGTTACCTTCATTTCTCAAGTGTTTTTCGAAAGCTTAAGGATTTTTAATATCGGAATTTTGGGTTCGTGAAGTGGATTTCCAATTCTCCTATTTTCGAAAGATAATATTTAATGAAATTCAGATTACGAGTAGATTTTTTTATGCTGAATTAAGAGGGTGTCATTAAGTTAATAAGCTGTCATTTTCAACGACCCGTTAATATAAAACTGTAATATTAATCAAAGGTTAAGTGATAATGTAATATAATGTAATCTTTCTTATCAAGGTTCCATAATAATTTTATCTAGTCTTAATAATCTCACAGTTAACTATCATAAGAGCCGTCGCAACTCTCTGCATATTTATACGAACGAAATTTAAGTAAACTCTAAGAACCGCATATAAACTAAACAATTTTACACAGCAACAATCGAGACAAATAGAAATTCTAATTTTTAATCCCACGTTTAATTCAATATCATCTCTCTGCGATAAGCTACTTACACATTCGTTGGCTGTCAGACACACAAATCGTCGTCTTCGCTGTCGTCGTCTGTCGAAGGACTGATGGGAATACGAATACATCAGTGTCAGTCAGGCAGACGGCAGACACCTTTCCATCTGTCACTGGCTGCCACCTTCTCCCATATCGTCTAGCTAATCTCTCATAAACACACAGAGCACCCAGTAGACTCTTTTTTGTTTTGTTCCTCGAAACTTTTTCGCGGTGAGAGCCGTACGTTTGCATTTCACATCCGTTTCGCTTCATTTTGATCAGATGCAATTTAATTCACAATTCACTTTCTTCGCAGACAATGGCAGCCATGTGATCCAGCAAATAATAATGCATGTATAACGTTCCACTTGGCTGACAGGCCTGAGGAGGTATTGGGACTTTGGGGTTTTCATCATCTTCATCCGGATGGTTGTTGTCATTCGTTCACTTATCAAACAAATGTATGCCTATATTTTTAATCGGTACTTGAAGAGGTCCAAGGTATACTGGGTCATGCACACTGTAATAATGAATTGTCAACAGCCTAGATAATCTAGATAGAGATGAGAAAATTATGGATAAGAAAAATGAATGGAATTCTGGGTAAGACTCCAGAAAACTTAGAGAAGAACATAAAATATTACTGTTAATATCCCTATATCTGATAATTCCGGAATCAAAGTATATGAGATCATCATCGAAGCTTCCTTAAGAATTAATATAATTTCAAATATTTTAGATTTCCAAGGTGTCCTTAGCTTCGATTCGTTGCATCGGTATTTACTTTCTTGTTTTCGCTGTATTTCGCAGTGGTTGCCCGTCAAAAACCAGTTCCCTCGCTCCCCATCCTCGTCGATCTACCAATCGCGAGGTATTTGTTTGGCACGACATTTGCTCCTTGCCTTGAATAGTGTTGCGTTGTGGAGCTGTCCGGTGATGGCAGCCGCCTGCCTCCGACTCTGACTCTCACTCGGTCGGTGGCTGCTCTGGTGACGATGGCTATGACGTCGTCGTTGCAGATGTCTTCTCCGTCGCCTCGGGTCCCTGAGTCCGCTTCATGTCGTCACGCAAACTTTAATTCGTTCATTAATTCAGCCGGCAAACGGTTAGCCGGCTCGGTGGGCGTGGAAGTAGCTGGAAGTGTTAATTAGTTGTTAGTGTCTCCGCCTGGCCCCAAGAAGAATAGTATGTATTTAATGAGCGCCTTGGGAACCCCTAATGTCAATCGTGAGTGCTTCTGCTTAGTGCCTCGGCGCTCGGCTAACAGCTTATTAATCTCCTTGGTTAAAAAATACGTTCACTTCTTGCAAAGTATCAAATGAATTTGTCAAGTAGAATTTCTTTTATGTACTGGAAAAAATTACTTAAACTTACACCAAACCCCTTTTATCCTGATACTAATTTCGATATATCTTCAGTGTTTATAATTTGATGATTGCCTCAGAGTTGAGATATTTTTAGACGCAGTTCCAGCCAGTTGATTTCCATAATTGTGTAAATTGTTGGAGCAGGAGCTTTGATGTGTCGAATCTCCATTTCCCCTTTCGAGGCATTCCTTTTGGCCGCGCGAAGACCAGTCACAAATCAGTGGCCCAAGGCCTGAGTCGCAGAACCTTTGCAAATAAATTCTTGCAAGCAATTTTGACCCAAGTTCCCCCTGCGAAATTGAGCCCAGCTCGACCAGAGATGCGCAGGTGATGCGAGGTGAGGTCCAATCTCCGGGACTGGAGAGCCCGAAGGGGCGACCGACAACTTCACTCTACTCCAGCCTGCTTCTCTGGAGCTCCTCCCCTGCCGGCCGTTGTGGGTGTGCAGCTGTACGCTGTCAACTCGCTCGCTGATCCATGGAGCCCATGCGGAAATAGTGGCCAAGGGTGTGCAATTGCTTTGGCGATTGCATTTTCTTTATCGCATCCTGCACAAATTACAAAAATATTTCACGTTCCGCCAGGTTTGGCCATTCTCGTGTCCGTGGCTCTGTGAGGGGAAGGGAGGGCCTTGCCGGGTCACTTGCCCCATCGAACGTGTCCACATTTGTTCGAACACACAAAGCTCCATTGAGGAATTTCCCGGACCAAGTCCCGCGCTCTTTGACTTGCCGCGTGGGAGAGGTGCCTGGCTCGAATGGCTAGATAAATATGTGGTTGCCAATAGAAGATTTTCCCAAAGCAGGTTAGTTTAGGGGGACTAGGGGATCCACAATACTTGCAGATTGGGTTTAAGCAAAAAGAAAAGACTATTATTTTGAATGTTAGTGATAAATGTACTTTTCTATATCTTTCTTGTTTATTTTGTACTCGAAATTTTGAATTTCCATAGCTGCAGAACATATTTCTTTGGGGAAAATCAATCACAAGCATTCCCCTGATTAGCTATCATATATCTGGCTCTAAAACAGTTAAGATCCAAGATCAGGAAGCAGACAGAGGTCAGCTGGAGTACGCCAACTGACTGATGATGGCTCGAGCAACACCGAGTTTTGCAATTCATAAATATTAACACAGCTCGACGACTCAGGAAAAGATGCTGTGAAGTCCAGGCACGGCAGTCTCGTCTAATTGTTTGCTGCCTTTTATTGGCGAGTAATCCCAATGCCAATGCCAACGTGCAGCGATGGCGACGGCAAGTTTTTGTGGGCCAGCCCGCTGCGATCCTGATCTTGGCCAGGCCTTACTGGACTACACGTGCTGGCATCCACGTCAATGTTCGCAAGTGGGCTCTCCATGGCACCATCATGATATTGCGTAACCTGCACGCGACAAGAAATTTAACGCAATGCGAATAGATCGATGGATGGACAGTCGGGGCTAGAAAAATAGCTCTATGAAAGGAAGATGTATAACTAAAATGAATCTATAATAACATTGGGAGGTTTAAAATAATAATAAAGTACATTAAGAGCTAGAAACATTAGTTGAAAGTTGCCTAAGGTATGCGTTATACTTATTTATATCCGAAAAGAATAAGGTAGAGTTGTGAACCAGACTAAACTTATAGTCATATAATGATTTTTATACGAGCTACTTAAATAGAATAAAGTGCTTAAGACTCCATGAAATATAAGTATTCAAGATTTCCATCAGCAGAGAACCATCAATTTCTTTATTGAACCCATACTTGTGTTCTCCGTTTAGCATTTAAACCACAGCCACTCTCCTGTCCACATAATTGGTAAAACACTCACTTCGGTTATTCCTTAACTTGTGGGCTGAGCCATCGGATCCATTATTTTGACCACATCTGTGGCTGTGCGGCTTAGATGGATCGATTATGGGACTGGATGGATTGTCGGGCTTCAAATTGGCATTGTTGGAGTCGGACCTTGTTGGGGCTTAATGCAATTAAGATTCGATTAAAAGTCTTCACACGACGGCGATAGAGACTCTCGGGGACTCCCACATAAATTAGCACGGTATGTTGTGGTGCCTGCCGTCGAGTGTGCCATCGTTTTCCGCTTCCTTTTCCGCTTTTGGGTCGGATGGCCAGGCACACACAGCAATCCAGCAAAGCGAGACCAAGTACCTTCCGTTTTCCATTCGAGATTCGGATTCTTCTGGGAGCCAAGGCCTCGTCTCCGCACCCTTCTCCAGGCTCCTGGTCTTGTTCGTGACTGTTACCTCTTCTTTAGCTGCTGCTGGTTCTTTGTTTATGGCTGTGAAATTCGAAAATTGAATCTTGCGCAGGTTGAAGCCTTGACGGGGCCCCTCCATCGCAGCCTCTCGCGCCGCCAGCCCGAGCTATGCACACGTAATTATCCTTAAAGCCAGAAACGTGACGATATTTGCAATTTTCATACATTTAAGTTCCGTTGAAAATGTTCGGCAGGAATGCGAATGCGAATATTAATGCCGAATGTGACTCAAAGAGGATTCGAAACGTTCGCTGGATAAAGCTCTGAGCTTCTGACAGCTGGTTTTAAGGTTTTAATTGTAGCCTTGGGTGAATATTTGGAGATGGGAATCGGGGGATAGATACTTAGTGATTTTTAAGGCTTGCTAGCTCAGCCTTAATCTCAGGGTCATGTTATGCGCGTGGGCACCTCGTTGGCCGCCATACTGCTATAGAAAATGCAGCTCCATAAGGCAACATTTGTCAACAAATATTATAAAAAAACCACTCGGACGCAGGCATTATGATACCCATCTTCTTCCTAGAAAATGATTATTAATGTCTTGGGTCATTCGTATCACTAAGAGATGGTAAATGCTTTGCAACAATAGGACGAAGACAATTTGAGGAAAAAAGCGATGGATCCAACACATATGGCCAGAACAAATGCGATTACCGAATCAACAAGAGCAAAAACAACAACAACGAAAACTTCATTGAGTTTCGACTGCCTTCGTCTGTCGACTCGATTCGCAAAAATATTTCTCAATGTCTAACCCGAGGCCATGGTCAAGGAGTCCGCCAAGAGAGGAGAGACCAGACCTTTGAGGTAGAGTCGGTCCAACTACCACCTATTAATCAAAATCTCTTGATCTACACAAATCCCAACACACTGAGAGAAACCTGAGGGTAAACGAAGATCGTCCAAGGCAGCATCCCTAATTGGATTGCCAGTCGCTTTTTTGGAGTGTGGGCAAGCTCGAGGACAGCAGCCCCACCACGTTGATGGACGACCAGGACGCCAGCCTCCGACTTTGGCCACAAACAACCAGCTCCATTCCAGGCTACACTGATCAACCAAAAGCGTGTTTCTTTCATTTACAGCATCAATGTGGGTTATGGCTATAAACTTTCGGCCTTGACTTTTGTTACACCCATGAAAAGGGTAATAAAATGTTGCTTAGGAGTTTGTGCAACAAAAGAAGGACATTTTATTGACTAAATAAAAGTCGAAGCATGAAAATCATAACGCCTCCGTTTGCCTTTACACAGTGAACAATAAAAATAACAATAGTTTATAAGAAAAATAATATGAATTTCTGATAAAATTGTGTATTAAGTATTATATAGTATATACATTATTTTGACCTACTAGCTTCAAGTACACCAAATAAAACCGCAACAGACCTTGATCTCTCACTCATCCGACTGAATCCTGTTGGTGAGTGGAACCAATGAAGGCACTTGGCGGGGGCGGAGCTCGACCCTTGCCAGGAAACTCAGGGATCTCTGGGAAGCGGGGGAAGGAAACACGCGGTGAATCACAAAAGCGAGCCACGAAAGCACGATACGATGCCAGTTGTTGTCTGAGATGGAGCTAGTGCCCTTGGCTCTTTATTAAATTAAGTTAAATCATGTAATTTCCATGTAGCGAGTCAAAAGTGCAATTTCTATTCGCTGAGCATCGGGGCGGGAGTTATACTAAGGCTTACAGGAGAAGGGCATGATATCCTAGGCCTGTAATCATTTGCTGGCCTGGGAAGTTGCTTCGTCGATGCCTCCCAATTGATTGTAAATGTTTGCCCAGGCGGAGTTTTAAAGTATTTTCGATTTATAAGAAAGCTTTGAGTATACACTAATTTTTATGGATAAAATAAGTTGTTTATTTTACCAAAAGATAGTTACAAATATTAAGCTAAAGCAAATTTATATCTTTCCTTTAGCACTTTCCCCTCGAATTCAATAGACGGAAATGTGCACATCCAAATTTTTGCTTACTAATTAATTCATATCTCAGCGGTACGAATGCTGATTTGTTGAATTCGCTGCAAATGCAAATTACCCGCGGAACCCACACGTGGTGGGCAGGGAGAATCTCCAGTCAGTCTGGAGTGGAGCGACCGACCCACAGCGGCGTTTGTCTTCCACTCTGCAGATTGGAGTGGAAATTGTATATCGTACTCGTAGTTAGAATAAATAACTTTCCGTCGGGGGCCGCAGCTTTTGCCCAGGCATCCCAGGTAGCCCAGCGAACGGGTATAAGCCTTGGTCTCCTCTCCATTGCCATTCCCATCTCCATCTCCAGCTGCAGCTCCCGTCGCTCTCTGTCTCTCTGTGCCGGGCTGCATATTTATGAGATTTATTTCATTTTATGCGATGTCGCTACCTGATACTGATACGGCGGCCAGCTCCCCGCGCACATTTATTAGATGACATATTTTATTCATTCTGGAAGGCCGGGCCAGGCGATTAGCCATGTTTAGCCAGTCAAATTGTTGGCAACGAGATGGCTGCCGTTTTGGCTTCCTTCCTCTGGCTAAGCCGATTTATGGCCTTACATTTCCGGGACCGTGTAATCTGTCAGTGGCGGGAAAGTGGAGCGGAGCCGCTGCAGCCAATCAGCAGCCATAAATTGACAAAAAATCAAACTACTAGATTGCAGGCCCCGATGGGAATGGCCCTTTTCAGTCTTCGTACTTCCCATCTGCGAAGAAAAGCTTCTTTTCACATGTTGCGTAATCGCCATAATAAACCAGAAGTCACTCTGATATCTCTGATCTTCTCTCTCGTATTTACACAGAGAGAAAGGGTAATTTTCATTAGTTGGCTAAGTAAATAACCCTAACGAGGAGTTACTTGTTTTAAGTAGATTAAGTATGAGTTGCTTTCTCTGTCTTGAAAAAGATACTTTATGGAAAAATAACAACAGGATCAACTAGGATCGAGAAAGCATTACCTGAGAGCCATGTGCGATACCTTCTATGTGATACTGTGCCTGATAACCATGCTCATAATATGGATTGCTGTGCTTCATTTGGAGTACTTTTCTTAAAGAGGGGTGAAGCTACAAGTTCTACGGCCATATGTTACTTTTCAGCAAGTTTTGGTTATTTTAATCTCTGTAATTTCCCTCTAGTTCTTGTAAGTATAAAATTACTTGGAACATTTTTGGAAACAACTTCAATTGCTTATTAATTCACAGAGTTTTTTCTTGGAAATATACATATTTTGTAAACCATAAATAAACGGTCACCATGGGCAAAATCTACATTAAATCTTTTAATTATAACATTTATTTAAAGAGTGCTTATGCGCTATTTCTCAGAGTGTTCCCTCAATTCAAACACTGCCGCCCGCTGTGTTGACACTGAAAAATGCCGACGCCACCAGCGACTTGGACTCGGGTTTCTGTTGCCGATGGCAGCCACATGTGCTTCCACGCACGTCCAACATTTTATGACAATCATTTGAGTTAATTGCCAACAGCACAAGTCCACGGCAGACCACACCGGGCAGCACTGGCTGCGTGTGGCAATAAGACTAGGTTTCCTCTTGCAACATGTTGCATCGAACGCGACTGCAGTACCTGCTCCTGCACCAGCTCTCCAGCCGCACCTGTGCTGCTCCGTCTCCGGCTTCATCTTCAGACTGGGCTGAGCTGAGCTGGGCAGTAAAAGGCATTAGCGTCCGTGTCTGTCACCTTCGTCATGGTCACGCTAATCGTGGTAATCGACTGCGCCAATAAACTGACAGGTTTATGGAGCCGCAGATGCGGAAGCCCCGCGCAGACGCACCTGATTTAAAAGCAATTAAAATGCGAATTGATGTCGCGATTGATTTCGCCTCCAGCTCAGCCCGTCTTAGCCATCGCAATCCGAATTCTCCAACTCGATCTTAGGTGTATCCACTTTCACTAGATCGCAAAATGCGCTGGCAGTGCATCCTGTGGAAAATTAATTAGGAAATGGGGATATGTTGGGGGATTGGGAAGTTCTTAAAGCCCTTCCTATTGGAGTTACTTGATATTAAAAGCTGATTATATTAAGCAGGCATATATAATATTTATAAGGTTGGGTAAGCTACCATTATCCTGCTGGTTTGAAATCTATATAAAATATTATCTTGCCATTCCAGTATTTGGCCAGTTAGTGGGTCCAGCAGGATGAGTCTGATATGTTGCTGCCGGATCAGACGTACGCCGACTACGATGTGGGCCACTCCCAGCTGCTGAGCTACCGCAAGAGCCGGAGTCGCAGCCTAAAGGCCCAACTTCAGCGATCCAAGAGCTCTGATGCCAGCAGCAGCAGCTACGAGCGAACAGCCGACTTCTTTGAGAATATACCCGACTTTCTCGGTGATTCCATCCCAGCTTTCTTGTTCAGTCCCCAGGAGCAGCAGGATGTCCAGCCCAAGGAGCGGGTGTTACAGAAGGGCAGGCAGAAGAAGGAGGAGCAGAAGCAAGAGGAGCACGAGGAGAGCGAAAGCACCAGTCGGAGCGATAACTGTGAGGACACCGAAGTCTTGCGCCTGTGCGAGGACTTTCTATGTCGCCATCGGATGCGTCCCGACTTCTTCTGTCAGTATCACAAGGCCGTCAGGTAATGTCAATGTTTTCAGTTAATGTTATTGTAATTCTTAGCCACAGAAGAAGCTTGCTGACCCTATAGATCCTCGGGGGCACTGCGAAATCAGCTTGCTTTAATTTATTATGCTAGTTTTATTTAAAAGTATAGATTTCATAGCAAAATTGTTAATATAGTTCTGTTACTTTGTACTTAGTTCAAGCACATCTTCACCACATCAAAGGAAAGCTTCACCCGCCGTTGTCGACTCCACACCCGCGTCCGGAGCAGCTGAAGTGGAGGTGAAGCCATCTAAGGAGCCCAAGGCCAAGGGAATAAGTGCTGTGGTGCAGAGGTTTACCAAGTTCTCGGCCATTTACACGCTGCCGGTGCCCAAGCGGAAGAAGACGTGCCACAAAACCACGGGAAACATAACTGGTAGGTGCACGAAGAAAAAAACAATTTTAATATATTTTCAACTCTGATTTTTTCTGGATTTTCGAGTCAAATCTAAGGGTTTTCATTTAAAATTTACTAATGAATTTGTAGTACACAAATATTATTATCAAAAATATATATTAATAATATTATCAAGAATATAAAGCGTTAAATTTGACATCTTTTTACACGTTTATATAGATTTTACACGGCTTAAAGTAATTTACTTTGGCTGTTACTTGACAATATAATCATAACGTGTACGCGACCACTGAAAGTTAGGATAGGTAAGGCTTCACAGCCTTATTCCGCCTCCCATGCCATTTTCTAAGACTGAAAATTATTGAGGTGGATACGCAGTTCTGGAGGCTTCAGTATAACTGTGTTTTTTCTAAAAAAGTTTCGGGGAAACCTTTAAAAAATAATAATTAAGCCTGATTAATTTTTTTACATAGCTTTCAAAGCGGGTTTAATCAAAGTCTCTAACCTTTCTATACCAGTTTATGTCAGTTTATCACACTGTTCCACACAAGTTGCAATGTTCCTTTAAAATAAATTATAAAAAAATGTATATTTCATTAGAATTGGGAAAAAATTATGTTTGACAAATAATAATAAAAATTAAAAAATACAATAATTAGAAAACAATAACCAATTTAATAAATATTATGTTAAAAATATAAAGAAATGTCCATTTTCAAACCTAAAGCATGAAAAACAAAGAAAACCATATTGTCAATAAAAAAGCTGATCAAAACTATGCCTAATTCGTACAAAAAATGGCTGTTGGGAAGATATAACATACCGTAGCATACTTTTGGCCACAATTCAATTGCATTTCGGCCCTGATCTACTGCCTGTCACCTTGTTGCAGCTCTTGCAAACTGCAACAAAGCATTGTTGCCGCTGTGGGAAATGTGACATGCAGCATGCACAACAAACAGCAAACAACAAACAATAAACAATAAACAATCGGCACTAATTAACACGCGACCAGCAAAGAGAAGAAAGAGAGAGAGACGAGCGGCAAACGACGGAGACAAACACTTGACCTCATATTTGAGCAACTGCGGCGGCGCGACGATGGTCCCGTGGTACCAGTGAGTAGCCAGCCCAGCAGCGGCAGAGCCTTTTACCTGGCGGAAAACCTACCTGCGCAGCTGCGGAGAGCCAGAGCGACCGAGAGCGAGAGCGGCCAGAAGATCAAGCGGAGCGGGAGCTTCCAGAGACCACCTTTCCAGCAGAAGCCATCAGTCTGCGTCTGGAGTTTCAAACGATCGCATCGGTGCTCGCGTTGCTCTGACGTCGTCGCCTTGGGAGCAATTCGATTGTGGAGTGAATAAAAAAAAAGAAACCCAATTAAGTTTATAATTAATCGCGCCAAGAGGTCACCGGTCGGCCAAAGCGAAAAAGTTCAAAGAGCCAGCAGCGAATCAATCTAGACACTGCTGCCTGCCCCCAAACTGTGTGGTACAAATACGGGTGCCTTCGAGGTGTACGAGAGGTATCTAAGCGCAGGTCTACACTGCGGACCTGGAGCTGGAGTTAAAGTTGGAAACTCGTTTTTCAAAAACGAGCGACCGAAAACGACGAAAAAAGTCTGCACAAAACGAGAAAATAAGCGCGCCCGCGAAGAAAACAAGCGAGAGGAGCGAAAAAAAAAGCACAACAATAATCAGAAATAAGAAATAAGAAAAGCAAGAGGAGGAGGAGGAGGAGGGAGAGCGGAGGATCCAGAACCCAAAGTATCTGGCGGATGCCGAGGAGAGCCGCCGGCCAGGCCAAGGCTCGCTGAGATTTGGTGTGCTCGCCCTTCTGCATTCTTTTTGCTTGTTTGCTTATTTTTTTTGTATTATTTTTTTCTTTGTATTTCGTGTGCCGTGCGGCCGCTTCACTTGTTGCAGCTGCATGTAGCTATAGATATTCGGGTACGGGTACGGGTTCGCGTTCGGGTTCGGTTTGTATGCCATAGATACAGATACAGATACAGAGCCTGTGCGGAAAACTAAAAACCTGTTCCCCCCAGTGCGTGTGTGCGCGAGTGTGAGTGTCAGTTGTGTGTGGTTGAGTGAGAGCCTGCTCACGGACACCGACACGGAGACGGATACGGCGGATACGGGATTATTCAAATAAGAAAACTACTCAAGTCGTTGTGGTCGCAAGGGGGCCTCACAAATGTACAACAACGATGGCCACATTGGGCCTGTCAAAAGTCTTCATACTGGATAAATACTTTACCGAATTGCAAAAATTTTGGGAGACGGAGAAGAAGCTGCAGGGTAAGTGAGACATTATCCCCAGGAATTTGGACGGGTTTTCTGTGACTCGCGACTGGCGAGTGCAAGAACTTCGTTGCTTAAGTCTTTTGATTTGGTTTGGTAGGGTAGGGCAGACATTCGACTGCAGCACAACATTATTTGTTTTTTATTTAAGTTTTAAGTACAAAATCATTTAAATAAATAAGAAAAATTCAACCACAATTCATTTAGCAGCTTAAATTACTTTGATGTAACTTATTTATTTTGAAGAAGAGAAGTCTCCGCCAGCAGTTGATTGGTTCTTGACTTGTCATTACCATAAGAAGCTGTGGCTCTGTGTATTTCAATCAACCTCCTAGCGCATTCATATTCATAACCATCCACAACAACTACAGTCCGAATATGCTTATATGGATACCTTGATCTTACACTCAAAAAATATTATATTATTTATATTTCCCATAAAGATAAAGATAAATTCATAAATAATTATGAAAGAATATTACTTGAATGTTATTCTTAAATAATTGTTCATGTTTAAAAAAGACTAAGACTAAGAATTAAATTTATATTGTCACAAAAATGTTAACCAAGTTGAGGGCAACATTTATTACTGTGTAGCTCTGGGCGCTTTTTGGTGTATGGGTGCCGCATGCCCCCGACTTGCAACATTTGGTTTGAGCTGCTCCCTCTGCGCTCTGCTCTCCCTCGGAACCCACATCGAACTGCGATGGAGACTGAGACGGAGACGTCTGGACACCAGGACGGATAACCTGAGCTTGGTGCGACGCCGACCAGTTTTTGGGCCGACTTCGTTACTCAGCTTCCAAGAAATGTTTTCTTTCCCCGCCGACTTTTTCGACATGCAAAAGCTATAGGATACTGCGAGTAAGGTAGCCAATAGCGAAACGATGACGAATTACTCACAAATGTTACAAATTAAATTTAATGATTTACCACGGGCCCCATAAAACTTTGATTTCCAATCACTAAACGGGGAAAAGGTCCGTCGCAGCGTCATAAAAACAAAAACCAAAGTCTTTAAAAAGATTTCAAAATACCTGCATGACTTGGATGGCAGTCTTTTCTGTACCCTTTTCCGTGGCTTTTGTCTTACATTTCTTGAGTGCAGCTGTAGGCAGCTCGAGAAACAACAAATCGAAGAAAAAGACCGAATCTAAAACTGGTTTCCTCCGCCAGAGCTAAAGCCATCAATGATATGCTTTTCTGTATATTGTCGAATCTGATTTTGTTGTAAGCTCCTCCGTGCCGTTGCCTCTCTGTTTTGGTTCGGAGAGAAACAGGCCTGTGGAAGGGCCATTTTCCCCCCAGCTTTTCATCGGCTAATTAGTTTGATTTTTGTTGAATGGTCTATGAAAATTGGTGAACAGCCAAGTCGGAGCTTTGGTTTGCCTGAGGTCGTCTCTGGCTTTGGCTGGGTTGTAACAATGACCCCTCGGCCTGTTTTGAAAGTTTCCATAAATCAGCCGGAGCGTGATCGTTTGTTCTTGAATCTCTTGTTTAAGCTGCCGCCAATTTTGTGTGTTTTCTGTTGTGTTTCATCTTAGCGCATTCTGTGTCTCCATTTTTCTCCGCTCTGGCGAAATTGGTTCATTAACATTTTATGTAAATCTACCCCATCCATATCTATTAAAATATCTTTAGATGCTCGGTCGGCACAAGCCTCTGCGGCCCGACTCGCGTGCAAAAAGCTCCGTCAGTCCAATCGAAATTAATTGGTGTGAATTTGATTTTCACTGTATTGAGTTGTTAATTGCCAATGCGAAAATTCCTCTTTGCCAAAAAGACTGAGGATATTTGAAAGAGTCACAAAACATTGGCCGAATTGTTAAGAAACTATGAAAAAGTTCGATCTTTTGCAAATATTTAAGATAAAGCAAAAGCCATTTATGTTTTTCTGCCAAGCAACAAAAGTGAACTCAACTTGCTTTTATTTAAATTTAATAAAATATTAATATTAAATGAAAACAGAACTGGAAGCGACTAAAAGTCATCTGTCGTCCGCTGTCAAAAGTAAACTTTTTTAGTTAGAAAAGCCTACTGAATGAAAGCCTTTAAACTAAAAAATCTTGATTTTGTACTCCATTTACTCATTGATTTGGTTGTCAATGTCTGGTCACTTTATACAAACTTGTCCTACAGTAAACCGGAAAGAACACTGCCAAAGTTAAAAGTTTACTTGTTACCATTGCTCCAACATGTTGGAAATGATTAACGAACCCATTCCCGAGGTGGACATGCTCAGTGTGTCCAAAAATGCAGAGGTGCAGCGCCGCGCCATCTTGGGCTTTGCTCCCCGAATCGGCTTGACCACCGTGGACTACGGTGAGCTCGACAGGATCGACGACTTCTATCTAGAGTGCCAGAAGTACCGCGACTTCTACCGTGATCCTCACAACAAACTGCACAAGCCGCCGCGCTTCCGCCTTCACCAAGGAAAATGTGCCATCAAGCTGGACCACAGCGTCGAGGAGCTGACCCGGCCTATCCTATGGACCACGGAGAAGCAGCCAGTAGTCTATCCCTTGTCGGGGGACACTTCCATGAATCTGGGCATACCAATTCCGCCCATGATAAGAGGGACCTACGACAGGTCGAGCTCCATAGCCTTCAAGCGGTAGACAGGAGAGCTGAAGGCTCGTTTCCCTTAAGTCCCTTGGTCGTTTCCCTTAAGTCCCTTGGGCCAGTTATCAGAGTGCTCAGCAACTAAGCACTTTGCGTTCTAAATTATTATGTAATCTTGTGATTAAAGATATAATTCTTTTATATCAGAAATTTGTTTGGTTTAAAATAGATGTTAAAATTGCAATATAAGGGTTTTAATGTGATTGGTGATGTAAAACCATCAATAGTCGTCAGAAAAGTAATGATTCTACAAATTTTGGTAGCATCGGTTCATAGAATAGAAACTGGTGCCGAGCTTACCAAATGTCACAAATCAGTGGTTGTTATACTGAACGTAACCAATAGGAATAAAGATGATTCTTTACTTATATATTATTAATTATAATCAACTTTTCTACGTTTCCCTGATCTTTCAGATGCATCTTCATCCAACGAGGCGGTTCACCTGCAGCAGCGTCTCAAGAGCCTGAGCACTGAGCTGGTGACCCTCCGAAATCGACTGCACGTTGGCCCAGGCCAAGGTCAGGGTCAAGGACAGAGTCCGGGCCATAATCAGGGCCAGGGCCATGGATCACAATCCCATAGTTCCCCCGGCGGCACCAACTCATGTCCAAAGGCGAGTAACTTTGACCTGAATGCCTCCAGCCCCAACCTGAATCTTAGCTCCAGCGGAGGTGGAGGAGGAGGAGGACTCTCAGCCAGCGCCCTGCAGCAGCACACAAATGGACAGCACGCAAAGGTGAGTTGAATATTTATATCTATAAATGGTTGACAATATATACATTTTTAAAAAATGTAATTTATCATAGGGCATCTTTATCTTTAATACATTTTGTGTAACTTGATAGACCTCCACATATCTTTATTTTTTGTTCCCAATTTTATCATGGAGATTTCCTTTTTTTATCCCTCAAATAGAATCACAACTTCAGCCAGACGCTGCCATCGAACTCTGGCTCCGGGGCAGGTGGCGGAGCTGTGGTATCGGCCAGGAACACCTCCATTCCGCACCCACTTCCGCATCAGCTGGGCGACAAGTCTGGCCTGTCGCACCAGCAGAGTGGCAACGGACGTGGCCCGTCCTCCGGGACCCTGCCCCACGGGAGCAGCATGGGAAACATCATGGGGCTGAGTTCCCATGCCCATTCCCACTCTCAAACACAGGCCACTGCCCACTCCAACTCCAATTCCAACACGCTGCCCATGCGCTCCTCAAACACCGGACACCTGAGTGCCACCAATGGCGGGATTGGCCAGCACGCCCTCAGCCATGCGCACAGCCAGCAGCTGCCGTTCATTCCGCAGCCGAAGCACGCCAATCCCTGCCAGAGTGTGAAGACGCTGCCCTTTGGCTTTGGGTTCTCTGGCGGCCAACAGAGGCTTCAGCAGCCGACCAATCCCCCGCCCAAGGACATGCAGGACCTGATTCATCTGACAGGGCCGCTCACTGAGCACGCCGTGATGCGGACGCTGCAGGCGCGCTTCAACGAGCAGCGCTACTTTGTGAGTATGGAAAAGATTTCTGGAGTCACTAGACTCGCTGCAAACCGGTTCCAGAGACACTCGGAGCAATTATTCTGATAGTTTGTCATTAAAAGCCAACTCGGTTTGCACCCGGCCGCAGATTAACAGCTAATTTCGACAATTACTCAGTGTGTGCGCCCCTCTGGCGAAAGCAAAGGAAGTGTATGTTTGCTGGTGATCTGGCTGGTCCAAGGGAACGGCAACTGAAGCCACGGATGGGGTGTGATCACATGTAACTGGTGGGGCTCCAGGCCTTTATTTGTTGTGCCTCCGCTCCAGATTATACAGTGCAAAACGGAGCGGAAAATTGATTAAATTTAAATGTGCTGCCACTGCACCGTTTTTTCCTCTCTTCAAATTATTATAATTAAATAATTTATGCGGCTATTAAGCTTAAATAAACATATAATAGTCTTTAATTAGAGCAGTGTTGTCTTTTTATAAAGTTTCAAATATATTATTTGAGATTTATTTATCTTGTCTTTATTTAAAAAATGAGCTTCCAGAAATTGTAATTATATTTATTTTAAACAAGTCTTTCTACCAAAACAGCGTCTTAAAGTTTGATAAAAATTAAATTTGGGAAGCATTTTTGTATAAATATAAAGTATAAAGTGAAAGAGATTGAATGAATTTTCACTAAAAAACTCAAGTTTCAGGGGTTTTGCTTTATCTATCCAATTTAACCCGAGAAAACAAAGACCCCTGAAGTTCGCTCCAAGTTCTCCAAGTGATTTTATCTTTCATAAGATGAGGCTTTCTCTGGAACTGGCCAAAAGTACACCGAAATTCTTGACTCATCACCTTTATTAATGCCCTCACATTCATCTTATTAAATATTATTTCACTTTTCAGACTAACGTTGGTCCGATTCTGCTCTCCATTAATCCCTACCTGGATGTGGGAAACCCCCTTACTCTCACATCCACCCGGGCTCTGCCGCTGGCCCCCCAGCTCCAGAAGATCGTCCAGGAGGCAGTGCGTCAGCAGAGCGAAACGGGCTATCCGCAGGCCATCATCCTCTCGGGCACTTCGGGAGCTGGGAAAACGGCCAATGCAATGCTCATGCTGCGCCAGCTGTTTGCCATCGCGGGCGGAGGACCAGAGACGGATGCCTTCAAGCATTTGGCCGCTGCTTTTACGGTGCTGCGATCCCTAGGCTCTGCCAAGACCACCACCAACTCGGAGTCCAGTCGCATTGGGCAGTTCATCGAAGTGCAGGTGACTGACGGAGCACTGTACCGCACCAAAATCCACTGCTACTTCCTCGACCAGACGCGCGTCATCCGGCCGCTGCCCAAGGAGAAGAACTACCACATATTCTATCAGATGCTGGCCGGGCTGAATCGGGAGGAGCGCCAGAAACTCCATCTGGAGGGATATTCGCCGGCCAATCTGCGGTACCTGCGCGGCGATTCTGCCCAGAACGAGCAGGAGGATGCGGTCCGCTTCCAGGCGTGGAAGACCTGTCTGGGCATCCTGGGCATTCCCTTTCTGGATGTGGTGCGAGTCCTGGCCGCTGTTCTGCTGCTGGGAAATGTTCAGTTCATCGATAGCGGGGTGAGTAGGGGAATTGTTCTTAGTTTCTAGTTAAGTAAATGCAAGAATATGAAAATTATGCTTTAAAGCCGGCGGTTTCGTCCGATCGTTCCTGTTTTTCTTTTTGTATTTTAATTATTTTTTAACGGATGAGCACTGCTTGAGCACCAATTGGACCAAGCAGTTTCCAATTGGACTTGTCGGTTAAGCAGTGCATATAAGCAGTGTGTTTAAGCAGTACCTATCTTTAGACAGCATCTCCGCTGATGCCGCCTTGGTGTAAGGGCTAGAGTGTGGGTTTCCCAAACCGCTCAACGCGTGTTCGAATCTCGCTCCAGCCTTGTGCTAAAAGATTTCTTGCGCTGATGGAATGTATTTATTTACATCGTCTAGTGGTAATTTACGTCTGAAAAGAACCGTGTTTGATGTTTTTAATTCTGAGCGAGAAATATTTTGCCTTTTGGTGATCCTAATTAATTATTCTTCCTTCTTTCAGGGCCTGGAGGTTGACGTAAAGGGAGAGACGGAGCTAAACTCTGTGTCCAGTTTGCTGGGCGTTCCACCTGCCGCTCTCTTTCGCGGCCTCACCACCCGCACCCACAATGTGCGTGGCCAGCTGGTCAAGTCCGTCTGCGGCGATGGGGATGCCAACATGACGCGCGACTGCCTAGCGAAGGCTCTGTACTGCCGCACGGTGGCCACCATAGTGCGCAGGGCCAACAGCCTGAAGAGGCTGGGATCCACGTTGGGCACCTTGAGCTCGGACTCCAACGAGTCGGTGCACAACCAGGCGGATGCTGCCTCGCAGCACGCCTCCACGATTGGCGGGGGAAACGCAGGCTCCAAGTCGATGGCTGCCCTCAACAATGCGGTGCGTCATGCCACCGACGGCTTCATTGGGATCCTGGACATGTTCGGGTTCGAAGAGCCCTCGCCGCACGCCCACCTGGAGCATCTGTGCATCAACCTGTGCGCCGAGACCATGCAGCACTTTTACAACACACACATCTTCAAGTCCTCGGTGGAGTCCTGCCGGGACGAGGGCATCGTGTGCGACACCGAAGTGGACTATGTGGACAATGTGCCCTGCATCGATCTGATTTCGTCCCTGCGAACAGGTCTGCTCAGCATGCTGGACGCGGAGTGCTCGGTGCGAGGCACCGCCGAGAGCTACGTGGCCAAGTTGAAGGTGCAACACCGCTGCTCCAGCCGCTTGGAGACAAAGCCCACCGCCGAACCGCACGACCCGCGCATGTTCCTCATCCGTCACTTTGCCGGCCGCGTGGAGTATGACACCACGGATTTCCTGGACACGAATCGCGACGTGGTGCCGGACGATCTGGTGGCGGTGTTCTACAAGCATACCTGCAACTTTGGCTTTGCCACCCATCTCTTTGGCTCGGAGCTGAAGGCTCTGTATGCCCAGCAGCAGGCGCCGCGAGGGCTGAGTTTCCGCATCTCGCCCACCTCCCACTCGGATCTGCTGAACGGTGACGAGCCGGTTTCCACGCTGACCCAGGACTTCCACACCAGGCTGGACAACCTGCTCAGGACCTTGGTGCATGCTAGGCCGCACTTTGTGCGCTGCATTCGGAGCAACGGATCCGAGGCGGCCGGCAGCTTTGACCGGGCCACCGTGGTGCGTCAGATTCGGTCCCTGCAGGTCCTGGAAACGGTCAACTTGATGGCCAGTGGTTTTCCCCATCGCATGCGGTTCAAACAATTCAACGCCCGCTACCGGATGCTGGCTCCATTCCGTTCCCTGCGGCGCAGCGAAGACAAGGCCTTGGAGGACTGCCAGCTGATCCTGCAGTATGCCATGGAGCAGCCCCCTGTGCTGGACGGATCGGTGACTCTGGCCTGGGCTCCCGGCAAGCGGCATGTCTTCCTCAGCGAAGGCATTCGCCAGCACCTGGAGCATCTGCGCACGGAGATCCGACACAAGAGCGCCACCCTGATGCAGGCCACCTGGCGGGGTTGGTGGTGGCGCAAGAAGGTCGGCAGTGGTAGCCTCAAGCGTATCCGGGCCAGTCACCATCAGCCACAGCCGACAGCCAGTGTTCCTCTGGTGGGTAACAAGACTGGCAATGGCCACACCTCCACATCTCAGAGCAAGGCGGCATCATCCACAATGGCCGCCCTGGCAGCAGTCGCAGCCTCCGCTCCCACGACAGGTGAGAGGAACTCCCTTTAATACATTTTTCATCTAAAAACAAATTATCTTTCCCACACAGTCCCTCGCTTATCGGCCAAATCCACGAACCTGGGGATCGGCGGTACTGTAACCAGGCCCAGGCCACAGCCCATTGCAGGGACTCCTCCGCCAGATCCTCATGAGAAGTGCGACCAAAAGATCATACAACAGACCTGCAGTCTTTTCGGACTTGATTTGGTAACTGAAAAATAGGAATTTTGGTGTTATTAACTATTACTAACGTAATTTATATTCAACAGGAACGACCACCGCCGGTGCCCGCCTCCCGTTCCTACACGATAAGCGGTAACTCCAAGCTGGGTTATCCGCAGAGTCGCGTCATGAAGATGAACTTTCCCGAGGAATCAGGCCAGGCGGAGGCGCAGCAGCTGAAGAAGGGCGAGGCGGTGACCGTGGTGGGGGCATCTACCGGTCGGGGTCACTTGCTGGTGGAGCACAGGGGCCAAAGCTACCACGTGCCCTTCCAGTACATGGAGCTGATGAGTTCCGGCAGTACCAATGGCAGTACAGTTCCCACAGCGCTTCCGACGGGCCAGGGAACTGGCGTTAAGATTTGAAGATGATCCAGGCGGATGCCAATCCCTTTTGCTCCAAGACTGTATATACATATATCCCATCACAAACGCATGCAAGCCAGATTTACGTAGTATTATTCATGTGTTTAAAATATAAACGCCAATCCATAGGTTGTAATACAAATACACACTCACAAGTGCCAATCCAATAAGTTCTTCCATCTAAATCGTAAGAATTTTATACGTTACTGAGACTATTCTATATAAACTGGGTAATTTCAAATGCTCCGCGAAATTATCCACTAAACGTAGAACAAGGAAAAGTGTGCCTTGTAGACATAATACTTTTCAGAATCACATAATGTACTTTGTTGTCCTAAGGGTTCATTACTTCATTCAAATAAACGAGCATGCATTGAAAAGTTCAAATATTACTGTTTTATTTATTTTTTATTTTTTTAACTTTATTAAGTAGTTGGTTCAAAGTTTTTGCAATTGCTGGATAGATTAAGTCTAGAAAAGCACCTGCATATTTTTTTAATATATTTTCTATTTTTAGTATTAATACAAGTTTTAAAAAACCTCTAAGCTTTTCCCTAAAAATTCTTCCCCCCTAAAATTCCCCCTAGGACGGGGAAAACCCCTAACCAGGAAATCATGCGCGGTCGATAACAATATCGAGTGTACAGTCTCTTATCGATATTTACATGTGATAGTTTTTTAGTGTTACCTTATTATTTATTTATTTCTTTGTTTATTATTTACACTCAAAAATGGAGAAAATTAATGAAGACCTGTGGCTTAAAATCCTCCAGTTTCTGCCCATGATCGACCAGATATCTTTGGCCCAGGTGAACGACAGTATCCGGGAATACGTGAAGTACTACTGGCGGCTCAGCAAGTCGGTCACGCTGACCGGCGATGTCATGGAGCTCTTCGGTGCCCACGAGCCGCTGATGCTGGAGGGACTGGAGTGCTGGTCGGGTTCGGTGAAGAGCCTGAAGATTAGCAGGGGTAGCATGGAGCTGCTGAAGAAGTGGACTCCATACAGCTTTCCGCAGCTGCGGACGCTCGCCTGCGAAATGGACTACAATCTGGAGGAGGCGGACGATGAGACACTGCTCCTAACAAACCTGTTCCCGCTATTGACACGCCTAACGCTCACCAGCAGCACCACCGGCTGCCACTTGTGGCGCTGGAAGCTGCTGAAGGAGCTGCATCTGATCTGGTGCGAGTACCTGGACACGGACACCTTCAAGGAGATCTTCAGCACGCTGCAGCTAACGAAGCTAACACTGCTTTACTACGGCTACAATGTCACTTTGGGCGAGGATGTGCTGGAAGCCGCCCGGTGTTCCACGCTAGAGGAGCTCCAGATCGATGATCACCACCTGCTGGGCGACTTTCTGCCCCAGCTGCTGCGACTGCCCAACTTCCGGCGCCTCTCCTTCTACACGCGCGACTACTACGAGTACCTGCTGGATTCGATAGCCAAGATCCAGCCGCTCAAGGTGCGTTCGCTGCTCTTCCACGACTCCTACTGGAGCAGTGAGCTGGTCACGGACGCCATCGAAGTAATGAGGAATCTGCGCAGGCTGGTACTGCAGGACGACGACATCGAATCGCAGCTGCTGCACACCATCTGCCACAAGCTGCCGCATCTGGAAGAGCTGCATCTACTGAAGATGCGCGACCTACCCTCGCCCGTTCAGCTGTGGAAGATGGTAGGTGCCTGCCCCACGCTCAGGATTCTTAACCTGTCGTCCACAAAGTTGTGCTATCAGATGGTCCAGCCCAGTACAACCATGGCCAAAGTTCTGCTACATCGCAATGCTCCGCTGACTCTGCATCTCCACGACACTGGCTTGGACCCCCAAAGGGTAGGTTTTAACTATTAACTTTTTAAATAGTTTCTAATATCTATATATTTTTTAGGTCCTACCTGACCTTGAGCATCCCAACTTAAAAATCTCATTCGAGCCCATTGAGCTGAATATTTGGAGCTCGCGTTTTGTTGAAATTGAATTCAATCCTGACTCGTAAAAATATATGGCCTTCTCTTCTGTTTAAAATGTAAATTTCTGTCATACTTGCAAAGTATTAGCCTTATCAAAAACCTAAATACTGTGTTTTTGTCTAATTTTGTATATACTTTTCGAATAAAATTAGTTACTAAAACTAAAATTAAATATAAATACTTATGCGTTTTAACATTAATAATAAATAATAAGGTGTCGCGTAAAGCTAAAGTCTTTATGTGGTTTGTGATACAATATTAATAATAATTTTATAAAACCATACATGTTGCCTTATCTTCCGAGTTTAGCTCTTAAGTATTCTACTAATTCTCAGCTCTTTCATAACCTAATTTCGATTTAATGTTTAATCTTTCCATCAAAAAGGCTTCAATGGAATTTACTACCAATTTTATTGTTCCTCGAAGTCCACTTACTAGCCAAAGCCATGCATAAATCAGCCGGTTCTAATTCACTTCTAAATAAATAAATTCAATTGCATTGCTGCTTTATGGGTTTGCTAGATGTCTTATGCGTTTGCAGCTCCCCAAAGGATACATTTTATGAGCACAGGATAGAAGATGGATGGAGTAAATGGCTCACAACCACCTGGGCAGACACAAACCACAACTGTTGAATTCGAGTGTAATTAAATACTTAATCCTTCTCTGAAATTCACATAAAGAATTGAGCTCGACAAGCGTTGACGATGTTTCTCAAAATGTAGAATTTTATTTGTTCGTGCCCGACTCACGGTAAATGTTTATGTATGCAGCTTTTCCATAGACATAATAATTATTAAATATATATGCAAGTAGACTTCTATAGATATACATATATATATATACGGCTATATATATTTGTATCGCTTTGTGGTTGTACGTGTTTCAATAATTTATATTTACAATAATTTACGACCTGTGGGAGGACCTTGATCTTGACTATTGAGTTAACAAAAAAATAAACTTAAAGTTTCGCTGGGTATTTTCCTTGGCTTCATTGGGGGCCAAAACGTTTTCCATATATGCATGTAACGTGTGTCAGTGTATATAGTTTTCGTGTTTATGTAAGACATACCTAGTTAAAGATTTTTTGCGCGATTTTGCTTACACTTGAATATATATATATATTTTTGGTTATTTATTTCTTGCATTTTTTAACGACTAAGACGAGCGATTCAAAGAATTTTCAAGAGACAGAGGGTAATCTGGGTTTGAAATGGGCATTAAACGGGGTTCAACATTATCTTTAGGAGCAACAGTTTAACTTGTTTATTTCGGTGTTCGCCTTGGTTATTCGTATAGCTTGATATCTGGTAAATAATTATTATTATTATTCCATAATACTGCAAAAAACACTTGTGCGGAAATGTATGTCGCGATGAATACATGAGGTCAGATTCATAATAAATATTTATATGTATGTACAATGCATAACAAACAATCCAACATAATGCAAATGAGAGAGAGCTCTATAGAAGACACAAAGTATGGGCCAAGTTTGAGTTTTGGGAAGTGGAAACTCGTCCTCTACGTCCGCAGGACTCGTTCAGCCAGAGTTAGCGCCTTAGACATCGGTCTCAGAGCGTCGCCTTCGTCCGGGTCCGCCGGGAAAGTTTGCCGCAGCCAGGCCCATGCGATGCTTCGCCTCCTGGGTACCCGAATAACCGCGGGCCAAGCCAAAGTCCACGGTTCGCTTAGAGCTGTGAAGGGAGAGAGAAAGCATTGAAAGTATTCTACAATCTACCATATATTGTGAAGGAGTTTTTATACCATGCAGTTCCCACAGTAACTAAAATTATTAACTATTATTTAAGACTTACTTCTCCAGATCGTTGCGTGCCCTTATTATGGTGCGTCCAAAGCGAGTCATCAGCTCCATCAGTAGCTCGTCGGGCACCTCTTCCAGCTCGTTGTAGCCGCCGCCGTAGCCTCCGCCATTGGATTGGCTATTTAGGGAGTCAGCGGAATGGAAAATTAGTGTTTGCTTCTTTTGTATATTTGCCGGATCCGGATAAACAGGATGTCTAATTACTTTGGCTCTGTTAAATTTGACATTTGGCTGGTTTAAAACTTTCATTTGCATGGAAACCCAATTATTTGCTAATGCCCAAATGTTGAGGGCATTTTCCATTCGAGCAATTGCTAATTAGTTCTGCAAGGCAAATGAATTTTTAATGGCTGCCTCAACGGGAAATTGAGTTTCGGGCTTTCCCGAAATGTTATAACAAAAGGTCTTGCTTTAATATGTGCAGAAAGAAAAAGTCTAAGTACTTCTACTGAAGTGTGTGGCCGAGAAAGCCTCAAATTTTGCTGGCACACTTTTTCGTCAACGTTTACATTTTATTAATTAAAAATTTCCCTCGCCCGGCAGCCAAGACTTCAAATGGGTGGAAAAAGACGCTGACACTCGAAAGTGTGAAAACGATGATGTGAACGAAACGTATATATATATATTCCCATATCCTATATGGCAAGCATTTGCTCTAAACCAACTGCAACTGCTGGTGGGGCACTCCAGAGAGGTAATTGCTTTTGGGCAAATATTTTTCTACCAAAATGTTCGGTTTTCGCATGCAAAGTGTCAAAAATTAATTAGGTTATGAGTCTCTCTGTACCAAATCCGTAAGGATCTGTGGATATGGGTGTGGGCTACTGTGGAATAGAGAAGGTACAACTACCTGGGCATGGGTGCTGCCTCAATGCTCGAAATGGCCAGGAAACAGAAGAGCAGGAAGGCCAAGGCGAAGCAAGCACATCGGTTTGTCATCATTGTGCGGCTGTCTCCTGTAAGAGTTAAAAATTCAGCTAGGTAAATTCCTAAATAATGTTTATATATTTGTTTTAAAATGTTTCCAACATGTTAAAAAAGAATTAGTAGAAAATACCCAAACAATCTAAGAAAATATTTTTAAAAATGCTTTCTTTATATTAATGTACACTATAGAAAGTTCCCTTTCCCATTTGGCAAGTCAAAAAAGCTTTTGCCATTAATTTAAAATATAGTTGAAAGCTATGGAAAACTGTAGCCTTAATTAATGTTGACCTTTATAGACTTTTAAAGAGCTTTTAGCTTCAATATTTATTATTAATAAATTCAGTAATTGCTGTGTGGTGTCTAGCCTGATTGTGACATATATATATTTTTGTACTTGGAGCTTATGAAGAAGAATTTTCTTTGCAGAAAAAGCAGCATCCTTTTCTTTAACTTTATCAAAAATGTAACTGGGCTTTAAGTTATCATTTTATTTACTGTATTTTGAATTTAATTCTCAACGTACTTATTTTATTGTCATTGGCTTAGCTTTCTAAAGTCAACATCCATCAGAGGCAACTACGTATCGATTGTCCGGGTTTGAGCTCCCACTTGGAGCGGAAGTCGGGTGCTGACCAGGTTTTCCATTAAGTGATTCATTAACTACTCAACGAAGCAGTCCCAAACCCAGCCCCACGATGAAGGCAAACTCTGCTCTTTCAGCTTTCCCCTCCTTGTTTGTCGGCAAGTCATTTGCGTTGGCTACTCGGACCAACAGAGGCAAATATGACCTGTGGCCCCGTTCGGATCCGTACTTTTGCATTGCTCAACTGCACTTCCACTTCCTGTCGCTGTGCACGAACGCCGCTCTATATATTCCGGCCCCTCTTCCGTCCGTAAATGGTGTTGTCACTGCGTTGTGTTTGCAGTTGCAAAACTTTAGACTCGCACCATCGCACTGACATCATACCAGTGGCCAGTCCCCACCCAGGAAACAGCCGTGAAGACCGACCCCAGGGACCTCTTGACACCCAGTGACACACATCACTGACCACGCAACAGGCTGGACAAATAAATTGGCTCTTTGAGCCATCGGTGTCAGCCAGTCATTACCTGGCATCTCTCATCTCTCTCGGATGATTTCCATTTGGAAGAGTCAACATTTGCAGTGGGGAACTTGCGGGCCACCGAATAACGTGTTGGACAACCGCAACAACTGTCAAATCAGGTGTCAATAAATCATGGCCAGCAATTCTAATTCATGTTTAACAGACAGGTGGACAGGGTGAATTTAGAAGCAATTATCGTCTGAATTTTCAGGAATATTACAATCGAAAGAGTCGACTGAGGGATACTTGGGGATTTTATAAATATAAATATTTAAATGCAATACCATTAATAGTTAATATGTACATGATCAATTTACAATTGCATTAGGTTAGCTTTGTTAGTTCAGAGTACAAGTCATGTCAAGAAATGAGTATTAAAATAGATTTCACATTGAATATAATATATAAACAAGAAAGAAAGCTAACTTTGGCCAGCCAAAGTTTGTATACCCTTGCAGGTAACAATTAAAATAGATCATAACTAAGCCAAAAATGCATTAATTTCGATTCGTAAAGCAGTTTTGTGTTAGTTTATATTACTTAAAAAAAACTGCATACCAAATTTAAAATTTTAAGAAATCAAAATTTTTGGCCATTTTTGCTAATTTCAATGATGTAACCCCTTATAAAATTTCGCAAAAATGGCCAAAAAATCGATTTCTTCCGGACATGTCTAGAAAGATTCCCCTGTTGATGCTGATCGAGAATATATATACTTTATAGGGTCGGAAACGTCTCCTTCACTGCGTTGCAAACATCTGACTGAAATTATAATACCCTGCAAGGGTATAAAAAATCACGAGTACCTTCCAAGTATGTTCTTTAAATGCAATAAATGAGTTGTATTTTCATTTTGTGATATCTTATGGTTTTCTTTTACAATATTTACTGTAAACTAAAACCATAAAGGTACAAATTACAATTCTATAGACATTTTGTGATATCTAAATTGTAAATATTGTAAACAAAAACCATATAGGGTACGAAATTACAATTCTATAGACATTTCTGACGAAATCAAAGACCTAGTCCTTGCTTATATTTCGATAATAAAACCCATCCCTTTGCATGACAAGACTCCACTTGTAAATGTGGTAAACAGATTAGATTGCCTTCAAAAAGCGACCCACTTTGGTAAACAAAAATCAATTCAAAATCAACTACTAAATACTCATTCCTTTATTAATCGCTGATCATAGATCCTAACCTAAGCCACGGGGGCAAAGCCAATGCGGTTGTTGCCCAGATCGAACTCGGTGTAGTACTGGCCGATGAAGACATCACCCAGGATCCAGAAGTCGGTGCCCATGTACTCAAAGGCGGACATGCAGTTGCCATCCGACTGGATGATGTAGGACGAGGGGGTCAGGGTGAAGTCAGTGCCGCCGATATTGAAGGTGACATCGGGCAGGGAGCTGACGCTGGAGCAGTCCAGGTAACCATCCTCACCCACATTCAGGATCTCGGACAGGGTGATGTAGGCGTTGTAGGGAGCCACTATCAGGGAGGTGCCAGTATCGGCAATAGCCTGGCAGTCATCGCACAGCGAGTAGCCATCGATGGAGGAGCTGGCCATGGTGAACTGCCAGTAGCCCTCCTCGGAGATGGGCACGTAGGTCAGGGAGCCGGAATACAGGGAGGAGTCGGAACCGCCGAAGATCAGCTCGCCACCATTGGTGGAGGTGCCGGCGCGGGCCAGGTAGAAGGAGAACACGGACTGGTCGACCAGACCCTGGGACACCATGTTGTAGAAGACAGGAGTGACGCTATCCACGGCCAGGGACTTGTAGGCCATGCCGAGAATGCCGTCGAAGTTGGCATCGTTGAAGTTGGTGCCCGGCTCGTTGGTGGACTCGGCGAAGGTCTGGCTCGTGACGCTCAGGCCGTTGACGTCGACGGTATCGGTGGACAGGTAGCCGGTGAGGCTGCCAGTTCCATACTGGATCGAGAAGGACTCGCCGTTGGCCACATAGGTGGAGCTCTCGCTGGAGTCGTACTGGTTGTGGGTCAGGCAGGCATCGCTCTGGCAGGTGTTGGAGGGCACCCACAGGTTGGAGGAGCCGGAGTCGAACAGCACCTTGAAGCTCTGGGCCGGAGTACCGATGGAGATGGCTCCATAGTAGGCCATGTTCATCGAGTTGGACAGCTGCTCCTCGTCAATGTTGCGGGTCTGGGGCAGTTGGTACTTGGTGCGCAGATACGACTTTTCGGCCAGCACATTCTTGCGCGTCTTCACGAAGTTCTGCTCCTTGAGGATCGGCACGCGATGCAGCTCGGCGCTGGCCAGGGCCACCAGCACCGCGATCACAGCGATGGACTTGAACATTCTCACTTGGCTTGTTGTCTACTCGAGTTCGACTAACTGACGATCGTAGTGCCGGCCCCTAATTTATAGCACTTGCCATCAATCACAGCCCAATTTGGAGGGCGATAAGGCGATGTGATGTGACTTGAGTGGCCGGTCTTGAGGAGTATACGTCCCGAAGGCTTTATCTATCGATAATTATAATCTATTTGGTCGTGCGGCCAGGCATATCATCACTTCAGGTGGGGATGAGGCGATGTTAGATAACTTGCTTCTATAGAATATAATCTGCAAATTCATGTGCGCAGTTGCAGATATTACAATAAGTTCTTTTGATAGGTACTCATCGTAAACCTTTTAAGGTTGTGCCTAGTAATGAACTTTGTTCCTAAAGTTCTTAGTCCCTATCAGTTTTCCAAAAGATATCAGATCAGTGTCCCCCTCAATACATATTTTCGTTATCATTTATTATTATTATTGGTTCTTTGTATAAAAAGATAAGCCAATAATTTGGCGATAATGATAAGCAGGTGTGGGTTCATAACTAAACCAAAAATATATAATAAAATAATTATATTATCTTGAAGGATAAACTAGGGATGAGGAGATATATAGTACAAACGTTCCTGAGTTTCTTCTGACTTTTCTTAGAGAATTTGTTGACAGAATGTTGAGATTATTATTTATTTTAAAATAAATGTATTATGCTTTAAACGAAGAAATTGAATTGAACATTTCTCAAACCTACTCAATTCAACTGATTAATTTACAAAAATGCCGCCCTTTAATTGCCTTTACTCAAGGGGAAACATTTTTGATACTTAGGCTTAACTGGCCACAAAATTTCCACGAAAGGCATTCCATTCCAATCAACTTGAGCTTTCCCTCAACCAATTTTCCCGCTCGTATAAAAATATATTTCGCTTTTCAGCAGATAAAAGAAAATGCAGGAAGAGTCCAGCAGACTCCTTATATTATTACAACACTCAAATCCTTTTTGAAATCAGATTTAAAATCAAATAAAATCCTCCTTCAATTGGCGCAACCTTAAGCGAATGCGGACAATGACGATTCATTTGTGTGATTGCGCTTTACTGCCGGCCAAGGGAGCAAAAGGAGCTCGCAGGACGAGCTCACCCAATGTGGCTGGTCATGTGTGGAGGACGAGTGCTCTCTGTTCTGGGGTCCTGCGGGCAGCCACAGGTTAATTGTGGTGCAGGGCATCCGCTTATCGCTGGGTGCTGGCCACACACGGCCGGAGACCGGGTCACAATAAAACGGAGGCGTCCACGGGCGAGTGCGTTGCGCACTTTCGGGGCAAATAAAGTAATCAACGGATTTCACGCACCGTTGGCCAATTTCAGTCACTATTCTGGGCACACGGGGCGTATGATTACCGATGGCGCAGGACCTGTAGTGTTTGCGGTGACATTTCATGTGCAATTATTAGGCAACTCAGATGCCGCACACACATACGTACGTCGGTGGTCGCGTCTCTGGCCAGGCTGTTTATCAATCATTTTTGATTTATGGGCCCGCGCGAGTGGTTGGAAATGGTTGGACTTGATTGTAGTCCGTAAATACATAAATAAAGTATACGCCCGGGGTGACCAGCGGT